AATGAAGGGATTGGGATTCCACTTGATTAGGACCGACCCACTAATCCAATTCTTCCCGACCCCCCCCCAACCTACAGGGTCAGAAAGAGTCAATAAGAAAATACGAACGGGGAGGATTAGTCATATATCTTGACTCTTCAGAAGTGGGTCAAACAGGATCAAGGTTGGGTGAGGGCAATTTTTAGCGCTAAGCAGAGTTCTGGGTTGAATACCTTTACTTAGGCCTAGAAATTGGTGCTGATGCAGACTGCAGTTTTTATTATACCATCATCAATCATCATTGAATTAGTCCTGGGCATCCCTCCCCATTGTCGGTCTGAATTCTAATGATGGCTTCATTCCTTGCACCAGCCATATTAGCGAGTTGCCATCTCGAGCATGATTTGCCTATGTACAAATAATACAATTAGAGTATGAAAATGAATTCAATGAAAAGGAAAAGAGAATTCTATCACATGCCAATAAATACACACATAATAGTTGAAGCTAAGTGAAAGTCATTACTCGCACATCAATTCTCAAAAATTACAGACTAAACATTGGCTAGAATGGCACTGAAATTACCAAGAATCATGGACGAAACAACTTGTCAAATTAAATAATCCTTATACTGAAACTACCTTCTAACTTGAAATAAGACATGATCACAGTTCATAGCTCTCTTCTCACTATGAATTGGTTGCAGCTCGTCCTTATCACTGCCTCTCAAGCTCAATTCAAACAGAATAGAGACCGTTATGTAAGATAACCATATTCTTACTGATCATAATTCCTTTCTTCACTCCATTTTTGTCGGAGAAAAGAGTTATCCCCCTCTCCTGCATTTCCCTTTCCCCCTCTCTTCTCCCTCTTCTTCACAAACCGATCCCTAAACCAGCAACAACAACACAAAAATAGCATTCGCCTCTCCTGTCTCCATCTATTGAACACGTTGGTGGCAAGACAGGACTGCAGAAGCAAAATTTTCTAAAATCAAACTAAATTTTTTGAAGCAGACTCAACCACGAAAAAAGAGTAAAGCAACAATGTAGTAGAATCCTAAATTTAACTACAATCAAGCACATATCAGCAAGATTTTCGATTTGTCTGAGAGTTAACTACACGGAGAGAACAATTGATGCATAATTGAAATGCTCCAAGCAAGTTGAAGGCAAACCATAACTTTAGAATTTGGTCATTATAATAACCTTCAAGTATTGATGCTTCTAAGAACTATCATGTCCAACCCCCACTTATACAACTACGTAGCCATAGTAATTATTTGTATAATGAGAAATATTACAAAGAAAACTACATAACCAACCAATGTAAGTAAATATTAAAACTAACAACTGATAAAACTTAAAATCTCTCTATTGGTATAAATGTATCTATTAGTAACTACTATGCAATCGAGTATATATGATTTTTAGGCACTGAATAAGAAAAGTATAGATGGCTCACAAATGAAGACGTAGCAACTGAAGGTAGCACACAAAAACCAAAAATAGAAAAAGAGATAAGAAAAAAGGCGATAAAAAGTCAAACAAAGAAAAAGCCCACATAGGAATACCTCGCTAGCTTTAGGGACTCTCTGCCACAACAAACAACCTTCTTAAAAATCTAACACCCTGAGACATCAAACAAAACTCCCACGACACTAATGTATGGCATTCCTATTGTCCAATAGGTTTGCCCAATTTAGACTTCTAAATAAATGGACTTTTCACCATTAAACCAAAACTCACAATCATTAACAGTTAATGCAAAGACATACATTTCTGAGGCCAATCACAGCATTTAAGCATAATTTTTAGTTGAAAAGAACAACTAAGTATTTAGCTAAATGATATAGTAGAACGGACACAATCTGCTACCTACTAATGATATAAACGTGTACCATCGTTGTATCTTGACTTGCCATTTGCAACGGGCACTTTGAAAGACAGCTGCATTTTAGAGAATAAACACCCATAAGGGCGTTACGAAACCAAGCTTAATCCAAAATCTTCATATTCCACTTCGAAGACTCCATTTTCAAAAATAAGAGAGTTTAACATGTCAAATCACTCATTTGAAAAATCTCAAACAACTATTAATCAATGCAATATAATGGCACGTTCCAAATTATGTACTTGTAGGAATAATCCCAAATAATTATCAATTAATGCCCCAACTACCTAATGTGCAGAATAGCCCTGGAGCTGTGCTGTTGTTTGCGTTGGTCTACCTTCAAACATAACATAGTTGCATCACGAACCAAAGCAATTAAGCAAAAATCTTCATATTCCAAGTAGAATGACTCAATTCAATTTGGCCAACGCTTTATACATATTGTTTACCCCTGGACCTGTTGCACTTGCGCCTTCAGATCTTCGTGAACACAATACAATTGCGGAGAGGAGGCTGTCAACGGAATAAAAATTGTTAATTAAGTGAATCACCATACAACTAAACAAACGCGCTCTTCTTGATTAGCTATCAAAATAGTGGGGGTCGCTACAATCCATCGGTTGCTCCCTCTGCGCCTAAGTTGTAGATATTAGGTTTCAGTGAGAACTTTGAGTACATGAGGAGATATTTTGTAGTGGAGGAGATGACCCGGCGAGTAGAATAGGAAGATTTGGAGAGGCTGTGATGGGCAAAGCAGTTAAAATCGAGATTTTACCTAAAATCGAAAACTGGGGTAAAATCAAAATCGTATAATCGAATCGTAAAATCGTAGGATTTTAAGTACCATATAGAACATAGCATATAAGAATATTAATAAGGTAAATTATTAATATCACAAAGACACATAGCATTTAAAATGATAATTCAGAAGATTTTTTTCCATAAGATAATTCTCAAGATTAATGTTCCAAAATCACTATTTTAATTGTTATTTAATGTGTAACTCAAAATAATTCATGATGAAGGGATATAGTTCATGGGTTTGGCTCTTATTTTCATGTTATGTCTAGGTTGTTTAACTCAAAGTAATATTTCGACATCGTCTACTAAGTATGATTTAAAACTAAAAATAATCGAACTCCAATAAAATAAGTAATGTTAGTGGCTTGGTACAAATATATTCATTAATAAATTAATTAGTTAATAATGATGTTAGTTCTTACATACTTCCAATATTAGGACAGGTGTTTTACCAATAAGTTAAATGGGGTGAAGGGAAAAAGATTAACCGAACCCTAATTTGGTTATTTTTATTATTTTTGAATATTTTTCTAATAGAAAAATATCTGAGAAGATTCCATTGCCCTTTCCGCTGAAACAGTTATACTTATTTTAAATTGGCTCAAACCACCTATTTTGTTCTCTTACGATCAAAATCCCGATTTCGATACTATTTTACGATTTTAACGATTTTAGTCCCGATTTTAAGGTCCACCGATTTTATAGTAAAATCAAGATCGGAATCCCTAAGTAAAATCCTAAAATCCTACGATTTTACGATCAAAATCCCGAATTTGACTGCATTGGCGATGGGTGCACGATTAGTGGGCCAAATAACAGTTTGGGCCCGTTTAAATGAAAACATATTTTTACTTTCGTGCTCAACAGACCGACCGCACTGGCATCTTCTAAATTTACCCCTAAAAAATTGTTCTGTACGCATCAAATTTGAAATGGAATCCCTATTTTCTCATTTCACATTTCACATTTCACATTTATATGATGTGTAGATTGTGATGAGTGTAGATGTAGACCTGTCATTGTCCTACAAATTCATTAACATGCCAAAAAGTGGTGAAATGAGCCACCCTATTAAACACAATCTTGTATAATGATCATTGGATCCAATCATGCCAGATTATGAAGAAGTTTAAAATGTAGCGGTTATCCCGACTAAAACATTAAAAGAACCAGTCTCATATAGTTTGCACAAAGATATAATTTCTCCATAGTAATTCTGAAAAATAATATTAATTTAAGAAGTCGATATTGCTTCTACATGTTTAATATTGCAATTCGATATGCAATATTCGAACCAGTGATATTTGGGCTGCAATTTTAGGGTTATTGTATATTTATAAAATAGATAGAAATTTAAATTAAGTATTAAACTACAACTAAAATAATCAAAGTATTAAAACACCAAATAAGTACTTACGGGAGATTCAGTGGTCAACTAATCGTTAAAAAAAGTCATATGATTTTCATAATTTAGGTTCGTGTATGTTTGAATTTAAATAGATACAATAAATATACTTAGTGTGATTGGTTATGATCCTTGCTTGCCTTTAAAGAGACCAAGGTTCAAATCCCAGTGCATGCCTTTTTTATGAATAAATAAATAAGAAAATAAGCAATTGTGAAGACCAAAATGTCCTTCCTATAATCACTCTCGTTGCAGGAAATTTGAAATGGAGCAACAGTTTTCATCATTCGGCTTTTATTTATTATCTAGATTAGTCTCGAAAGTGGACACGTCATAAAAATGTTGTTTTTAAGGATAGGAGTTGGGCTGGTTGGGAGTGGGTTGGCTATTTGGGCTTTAGCTCCCAAAAAATGGGTCGGAAAATCGAAATTGTTCATCAATTCACTCTGATACATGTCAATAACTAGTCCACTTTAATTATTTGAAGAGATTCGAAACTATATTTTACACACTCCCTCAAATAAAAATCAATCGAGCTGAAATATTCCACACGTCCATGGTACCTAATTAGCTTGCTGCATCAAGTTAGCAACAAGCATGTAAGGAAGTGGTTAAGCACCATACACGGGCCTGTATATGATCCAGCATAACCCTTCTCCCAACAATTCGAGTTATTGAGAGCAACTGGTTCATGACATGGTATCAGAGCTGGTTTGTCCTTGAGGTCACGTGTTCAAGTCCTCACGACGCCCAATATTAACCGTTGTCTTTCAAGCACATGGTAAGGCTGGGCCTGTGCAAACTAGGTAAAAAAGACAAGAAAGCACACGGTGCATGCTATATATCAATTACAGAAAGCTGAAAATTACTATTGGACTTTATTACGTACACACATGCATTGATTCTGAGGTCTCTCTTTCAATCAAACAGAAGCAGGCTGGTTATGGTACTGTTGAAGACTTGGAATGCAATCAATGTCAGACGACTCCTGATCATCATCATCATCATCATCAAGTCCAATTTCATACATCAAAGGAGCCATTTTGGCAGAATCAACGACGGCCTTCCCAAAAGCCGTCGGGAAAGGTACCGCCGGAGACAGATACTCATGGTTGAGTTGCTTCCACGTGTCTTCGATCATTTCGACCACATGCTTCCTGGCTTCAGGGACGTACGACCCGACGTCGTATCCAACGCCTCCCTCGTACTGCAATCAATTTCATCAAATATCATTACCCAAAAATAAAATAAAAAATTATATTTGAGAAACCAACTCGATGTCTCGATCGATATATATTCTGCTTACCGTGGAGGAAACCTCGTCGGACAGGCGCAGAATTTTGGCGACGGACGTTATCAACGGCGGTTCGTCGCTGTCCACGAGGCCCACGTTTTGTTCCGTTAGGCCCAAGCCCAACATGAAGAAGAAGTGAACCAGCAGCAACGGGACTCCAGAAGTCACGATTCCAGTCCTCAAGCAGTCGTCTGATTTTGGACACTCCTCCGTTCTCAACCATCTGGCCTTGACTAGAAATGCTTCGAACAATTTTGCCCACTACGTACGAAATAACAATATAATTAATAGGTTTCGAAACATTGGTCTAGCGATAACGAAGAGATTCGATATAATTTCCATCAGTCTCGTGTACTTACCGATTGTTGAAGTGAGCGCATCGGATTTCGTCCATGTTTTATGTACACTTTGTATCCGATCTGATTAGTCATATGATAGAGAGCCATGAAGCACGCTCTCATGAACTCTGGTAATTTATCTGTCGTTTCGGTGTCCCATCTGCACGCGCGCGAAAGACGCGAGATTCTCGTGAGGTTATCCACTTGCTAGAAGATATTGATGTGACTTGAATTGGACTATCGGCTGCTACGATTGGAATAGGTTTAGACCCATGTAAATTGATATAGTGAAACTGGCTCTCTCTCCCCCGTGGACTAGCTAACACACATGTTAGTGAATCACGTAAATCGTGTGTCGTGTGATTTTTGTTTTCGTATTCTTACTTTCTCGATTCCGGCAATTTCTCGATCCGTATCAGCGCAGTTATAACAATTACATAATGTAATAAACAACATACATGATCGTCCATGAATTACCTTGTAACAGCCTGTGAGAAGAGTGCGAGTACTTCCAGCGATACAAAAGTGTCGAAGATGTCACCAATGAGCTTCACTAAGGCAATGATTTTGGCAAGCTCGACCCTGTAGCCAGAGAATTCAGATCCTGCGAGGGTTGCCATTGCCCACGAGCTATCTTTGACCAGCAGCTGATCTCTCCCAACATTCGCCGCCAAACCAACCTCAATATCCCACCACCTAAAATAAAAGTTTTGATTTAGAAGGGCCAAAATAAAAGAGAGCTATTGTGACGAAACCTTGCCCTATATATTGTGACGAACTTTTTTGTGTACCTGGAGACAGGGGCGGAGCTACATTGTAGCTAGGGTGGGCCCCGGCCCCCCCGGGATTATCCCGGCCCCTAGGTTTTTAAAGATATTTCGTACAAATTTTAGAAGTAGAACATGTTCTGTAAATTATATGATCAAATAGTTATGTGGTCTAATGGTAGCCAACCTTAACTTGTGTATTATAGCACATGGGTTCGATCCACATTGGTTACATAATTTTTTTTTAATTATTTTCGGCCCCCCCGGTCTCGAAATCCTGGCTCCGCCCCTGCCTGGAGAGTTGGTCAAGTTCGTTCTGATGTACCGCCTGATTCATTTTGAGATCCAACTTCGCCAGATCTTTGAGAGTCTCAACGTAGCGACTCTGCTGCTTGCTTGTAATCGTTGCCCCAAAGCTGCTCAAGTAGTCTTTAATCACCAGCCTTGGTATGCTCTTGTGGTACGGATGTTTCAGCACATTGGCGACGGTTTCTTCCGTCGCCAATAGTCCAATGACATCATTAACGACGGAATAATATTGCGACGGCTTGGGGGCTATCCACGAACGTAGCCGACGGGCGCTGAATTCGCCGGCTTCACGCAGTATGTCTTCGCCAGGTGTCATCCACTGGGAGGCTTCGTACAGTTGAATTAATGCTTGCACGTTTTGATGACCTAATAGCCTGGGTTGGAACTTCCCCTCGTCATTCTTGAATCTGTGAAACACATCTGAAAAACATATATTGCCGCGTTTAAGTCACTTAAAAAAAAGGGCTTTTCGCAACCAAAGTACGAAAGTCACTTAAGACAGAAAATTGGTTATTAATGCTCTTTGTGACCAAAAAAAAAAAAAAATTGGTAGCAGAATTTATCGTTATAGTTGTTTTACGAAATTCGGTATATGATAGTATGAACAATGGTTAGTGCAAACTCAACATGCAAAACGAAAGTCTAATGATTTACTATACAAGAATAATATGTTCAACCTGTGCATGCTGAAAAGCTCAACAAATTCGTGGACCCTACATTCCACATTTTATTTGGGATTTGGTTGATGGAAGGCAAATTTATGAGGCCCTTGATACAAAAAGCTATAAATTCATGATAAAAAAACCATCAACACAAACGATAGACTCTTTCAAATCTATAATGCAACAAACCGATGACAAATCCTAAGATTCTAAAAACTAAAATCTAACAAGCAAAACGACCCTAAACGATTTATTCGTTGACAACACGTTGGGATGTTGAGACCCTTACCCGAAGGGATGGAATGACCCTGCTGCCTTAACAAGCGAAAGCTCAAGGAAACCTCGAGAAGCCCATCTTGTCGGCGCCGGTCGGCGGCGGCCGCCATCTTAGTTGCAGAGAACTCATCATGAAGAACAGCTTCGATGGTTTCATGGAAGTGGTAGTCGATCCCCAGCCGCTGCACCGCATCGATCAGTGCCAAGGTCTCGACGGGACATGACATCAACACTTGATCATCTCTCGCCACTGAGTGCTGCCTCCTCGTGAACAGTTGCTTTGCCTCTTTCAGCTTCTGCGCATGTGTTTCCCCCAGGCAGCACTGCACCATCAATGGCTTCTCGCCATTGGATCCGCTGGTAATGTTTTTGCGACCGAATGAGGAGAAACAAGGACGGAGGTTCGTAGAGAAGGCCATGGTCGGGCTTTTTTGTTTAGTGGTAAAGAGGACAGAAAACCAGAGAAGAGAAGAGAAGCTAGTCGTACGTAAGACTTTAGAACATGGATGAATGTACGTACGTGCCAGTCATATATATATATATATGAGATAATTGGCAAGCCGACGAATCACATGCAGTACTCGTGTGTAATATTATAATAATATTCGAATTTCTCAAGTATCATGATTCATGATTAATCATTACCATTTTTTTTGTTTATCTCTTGCTTGAATTTTCCCCTATGGTCAACAACGACTGGCCTTTTTTAAAAGATTTTGATCCTTCCATATTTGTTCTGTAATCAGAGTACCGGATTGATGAATTTGTTTGACCCTTTTTTTCTTTGGCTGGTATTTGGTGACCAAGGGGTTTGCCATATTATATTTGTCTGTATTTTCTCGTGTTCAAATATTCGATATGGGTTTCCATTAAAAAAGTAGCACAGGCCAGATCTGCTATAGTATTTGTCCTTATTTGAATTGATGCTTTTTCATGGCGACAGTGCTAGCTTGGCCTAAGTTGCTAACGGGTGCATAATTTGTACTTATGTAGTATTTTTTTTTGTGGCCGTATTATTTCTTAATAATCATAATGAGTTATTTTTAATCCATCAAAAAACACTAAATTTATCTGTTAAAGAGTCAGTTTGGACCGGCGACATACAAACAGGTTGAGAGCGTGATACAATTTAATATTTTATTCAACGAAAAAGAAGAAAAAAATTTAATATTTTATTCAACGAAAAAAAAAACGCACTATGTAGTATGTAATTACTCCATCAACACAATAGTGTGGGAATGAGTAACTTAAACAAATCAATATTTAAACTAATATGTTTGGTCAACAAATTAGTGCTTCATGATCATTTAGAGTATCCGACTTTTGAACGACCTTCAATTAGTGAGTGTTTATAGAAAAGGTTAGGGTTTTGTTACATCTAACTATTTAAAAGGTCACAATCTCCGGATGTCTTTTTTGATCATGCCTCTTTAATTTGACAATCTCTTGATGATATCTCTCTCAACTTATTGCATGATTTTACTTACACAAATAAGAATGATTTCTTTATTTCACCATTATAAATCTTGTTAGAGCGTTCATATTAATGCAATCGCAAGACTAATTGCGTGCGATGTTCTTATTTTCATTTCAAAGTTTATGCAATGCAACTCAACTTTATTTCATTGCACCTACATCAATGTAATTTACTTGAAATGGCATATATGAAGGTTTAAGTAACTTTATCAAATTAAAAATAATAAATCAAGAGAGAAAAATAAATTATTTATTATATTTTTCTATGTGACTTGCGTCTTCGATTTCATTTAACGCAAACTTGCATCTTCGAAAGTGCACACTACTTTGCTGCAGGCTACCTTTGCAATTACATATAGAGTGAGATGTATGATTAATTTGTAATTGATGTGTGTGCTCTTTGCTCTAGACAAGAGTAGTATAACAATGACAAAAAGTGGAAATAGTTAGCACTGGTTGTGGCCACAACTCAATATCTAACAACATATTATTTAGTCATTTTTCTCTTTCCCAGACCCTGCTTGCTGCTTGCGTTAAGAATTCAGCTTCAATGATGTAGTGAGTAAGTAGTGTCATAAATGAAATGATTTAATAACTCAAGGTGTATAAAGACTGTATGAATCTAATCACTTCCTTAAACGCTTCTTCAAACGAAAGTCAAAAATTTGCACAAATCCACGACATGCCATGTGATTCAAATCAATTACTAAGATTTGTGGACGCGGGAATTTGATCACATGATCTCATGATTAAACCAACTCTAATATTATGTCAAGAAACAATTGGTACCAATAATTCGAATTGTTAATAAGATAATATATATAACCCGAGAGTTGCTTTCAAACAGAAGCAGGCTGGATATGGTACTCTCGCAGGCTTGGAAGGCTATCAATATTAGAGCACTCCTTATCATCATCAAGTCCATTTTCATACATCAAAGGCACCATTTTGGCAGAAACAACGACGGCCCTGGCAAAAGCCGTCGGGAAAGGTATCGCCGGAGACAGATACTCATGGTTGAGTTGCTGCCACGTGTCTTCAATCATTTCCATCACATGCTTCGTGGCTTCATCGACCGACAAACCAGGATTCTCCTTCAAGTAGCAATCCACGTAAGAGCCGTCGTATCCAACGTGTTCCTCGTACTGCAATCAAATGTCATCGTCACCAAAAAATTATACTTGAGAAAGAAAAAGAAGAAAAGAAGAAAAAAAAACTATCGGTATATTTGGCTGCGTTTGGTAAATTGGTCTTGATTTGGTTTACCATGGAGGAAAGGTCGTCGGACAGGCGCAGAATTTTGGCGACGGATGATATCAACGGCGGCTCGCCGCTGTCCACGAGGCCCACGTTTTGTTCCGTTAGGCCCAAGCCCAACATGAAGAAGAAGTGGACCAGCAGCAATGGCACTCCAGAAGTCACGATTCCAGTCTCGAGGTAGTCGTCTGACTTTGGACACTCTTCCGTTCTCAGCCACTTCGCTTCCACTAGAAATGCCTCGAACAATTTTGCCCACTACAAAACCAAATAAATAACAAACATAGCTCTCAAAACATTGGTCTAACGATCGATAATGAAGAGGTTCATCTTTGGGGTTTTTCTTAGTGTTTTTTCGTTGTTGTTTTCAGTTTTGTTTCTTTATTTGTTCTTTTCAACTGTTGGTTGAATTTTTGTCTTATTTTCTTTTTGTCCGTCTCAATAAAAAAAAAATAATGAAGAGGTTCATGGATGAATGATGATTCTTATCAGTGTACTTACTGCTTGTTTAAGCGAATGCATCGAATTCCATCCATGTTTTCTGTACACTTGGTATCCGATCTGATTAGTCGTATGATAGACGGCCATGAAGCACGTTCTCATGCACTCTGGTAATTTATCTACCGTTTCAGTGTCCCATCTGCACACGCGAAAGACATATTGTTGTGAGATTATCCACTTGCTAAAATATGTTACATTCTTGTAAATAGGTATGATTCAAAAATTTACCTAGTAACAGCTTCTGTGAAGAGGGTGAGTTCTTCCAGCGATCCATAGGTGTCGAAGATGTCGTCAATGAGGTATACTAAGGCGATGATTTTGGCAAGATCTACCCTGTACTCAGAAAATTCAGATCCTGCTAGGGTTGCCATCGGCCACGCGCTGGCTTTAACCAACAGCTGATCTCTCCCAACATTCGCTGCCAAACCAACCTCGTCCCACCACCTGGTTTTGATCAATCAACAGTCCATTAACGTTGACTGGCTCATAGAACAAAAAAAAAAAAAAAAGGAAAAAGCTGACTAGAATGCATAGTTATTTGCGGGTAGTAATGATATCAAAAGGGTTTTGGGTTAAAAGGTCAAAGAAAGACAATTAAAATTGAAGTTTCTTTTCGATAACTCGACTCGAGTTATTGATATCAAACGGTTAATGAAATGGTATTAGAGCCTGATGTGGTCAAAAATGATTATCTGTTCGAATCTAATTCTTAATCTTCAATATAAATCGTTAATTTAAATACAATATACGGTGGATATATATATGTGTATAGTTCAAATTCATGAGTTGATGACTCTAGTTTGAGCGAAGCGTGTATAAAATTGATAATGTCAAAAAATATATATTTTTTCAGTATGTATTGGAAGTGGATGATTTTGTTATTTGACAAGGTGGAGTAATTTAGAAGTAATGTTATTGGTAGGTAAGTAGGTAGCTCACTAATTACATGCATATCTACCTGGAAAGCTGGCCAAGTTCTTTCTGATGAACCACCTGGTTCATTTTGCAATCCAACATCGCCAGATCCTTGAGAGTCTCAACACAGTAACCCTGCTCCTTGTTTGTGATTAACGTTCCCCTGAAGCTTCTCAAGTAGTCTTTAATCGCCAGCCTCGGTATGCTCCTGTGGTAAGGATGCTTCAGCGTATTAGCGACCAACTCCCTCGTCGCTAAATGTCCCATGGGATCATATTGCGACCACCGGTCGCCACCTAACCATGAACGCAGCCGGCGGGCGCTAAATTCCCCAGCTTCGTGCAGTATTTCTTCCCCGGGGGTGACCCATTGGGAAGCCTCGTAGAGTTGCATTAGTGCCTCCACGTTCTGATGTCCTAACCTCGACACGAACTTCCCTTCCCGATTCTTGAACTTGTTGAACACATCTGTTAATAGAATAATAAAGCACGTTCTGATCATTTGTAGTCCTGGGAGTAACGAAGTTAGGTTATATGATTATTTATGGAAGGGAAAGGGTTTGGTGGGATCTAAATAATCAGAATATATACCTAATTATATTCTCGTATTTTTATGATTATTTGGGGATTATTCATCTAGTTTGGTGTTTATATATTCACGTAAGACCTATGATTATTTACGTAAGTGAAATTGAGTTTTTTTTTCTTCTGCTCGTATTTTATGGAATTAAATTGGATTTCAAATTTTTCTGTAAAAAATGAGCTGCACTGATCATTATTCATTAATATACACAATGAAATCTATTTTGTTACATCCCAAAATTTTTTAAAAAAATGATTTTACAACGATTTGAATAAATAAAAATATGCATGAATAGACACCAGATTTCGTGAATAGTCATTTTTGTTTGTGTGAATAACCATTAACCAACGCTATTACTTAGATAAACTCCAATATGACGTGAATGAGTAGAAATTTACGTGAATAAACATAAAATTACGTGAACTAGGTGTTGTGACTCTTTAGATGCCATCAAACCTTTTTCCATTGTAATTTTTTTTAAGCTAAAAAACCCTTACCAGAGGTGATGGCATGACCTTGTTGCCTTAACAATCGAAAGCTCAAGGAAACCTCGGAAAGACCATCTTCTCGGCTGCTGATGAACTCATCGTCAAGAACAGCTTCGATGTCTTCCTGGAAATGGTGGTCGATGCCAAGTCGCTGGACGGCATCGACCATTACTAAGCTCTCTACAGGACGAGATTGCTTCCTCTTCGTGAACAAATGCTTTGCCTCCTTCAGCTTCTGGGCATGTTTTTCCTCCAGGCAGCATTGAAGCACTGGTTTCTGATCGCCATGGCGGCTTATGGAGCTTTTGCCACCGAATGAGGAGAAGGAAGACGACGACGAAGGATGGAGGATCATGGAGAAGGCCATAAATAGATGCAAGTCGTAAATGGAACTATGTTATCTTGCTGCTGTACTTGTCGTTAATGAATGTGCTTTGTATTTATAGTTTTGATATGTAGGATTATACGATAATAACAAGCTCGAGAACCATATGGAATATTATTATATATATTGGCCTTGAATGATGCGCTGGCCCACGTTACTAGATATATAATGCATCTGCTATAATCCCACACTAAGATCATGTTATAATTAATTAATTAACTAATTCTGTAGAAACGCGGAAGCCAGTTTTGTTAGTTTAATTTGAAGGGTGAGCGTATACTCATTATACTAATCGGTGTTTAAACCGTATGTGGTGGGTGGGTTGACTGCATGACGTGTTGAAATGATGAAGCTTCGAATGAAATTAGATGGACGGTGAATGCTCTCATTACTTTAAAAAAATATATTTTGCTAGACACGGGTTCGAAATTTGAATCATGTATCGTGTGAGATCGTACTAAAAAAGTTAATGAAGTGTATTTAATTATACAACATTCAAATTACTAGCATATTGATCGGCAGAAGTATTCAAATTACCGTCACCGCTCAAGTATTCTAATAGTACTTTGAAAAATGAATTTATTCCAATAATTCGAATTATTTTTGAGAGAAATATTAGAAACTCTATTATCTAGTTTCCTTGCATCAGCACACTCACCTCTCAATTCTCCCACTCCCATATATAATTATTATTACATTATTATATAACAAGACTGCACTAGTAATTTGACTGCCGATTGACGGTTGACTTCAATTAGGGTGCGTTTGGATAAGTGGATTTTAAATGTAAGGTATTTGAAATATTAGCATTTGAAATGGATGTATTCGAAATATTAGCATTTGAAATACATGTAATTCAAATTCATTGTTTGGATACTCATTTGTAATTTGTTTGTATTTTGTATTTTATGATTTTCAATTTCAATTTTTAATTTTCTGGTCACTTACTACAAATTTTGGTAAATTATAGTTTGGTACCCAAAATTATTTTTTCTTACAGTTTAGTACCTAAACTTTTAAAATTTTACATAAAGGTCCTAAAATTTTGATGGTAAAATTACATTTTGGTACCTTTATATGTTTTGCCTCACACTATAGTACCTAAACTTTTCATATTTTACAAATAGGTCCATTCTTTTGTTAGGAGGTATTTCAAATCACTAGTTGTTGAAATGTATTTGAAGTTGACAAAAAATACACTAGACATGTATTTGGAAATCACCCCATGAATTTGACACAAATCCAAATACCAAATGTAATTAATATCCAAACACATGATTTGGTATTTGGAAATCCAAATCACAAATACCAAATCCAAATCATTGTATCCAAACGCACCCTTACGGTGCTTTAATTCTCCCCCAAAACAGCTGGAGCTGGCTATTTCGGACGGACTCTCTTTTGTCTCTATTTCCTCCACGTGATGAGTTGCTAGTTTGCTACTGTTTTCGTGCCACGCGTACGTTATGTTTCACTCAATTCTGAATTGTCTCCGGCGGGTAGGAATGGCAATGAGGCAGGTTCGGAGCGAGTATCTCGATATCCATACTCGCAGCGGCGAATTCAGAACATAGTAGAGCACTGAGCCGCATTTCATTATAAAACTAGATACCGTAAAAAATCATAGTTTTTACGATATCGATTGTACATGTCGATCTTTTAATGTAGTGAATTCATCAATAATGGAGTCTACATCCATACAAATAGCATACTACTCTCTTTCAAATAAAATAGTTAACCAATCGGCGATAAATTCATTGCTCATTTTGTTGCGCAAATAATTTTTCACATGTTCCATTTTTGAAAAGGTTATCTCCATAGTAGCTGTTGAAGCGGACAATGTCAACAAAAGATTAATCAATCGGCCAATCAATTTGTATTGTGTATCCATCCCTATTTTCACCAGCTGCTCTAGTCATTTTCAAGTGAACAAACCTCATATTTCTTTTAGCTTTTTACGTTTTAGGCTTTTAGAATTTTAGGTTTCATTGCTTGTTTTTTTAGACGAGAATCATTAGAGGTAGAATTTTTAGACTAAATTTAGAGTTATGATTTGAATATGTTCATCTTACTCATTTTCTTAATTATACATAATTTTATTATAAAATAGCACTGGACCAAATGGCTAATCGATAAACGCATAAGGGTTATATTAGTTTCGGATCTAGAGGAGGGTTGGGCCGTGGCCCGAGGTGGCCACCCCCTGGATCCGCCACTGCATACCCGTCCCGTGGCAGGTCGGGTCCGGGTCGGGTAATTTATGCGGAAAAACATTAGAATTATTCGTTATTTTAATTAAAAGACAAAGAAAGAAACCATAATTTGATAAAATGTAGTTAAATTATTGGAGAAATTGAGTTTTCACTCATTTACAACTTTATTATACCTAAAATATGATGTAATAAGAGGAAAGTCCTAAGTAATTTGACTAAGATTACATGTAATTCAGGCAAGAACGGGTCGTGAATGGGGCGTGTCGGTAGGTCGGGTCGATGAGAGGTACCCATTCCCGCCCGTTTACGAGGCGGTTCGGACACGCCCCAAAATAGATCAAACAGGACGGGTAAATCGGGTCAGGTCAAAATTGTCATCCCTACCGGCGGGAATCACTCCCTAGCTATCTCTCAGCAGTATAATCTACCGAGTAATTATTCCTTCAAGGTGCACCATGAAAAATAGTTAGATTGTTGCTTAGGGCACATTGATTGAATAATAGCATCTGATTTTTTTTCTATTAGACTCTCTTTTTTTTTTTTACAAAAGATAATCATATATTGATTTAAAAAATAGGCAATTACATCCTGGAGATCAGCCAGGACTGAAAATCGAACAAACGACTCGTCGTCGGGTACAAAGAAAGGGCCTTTCTAGCCACCAGATGGGTTATCCTATTACTACTCCGACCTACAAATCGAACACTAAACCCCGGATTACTGGACAACCCCAGCACCACCTCTTCCAGAATCGCACCCACCCGGTTGTCCCTAGTATCAGCTTGCAGGATCTTATCGATGACAACCTTGGCATCCCCTTCAAACTGGACATCCGTGAAACCACGCTCCAGACACCAAATAATACCCTCGCGGAGGACAAGCAGTTCCACCATCATGGGGTCATCAATTATCGAAAATTGGACCCCTTTCGCCATTAAGACATCTCGAGAAGGGGTCAGCAAAACCAATCCCCCTGCCGAGTGAGAACCGCTCCTAGTAGCCCCATCTCACATGCAAATAACCCCCGCCTGGACCACCTGCCCCGGTTGGTGCGTTTGAGCGGGCTGAGGAACTTTATCCATCGGAAGGCGCACCCACTCCTCATACTGCTGGGTAAACTGGCGCATCAAAGCAGGGATCCCATTAGACTCTCTCTCATTGTGATTGCTTAGTTTAGTTTTGTTTAGTTTTTTAATTAAGTAATTAGGATTGAGGATTTAAAGTAATCTTTCATTTCACATTGACAGAAGTTCGCTGGGCAGAATGACAGGCCTCTTAAACACGGGCCTTAAGTCAGCTTGAGGAGCCAATGGGCCGATGAATCGTTTGGGCTTTAACCAATGAGAGACAAAATGAAACAGATACTAAATAATTGTTTATGGGCATTGTAGCACCAGCTCCAGGATGCCTGTTTGGTTTGGGTTAATATACCCTAGCCAAAGGTCACCTGTTCGATCTTCGTATTCTCTCTCTCTTATTCCAAAATATCCTCTCTTTTTATCTCTACCCATTTACTTAGATGAACACACGGTTACTACCATTCGGTTTGAATAATACATACGAAGATTTACACAAACCAACATAACTGTCTGCCAAGGGGAGGAAGACCTCTTAAGTTAGGAGTTTAAAATCAACTCTCTCCTTCCTGCCAACCCAATTGAACACCTGGACTCTCAAATCCTAGTTACCTATGAGAAGAAGGTTTAAAAGTTGAGAATATAAAAAATGACAAGCTCACTACAAACACAGAACAACCATCCTTGGTCAATTTGATGCCAAGGAACCTAGTCTCTTCTCATACATCTTCGCCCGGCGGAGAGCATCCACAGCCTCCGCTTGCTTCCCTGCGCGTTTTAAGTTTACAGCTTTCACTTTCTCCGCCTTGATCCGCTCCTCCAACTCGCTCCTTTCGTCCCCAACTGCAACAACAACGCTCTCTGCTGCCTTGCTCGGACTAACTCTCACCGGCTGTGCTTGTTGTGATTTCGGAGTGGGATCATCGATTCCAATTGCTCTAAGGGCAGCTAGAAGCTGAGGATCAAGAACGTCGTCGACACCAACATCATCACTCATTTCGGGTTTGTTGGAATCTTGAGATGCCTCCAGCTGGGCTTCGAGTGCCTTGGCCAGCTCAAACTCGGCTTCTGCCTCTTGTGTCCGGCCTTCTCTTCGGAGCTTCAACGCCTGCCTTTTGTGGCTCAGGGATTCCTGCTGCAACTTGAAACGATCACGCCCCGATAGCTGCTGCTTTGGTGGGGCCACCACACTGGATGATTCAGTAGGTTCTTTTTTTTTAGCAGGGGGTGACTCTTCCTGGGCATGAGTTTCGGGGCTGGGAAGAATCTCTCTCTCTAACAACTTGGCCTGGCGAAGCTCCTCTCGAGCTTCTGCCAGTTTGCCTTCTCTTTTCAGCGCTAATGCTTTCCTCTTTCGGGCCAAAACTTGTTGCTGCACTGAGCTTTCCTCCTCTTGAGAACTCGAACTTGGGACAGAACTCGGCACATGACTGTGATCCTTGCTTCTATCAGTTGCCTGTTCATTTCTTGAGGAACCCACTTGATCCATGACTTTAACACTGCTTGCATTTCCTACTTCTCCCGGTAGTGACACAACAACCGAGTCTTTTGAACCAGCTGCCATCAAGCGTGTTGTCTCAGTTGTATTCGCAGGGATCTTCACATTCTCATGTCGGTCAATCAATGACTCTGGAGTCTCGGATTCTATGGGTCTCGAATCTTCCTGTTCTTCCAACTCGGTCTGCAGTACATTGGCCATTTTCAACAATTCATCTGCTTCTTCAGTTTCCCCTTTACGCCTATGAGCTAAGGCTTTTCTTTTGAGACCCAAAAGCTCTCGTTGGATTTCCCCTTTACTTCTTCGTGCATTATGTGAAATTCTTGAAGTGGAAACAGCTTCGGTTAAGCTATCAAAGTGAACAGAACTAGCAGAAACTTGTACAGATGGCTTGACTTCTGCAACAGCTGGCACAGTTTCACCTTTCCACCCTAAGCTGTTCAGTACTGATAGAAGAGCTGGGTCATGCATATCTTTTTCAGTAACTGCTTCACTATCTTCCTTGAAATCAGATTCAACCTGGGTTTCTTTCTTGGGTTGATCCATATCCGCTATCTGGATCTCCAATTCTTTAGCTGATCTGAGCACTTCGTCAGCCTCATCGGGTTTTCCTTCACGTCTCAGAGTTAACGCCTTTCGTTTAAGTCCCAGAAGTTCCCTCTGTAGTTCACCTCTTGTTTTCGTTGATGTCCTTGTTGGTGGCACATTGGGTCTTGACTGAGTGACTGGAGAAACACTACTTTCCTCTTTCCATCCTAGATCACTTAGGAGGGAAAGGTAAGTCGGGTTGCTCAAGTCTTCTTCTGTTACATCTACATCACCATCATGTGAATTTCTCAAAAGATCTGAATCTTCATACCCCAGGTTAAAGTTCACTTCAACAGTAGTGCTGCTAACTTTAGTAGCATTATCCATCTCCTCGAGCTGTTTCTCAAGAATTTTCCCTTTCCTCAGTTCTTCCTCTGCCTCATCCAATTTCCCCTCCCTTCTCAACGAAAGAGCCTTCTTTTTGGACGACAGAAGCTCTTTCTGGATCGTCATTCTACTCTTAGGAGGAACTACATCTTTGCTCAGGTTCCTAAGTTGGGAAGTTGAAGTTTTTGGAAGAACGGTGGGCTCGCCACCATCTAAGCTCTCAAGGTTCTTTTCAAGCAACTTGGCCTTCTTTAATTGTGCCATTGCCTCAGCCACATTACCTGCTCGTTTAAGATTGAGTGCCTCTTTCTTCAGAGACAGGATTTCTTTACTCATTGCTTCCCTGTCAATGCTGACTTCCACTGCATCACATTCATCGGTCCACCCTAATGACCGAAGAGCTGCAGTCATCTCCGGGTCAACCAGATCATCATCAGTAACTTCAACATTAATATCAAAACCAGTATCATCTGAGAGACTATTGAAATTGAACCCAAGGTCTGGCTGATCGTAACTAGAGAGCAGATCATCATCATCTTTCCCACCATCCATGCCACGAATTAGTGCAGCGATCTCATCATCAGAATCTTCAGCTGCACCACCAAGCAGTTCCTGCTCTTCAAGTTCCTTCTCTAAAATTTTAGCTTTCTTGAGTTCTTGTTTGGCTTCGTCAAGCTTCCCTTCACGCTTCAGCATGAGAGCCTTTTTCTTAAGAGCAACAACCTGAGATTTGTCAATCCCACCAGCTCCTCTTTCTTTAGTATTCTTTTCAGATACATTTCCAAGAAGAGAATACAACTCTCCTTCCAGAGTCAAATTGGCAGTCTTTTTATCCTTTTCCTGGAGATCCATATCAGGCAATCCTAGGTCTCTGAGTTCAGAAAGAAAATCATCCTTCTCTTTCGTCCCTTGGTCATGGAGTCTACCTTTCTTTCCAGAATCCCCAACCGAGCTTACAGAACTCATACCCTTCCTACGGTTTTTCCTAATGGTTAACTCCAAAGCATCAGCTTGCCTCTCTAGTTCCTTCCCCCGCTTAAATGCCTTCAAAGCTTCATCCGATTTACCCTCTCCTTTCAGAATCTTATACTTTCCCTTTTCCTCCACAGCCCGTTTTCTTAATTCCTCAGGAGTTGTCTCCTGGTTTACATGATTATCACCATCAACCGAGTAACTTCGACTAATTTCTCCACCATGATCCATAGTGCTAGGCCCTCTTGTAGTCAGGCTCGAAGCACTACTACTACTCCCTAGAATCTGATTCAAAACTTCATCCTCATCTCTCGATGAGGATTTCGAACTCGCTCCTAAACCAAAAACGAGAGCTAGCTCATTCAACTGTACATAAAGTAAACAAGCACAACAAGAAATCCAGAGAAAGGTTTTTATTACCTTTGCCCGCCCTGTTCTTGTGACCATGGCGGAGCTCGAAGCGCGCGGCTTCCTCCAGCTGCTTGCAAGGATCGCAAATTCGCACTGGGGAATCGCCTTGGCCTCTCAGAACCATCCTCTGCTGCGTACAAGTCCCGCAAAACAATCCCCCGCATCTGCGGCAGTGATGCTGAAAATCGAAAGGCGGAAAAAAAGAAGTCATCGATTGAAAGTAGACGAAATCGCGATCTGGAAGTTAGAGACAGAACGAGGGACCAAGAAGAAGAAGAAGAAGGAGAAGGAACCTTGCGATTGATGAAGGTGAACTGAGAAGCGCAGCCTTGGCAATGCGTAGCATCGACAACCCAATTGTTTCCTCTCTGCGAGGGCTTCGGCGGTAATCCGATCTTCTCCAACATCTTCCTCCCTCTATCTCTTGAGTTACCTTACTCTCCGACTAAATTGATCGGGAATCGGATGCGAAGCGAGGGAGATTGGAATACGAAAGGCGCGAATTCGATAGCCGGCGATTTTGCTCAGCTGAATCTTCTTCTTCTTTTCGCCGGACTTTCTCGACAACAGATTTCAGAGTGAGAGAAGAAGACTTCCGTTTGCTTTCGTGGTGCGGCGACGTGTATATTCGTCACGTTTTATTCCGCGGGAGCCGACAGTTAATTTTTTTTAACAGATACAGTGGGCTTCTGGCTAGGCCTACATGGATATACGGTGGCCCACAGTTGTTTCACTTTAATAACGGGTCCAGACCGAAAATTGAATGGCCCAAATATGCATCTCTATTGTTTTAGGCCCAAGAATAGTTTGGCTATTAAGCTTCCTGCACAATCTCATATATTGGATGGATGTGATACATTGTATGAATAATGTCATCCAGAAATAAGTGCAAAGCAATCCTTGAAGTTGTCAGTTATCGTCGAAAAAGTCCTTATATTTGCACTCTCTTGTCCAGAAGTTGAGTTCTTACCTGGAAACGGTCACCTTCGAGCTCGTCGGGGTAGAATAAGAGATGAGGTTGTGGTAATTGTTGATTTGTGGGTATTTCGGTTGTGCTCTTATAAACACTAGTACTATTAAGTATTAACCTTGTAGAAGAAGGGAAGCTGAACTGATTGAGTTGTTGGTTCGGCACATGTAAGATAGTGTATTACATGCCATCAAGTAATTGGTGCATAAAATGCTTGAGTAGCACTACCAATCTCATCTGGACTGAAAGCTAACAGTTTCGAAATTTGTCTGACAGCAGCATCACTCATCTACGTGGTTCTTCCTATAGCAAAAAGTATTAACCTTAACGAGACTCTGTCATGGCTTACTAAGCCGCAACCCAAAGCTAATAAATGCTCCTTCCACAACCCAATGAAATTTGGAGCAATGAAGCAAAAATTAGGATTTCAAGGATGTCTGTTCGAATTGGAAACAAGTGCAAATTGAAACCCTCAAAACAAGATTACAACACAGGAACTAGGGCCGCATTTATTACAGACAGCCTCTACTAAAAAGAGCAAAGGAAGAACCAAAGCATAACAGGTACATACGATTTTCCCATGTTGACCTATAGAGAAGATTTGAATGCCTCGATCCCATTCAAGAAATGTACAAATGTCCCTGTCCCTTTGTCCCTACTTCTATCAAGCTAGTGATGGCAATTTCAACCCGCCCTGCGGGTATTACCCGACCCGCAGTAGCGTGGGGCGGGGCATGGGTATCTACTTCCAACCCGCCCTGCCCCGCCTCGTTCTAGACTCATTTTATTTCAATTTCTTACAATACCTATATATATTTCTCCTATTTTGACTTTTCTTCAACTAGTTAGAGTCGATCTTTCAACTTGTTAGACTCAATTATCCATTCTATTATCAATATTTTTCATTCTTAAAGTGTTTTTCCCCACTTTTTATTGTAAAAAGTAAAATTTACTTGTATTTTTTTTGAACAACATGTAAGAGTGGGTCGACCCGCCCCACCCGTACCCGCGCGGGTTTTACCCGCCCCGATCCGTAGTAGTGTGGGGCGGGGCATGAGAATTGAGGTACCCGCCCCGCCCGCCCCATTGCCATCACTATATCAAGCTCTATAACTAAATGTAGTTATGTGCAACGATGATCGACGTGGCTAAGTATTTTTGCAAGGTAAATTATGGTCATTGTAAAGATCGATTACATATTTACATGACTCGTATATGTACTGAAAAACGAGTTAAAATATATGATTATTTTATTTAAGGATATTTTTTATATGTTATATTCTCAATAAATACGGTAACATAGTGGGATTTGAACAAAACAAATTCACGTACAAGGCTAATACTTTTACGTACCATTAGGGCACATGCCAAACAGGGGGGGAAATGTTGCTCTCAGGGACTCATGTTCAAGTTCTATGATTGTACAAATTCTTGGTTTTGTGAGCACGCCATTTTTTAAATGGACTTATCTTCTGCCTTCTTGGTCGCCATAGCTTCAAATGTTGTCGACTTACTTCTGTTGTAATAGCAGCTTCTTGACATTCCATTGCTACAAGACAACTTGGATTGTTGAGCCATGAACGCATTGACCGCCGCCATTGATGGAAACCTCGGATTATGAGCTAATTGTCTTAAAGCCTCTCCAGAGAGCTTCCCCCTGTTCAGTGCACTGCAAATTCTCATCCTTTCATCCTTCCCACATAACTCCACATGTCCCTATGAGAGCAAAACAAAAAAAACACACACACTTACATAGGATTTAAAAAGGTAAAGTTAGAGTAGATCCTAGCAAAGTTGCCAAGGGGGTTAATTCAAAAAGGTTTACCTCAAGGTACATGTCAATAGCTTGATAAAGTACGTCACTTGATTCTCTTCCCGAATCCGGCAGAATCGTCAACAAGGCTAAGAACTTGTTAGTCTTCAATCGAATGTCAGGAGCTACTTCTCTAATATAGTTGTCAAACAAGTTGACAACTTTCTTCAATCGAGTTGGCGATACCCAACCTTCGATCAGAAATGCCTTGACTAGCCTCATCGCCAAATCCACATCGTACACGTGACGTTTGTTTCTCTTCCTTCCTCGGTGTGGAACAAGCATCAATCGGTCCAACGTGGCTCCATCTAGCCGCAATCCAATCAAAATCTCCAACTTCACCCTCTGGCACGACCTGATCTTGGCTCTCGAACGCGAAACGACTCGTAGAACGTCGAACAAACCCTTGCAAGACAGAGCACTCCTGTCGAGCATCGAGAACATGTCGACTGCAGTCTCCATATTCTTGACATCTACATTCGGAGTCGAAGTTGATCCAACATTAGACTTGAGGTGAAAGACAACAAACCTGAAAATGACCCAATGGTCCAATTTCTCAGCCACCATCAGCCTCACTAATTTGACAAACAAATCCGGTTTTAAAAACACGAGATCTTCAAACCACCAATTCCTCGACGAATAGTAGCTTCTGAAACTAGTTGCAGTACTACTAGAGCTGGTTGAGCCATCGGACGAGGAACTTGTTGAGGAACTCGTCACGACAGGCAGCAAGATCCTTGCTACGATGGATTCCATCACTTTCCTCAGTATGAACGAGGAGAATCTCGAGTTGGAAACAGAATCTAACTGGCACTGTTTCAGACCCGAAACAAGTTCCGACCAGGTCCAGTAACTGATCTCTTCAACATACTTTTCCGACCCGTCGATGTCAATCTCAAGAAACTGAGTGGCGCAGTGCAAGATGACGAAATTAGAGGGAGTGATTGGGAATTTTCCATTTCTGTAGCAGAATCTTGTCACCAGCTCGAATCCTTCTGCCCCTCCTGGGAATTCGTCGAAAATGACCTTCAGCTGGTTTGGTTTTTGACGAGTAGTGTTGCTGAATAACCGGCTCAGTTTGGGAGAGAAGGATTCCATGATTGACTGCGAGTAAGACAAACAGATAATGAGTAATGAAACAGGGGAAACAGAGCAGTAGGAAACTGTTGTACTAGTCACCTTGTCAAGGATGAAAACCTCGTCGCCATTAACGTCTACTTGAAGCTCTTCATGGCGAGCTTCCATTCTCTTTGAGTTGAAAGAGACGAAACTGAAATGTGGGTTTTGTTTGGAATGTCAAACTGTGGAAAGGGTATTTGGTTGATTTTCTGCCACTGTGGCTTGCCTTTTTGCCGTTACTTATGGCGTCGATTTTTAAGTGCTAATGGAAACGAAAACTTCGGCCTTGAAACTTCTTTCTTTCAGTTTCAGACTGAAACTTTCAGTGGAATTCTAACTGGATTCCACCGCGTAAAGTCCAATAAGGTCAAAAAGCTCGTCATTTTTTATTTGGATGATGGATCACAGTTGACTAAATGTTAGGCCTAGGCCCACTACAGATTACAAAGTGGTTTGGTGGCCTATAATAAAGGCTCAAGTATGAAACTACTATTTGAGGCCCAACTAAAACAGTAAAACTTGTAGATAAACAATTTATTGATCCTAGTAATTGGGCCTTACAGTTAGGACGTGGAACAATGGATCTTATCCGGTTTCATCACATACACACCTCACCTCCAATGAAAGTTTGTACATTGACATAACATCTTGCAGTTAACTCAAACAAACATTGAATTATATTGTTTTTAATATACAAAAGCAACAAGTGAGAGCTCTACCATCACACTGTTTTTTCATATCCGTAAAAAAAATTGTTGATAGATCAACTGAATATCAAGATTAGATAGACTCTTTATTCGTAGCAACAAGCATGATTAACTTATGAAATGAAAAACCTTTCTCAACATATTGTGGAAAAGCCCAGTAACAATACAACATAGACGAACAAGAGAGACAAACACGAAATCTCAAAAACACGAACTCAACATACGTGCACTATCGGTTATTTTTCCCCACCATACAACGTTCACTAATATCGTGACTGATCAAGAGGACTCGAGCTTGAGAGGGTGAACAAGGAGAGACAGAATCTGCTTCTTATGATGATGTTTGTGGTCTTGCCCTCCAAACCCATCGCCATGTTGGTACAAGTTATGGGCCACACGAGCCATGTTGGTGGTTATGTCCACGAATAGCCCGGGAGTGATCATCGGCGGCTGCCGGCCAAAGCATTGCTCGTTGATTTTCTTCCACACTTTGGTTATCAATCCTTTGATGTGATCCTTGGCTTTCTCCTCCGTTGTATTGGCTTCACGCATGTAACAAGCTATTGACGAGGATGCCACTTCCCCTCTCTCTTGCTCTACCTACAAATCACAAAACGCGATTCATATATAAGACGAATCGATTCGACCCAAGTATGGTTCGATTCGGTTTGGTAAATCGAAACCGTAAAAAAATCATCAGAATTCGAAACCGAATTAGCCAACTGCCCAAAACCGAAACATAATAAGTAGTTACCTTGGAAGTTCCAATGTCGTTGCATAGGCGAATGATGAGGCAGACGTTGTGAATGAGATGGTGATGATTTTTCTCCGATAAGCCTTTCATTCCCCTCGTCGTGTTACTGTTTAACACCGAGAAAAACGAGTGGACGGCGATGACTGTGCCGGACGACGAGACGCTGCCGTTGGTCAGATACTCTTTTAGCGACGGGGTCCGTCCGCCACGGCACCATTTTGCTTCCACTAGCATTGCTTTGCAGAAATCTCCCCACTAATTACAAGAAACAAAAATATTTGAGGAATGATTAATTAAACACGTTTTTAAAAGAGTATCATTGATTTATTTGATTTAATTACCACTCTTTCCAGGTGAGGCTGCACATGGTCCTCGCCTTTCTCGTTTTGGATCTCAACTGAGATTTCTTCTGTGATGTCAGTTAGAGCTTGGAAGCACAACTTCATAGGTTTAGGCAGTTTGTCCACTTTCCTTGCATTCCGCCTGTTTATTAATTAGTGATCAAATTGTTAAGAAAATAATGTTATGCACACCCAATGCATTTGAGAAAATAAGTGTTGTAGATGTCCGAGTGAGAATTATATTTTAGCGGGATCCGAAAATGATCGAATACAATATGTCCTAATGATAAAAGGTAATTTTCTGTGATTAGGGGATCCATAATTCAAAATGTAAAAACTTCATCTTAAAAGTTCATAATTTTTAATGTGTGTTAAGTTTTCAAGTGGGATTGATGAACCCACAATCTCTAACAAGCTCTGTCAATGCAAAATTCATTCAACAATCTACCTAATATGGTGTGTAATTGATGGTGTGCATGTGACACGACGTCAAAGTGTGTAAATGTTCCCAAAAAAAATACTAAAAAAAATATATCAGTCTCTAGCTTGTTCCAAACAACAACTTTGCTTACTTTTCAATGGCGGCTGTAAAGTGTTTTAGCTCTTCTATGGAGCCATAAACATCGTAAACATCATCCAAGATCAGTATCATGATTATAATTTTCGTGAGATGTATTCTGAAACTGCTAAACTCTGGCTCGACTGCTAGCCCCACGGAACACAGGAAGCTCTCCACAATTCGATCCCTCGTGAAGTCCAGCCTTTCAATGAGACCAAGATCCTTCCACCACCTATATGATCAACAATATTCTTCTTAATTATCTGAATTCAAATCCTTTCAACAATGTAGTCACATGCCAACCATACACTAATGTTCGATATATGAGACATTTCGTACACCACGTTACCTGGCAATCTGCCTCAAATCCTTCTGCAGTGCGGATTGGACCACGTTGAAGTTGACCTTAGCCAAGTCAATCAAAGCCCTGTCCACCTTCTTCCTCTTCTCGTGGACCTTGATATGCCATTTCACGTCGAACCACTGTACGCGCCAGTGGATTGGTAGCTCCAGAGCGTGGGCCACACATTCTGCCAGGTCCTTGTCATGATGAAGTAATAAGCTCGGATAGCTGCTCTTCAAGATTCGTGCTGAGAAACGATTGGCTTCTTCCATGATATCTTCATGCTCCAGTCCCAAATGTGAAGCCTCAAATAGCTCCACTAGCCCTAATGTGTCCCCGCAGCACTTGCTTTCCATGAAACTCCTTGTGGGTTTGTCCACAAACTCACTGAAAATGTCTTGAACAAAGAGCAAAAAGAACAAAGAAAACAAGTTTTCGATCACCATAGCTAAAGTGTGTTTATTGCCTTCCATTAGCTAAAACCCAAAGTTAGACATGAATTTGGTTACGTACCTTGAGAAACATGATAACCATGTTGTCGGAGGAGCCTGAAGGACAGTGCACAGAAATGGAGACTGTGTTTCATGTGGGAACTCGGCTTTCCAATAGCAAATGACACAACGTGATCAAGACCTTCTTTTATTTCATCCTCGAAGAAGCTAGCTAACCCTAGCTTCCTCACGCTGTCAACGAGCTCCAGCTTAGCCACCAAATCGTCATCTGCTACTACTTGTGCAAAGATGAGCTTCGCTTCCTCTTTCAACTTCTCAGCTCGTACCTCATATTGCCTAATTTCCTGATTTTTTTTTATAATACAAATAGAAGAGGATCACACAAACGAATCAAAGTTTTCTTCAAGATGCTTTCCACCTTATGAAAGAAAGAAAGAAATGTTTAGATTATTATTTCACAAATAATAATAAAAAAAATCCAAAAGAACACGAACATTCATTCAGCTATAACATGAGTAGAGGACATGTACGAAACAAGAACATTATGATGATAGAAAATAAAACTGAAATACGGAATCAATGTATACATACTTGGTCTTTGGGCTTGTAATTGGCCGACCTCCTCAAATCATGCTTCGTCATATTGGTGATTTGGTAGTCTCTCTCCCAATCAAACCAAATTCTTTCTTTTACTTTCTTCTTATAGAGATGCTTGTGAATCATATACTATTACTTAATTACTTATATAGGGAGTTAGGGACCCCAGGTGCCTGGGAATTATGAGCTGAGACCACCATGTTATGGTGCTTTTTACTTGGTCCTTGCAACTTTAGATTCCAACATATGAGGACTGCGACCTAGTCCAGGCATTGAAATTTTGATGTCCCATAGCATCTTTAAAATTCTATATAAAAAAATTGAAAAATATCTCGAGTGGCAGTGTGCACAATTCGAACACAAGATCTTCAAACGATGAGTGAGTCTGATTAGGTCTTAAGTGGTTTGGTTGGTCAATAGTTCGTTGGATGAGGGACAACAACGCTTATGTGCAGGTTGAAAAATAGTCTTTTGCTAATTAAGACAGTTGTTTAAATTAATAAAAACCTAATTGAATGCAAGTAGGAGTGGATACTATATGTGACCAAGATGAAGAATCAGATGATCATGTAGTCTTTTCGAAGTGTGCATATAATATAACACGGAAATCTGATGATATCCAAGTTCACATTGTATATTTTGCAAGTATGTTTCTTTTACGTGGTTTGGCTCAAAATATGTTTACCCTTCTAGATTTATTTAAACAATTTCAAATAATTTTACAAAATATATGTCGCGCTTCTTTAAATTATCATGCGCGAGGATGCATTTATCCAAACTAGCCACACATAAAAATCTCACTTTGGATGGAACTTTTGAGGGCCAAAAAAGTGCGAGTTACTTTTAGATATTTTGTCAAACAACTTTCATTCATTCAAATATCAGTTGAGTATAAGCTAACGAAGACAATACCCGTTGGAAATTTGGCTGCCTCAAATAATAATCCATCTGAAGTGCGGATTGGGCCACGCTGATGAAGTTGACCTTAGCCCAACCAAACAGAGTCTTGTCAACGTTATTCTTTTCGCTCGTGGGCCTTGATCAGCCCACTGATCACTTTCGAACCACTGTACGGGCCAATGGAATAATTGGTACGTACGTAGAGCTAGGGCTGCAAAGGAGCAGAACTATTCGCGAGCGGTTCGGCATTCGATTCGAGAAGCTTGCGGCTCGTGAAGCTCGCGAGCTAGCTCGATTCGGTGGCTTGTTGAGCTAAACTCGTGAGTTTGCTCGTTTAGAGCTCATGATATGTCTCAACATGTGGCTAGAGAGCCAACTCGATTACCGAATTATGGACGAATTAATCTATATCTTATGATTTTAAATCATATGGTTGTTAAATTATATATCTCACCATATATAAAGTTTAACACATTGAGTATGTGAGCAAATATATCTTATTTTTTACTTTAAAAAGAAATTATGTATCATGGATTGCTTCGATACTATGAAATAACATGATTTGGAGTAGTTAAAATGTATTAACTAAGTGATATATGATACCAACAAAGTATAATATGAGATTAGCTAACAAAATAAATCATATGTATCATGATTTGGAGTAGTTAAAATGTATTAACTAAGTTCGAACTCGACTCGACTCGTCAATAAACGAGCTGAGCTCGAGCTCGACTCGTTTATTAACGAGCCGAACTTAAGCTGTGATAAAGCTCGACTCGATTTGGCTCATTTGCAGCCCTACGTAGAGCCTGTCAGTATTTTGTGAAATGGTACCGAATAGATGGTTTGATGGGAATATTTTTTTTATTGGTGTCTGATTGATAATGCGATTTTTAGCTCTATGAAACATTTGAACCCAAAATATCATATCTTACTAATTTTTTCGGTTCACTGTCGAGTACGGTTTTATAATCGATTAGACTTTGGAGCGTGCATGGGCCATGCATACACGTTCTGCCAGGTCGTTTTTGTGATAATAAGGCTTGGTGGGATAGCTGCTCTTCGAGACTGTGGCTGAGAAACGATTGTCTTCTTCTTCCGTATATAATATCTTCCTGTCGTCTCGAAACCCGAATGCGATGCATCATATAGCTCCCACTCCACTACTAGCCCTAATATAATATCTCCCATGAAACTCCTCGTGAGGTTGTAAAATTTGATAATGTGGAAAGGAAATAAAATAAAAATATATTGATTTATGTGATGTTCTAGTTTAATATGAACGAGACTACTCTAGAGAGAATTTGAAGCTCTCAAAATAGTTTTATTATATCTCTTCTCTCTTAAGTTCTGCGGCCAGTACATTAGGTTTTTAACTTTTTATATCCGAAACACAAACCCTAAATTCCGATACACAGGCTACCCGGAATAAGGAGGAAATTACCGAGTGATCCTTAATAAATGAATAATTAAGAATCACTACAATGGTTAAGCTTCATAAAGCCATTTTATTTTATCGAACACAAATGCTCAACAAAGATATTAAAATCTCCTCAACAGAAAAGAAAAGAGAAAACACCATAATAACACAATAATTGTCATCTTGTCTCAAATTCAACCCAAACCGATGTCGCTTAATCATCCTCGACAGCGCGCACAATCTCCCATTCTGCCTTTGCCTCACTTCAGAACACCTATACCTTTGAAGTACTCGACGGTTTCATCGTAGATCTCTTCCAATCCATGCTGGAAACTGAATCCCTCTCCGACCAGCTTCTCCGACGAGATTCTTAGCTTCGCCTTCTCCGGAAAATCACCAAACCTTCAAGACAATATATTATTAGTCTTCACATAAACACTAGAACCAGATCAGACCATAAGAATATCATCGACGACGGTCGTAAAGCGGTAACGTCAAACCCCGCAAAGCCTTTTACTAAACTGGTCAACTCATAGATATTTGTAAGGCTTTTGAATGTTGGGCCGTGGGCTTACTCTGTATGGACATTGTACTGTGGATATCGGGCCTTGAGGAAATGGGCCAGCTCGACAACGCTGGTGTTGGCAGCACAGCAGATGAACCGGCCGGCGGCGGATTCCTTCTCGGCGACGAAGACATGGGCGCGACAGACATCCTCGACGTGGGTGATCGAGATGGAACCCGACAACATTTGCATGCCCTGAAGCCCGTTGATGAGGAACTCGTTCCCTGCACATTTGTACATGTCACATTTACAGCCTTTTCCAAGACCAAAGTATTCTCCATTTCATAATACAATCTCCATATTCTTTTTTAATTTTGTGCAATGTGAACTGAACCGTTCTAACTTTAGGTAAGGCACGATAATCCTTCAAATAGAACGAAGATTGTATACATAAGACTATTATACAAAAACGATATTTGGCTATTATACAATTCGTCAAGCAAATCAATGTGAAACTAAAGTTGATTTGAATTTCATACATAGTTTTACTCTTATTTAATGTGATCACTTGAAAATAAAGGGCCAAACGAGATTAGGTTAAATGTATTATCAAGTCGAGTTTAGTCCTAATGTGATAAATAGGGAACGAGTTAGCTTGCTAACTATAAGGGGGTCAGCACTATTATAACCAGATGTGTAGTCATTATTTTTACAATTTAGACGCAACAATAATTGTAATCATTGTTTTTTAGTTGTGATAGTTGTTTTTTGCACTTGTAGGCTACAACTCTGACGCGTGCTACCCGGTCGAGATATATCGTGATAGAGAAAGAAAGAAAAAAAAGATAAGGCAATTATTTTGACTATATTTAGTTACACCAATATTTGACATCTCAATAATGACCAAATGCGAGTAGCGCAAATGATGAAAACCCACCTGTGAGTAAGGAGACGGCCAGATTAATGCTGCTAGGAGTATCAACCGTCAGAGGACGGCCGGCGACGAGAGAAGGAATGACGGTGACCAGATCAATGTTGTTTTCTTCAGCAAATTTCCAGGCTGCCCTCTCGGCAAGTGTCTTCGAAACAGGATACCCCTATACAAATATTACCCTCTCTATGAGACCCAACATTATGATGAAACGGTAAAAAAAAAAATTACTGTTGTTCTTAAGAGTATTTATGTAATAAAATTTACCCAAGTTGGAGGCTTTTCTGCAGTTAGGAACTCGACGTCGGTCCAGTTTTCCTCGTTCAAGACTAAATCCGTCTCCTTCAGCTTGTTGATCGTGACGGCGGCGGCCGACGAAGTTAGGACGACCCTTTTCACCGTTTTGGCTTTGACGCATGCTTTCAGGACGTTTTCCACTCCTTGGACCGCCGGCTTGATCATATCATTCTGTTTTGCATAGTGCAATTACAAATTTACAAGCATTGCACCCATTTTTTATCTTTTATGTAATGTTGGACTATATAAGATAATTACGATTATGATAATTTTGAGCATGTACGAGAAATGCAATGTATTGTAACGTTTAATGTTAATCGTAACCACATATGTTGTTTTTTTTTTTTCCAACTTACCTCTGGGTCCTGAGAAGCAAAATTAACCGGAGTCGCAACCAGGAAAACGAAGTGGGAACCCGCAATCGGAACATCAAAACTTTCCTCGTCGGTTAAATCTGCAGCAAAAATTTCCAGGTCACCCAATTCTTTTAGCGGCAGAAGGTGTGATATTCTCTTCTTGTTATCTGTACACACACAAAAATAATAAAAAAATGCACCATTCATTAAAAAGGAAGAACATTCATAAAGAAACGATTTGGTGAGACGTGCCACAAGACCATAAAAAAACAAACATGAAATCAACATATTCTTAAACTAAAACAACAAAAATTTACTAAGACGAGCTACGAACCGGGATCTCTAACAGTGGTTCGGACAACATAACCCTTCTCGAGCAACAACTTGACGAGCCTAGACGCCACGAACCCCGTCCCGCCAATCACACAAGCTACCTTCTTGGTCTCCGGATCGGCAGTGGTAGTAGTCGTCGCCGCCATCGGCCTATTCCTTTCACCGCCGGGAGAGGGGGAAAATCAGTAGCAAGATCTTTGCTTGATTTCACGGCCAAATGGACAAACGTTTCCACCTTTTTTTAATAACGACATAATAAAGTAGGGGTGACGGTTTTCAAATGGGCCGTTACACCTAATAGTCGCACCAAATAAAAATTTTGGGAGAAGGTAAGCACGAGGAATCAGGCGCCACCAACTCAATTTTTTGCTCCCCTGGTTTTCATGGCTGGAGGCTGATAATATATAAGGAAAGGGATACATATGCTTTCTGTTTATGGAGTTAATTTGTGGTATATTTAGTTCCTTTGGTGGTGGGTTTGGTGAGTTATCACACTCGGTGAGAATGAGAGCAATTTAATGCTAATCAAAATTAACCTCTAACCGTTATGCTTTCGATCCCGCCTAATCTTGTATCAAAGGATGTAGGTTTGTCTCGCCTGCCAAGTGCCAAATACCAATATTGTAGAAGTGCTAGTTTTATTTGGAGTGAGCTCTCTTTGTTACTGGCTTTAGTTAGTTGTAGATTGGGGATAACTTAACAGAAATGCGTCAAGATCACCCATCAATCGTTCTTTATGATCCCAGCGTGTTTTCTGGATATTTCATTGTTTGGCGGGAAGATTTAAGTGTTGCATTTGAAAATCGAACCAAAGTTAATAAGTTGGTGGATCTTTGGTACATTTTTATTGAATTGATTTTCAAATATCACGTAGAACGGAGTGACTAGACACAAATTTTTAGCTGAAAAAATTAGTGTAATTTCGGTGTATCATTGACTTTTTTTTGTTGTTGTCAATGATAGTGCAATTTCCTCTATAAATTCTCTATATTTCCAAAAAGTCCCACGTTGAACATAAATTGATGAAGATCATTGCGTGGACTTTAGAGGTATCAAATGGATTGGATTCATGTATTGGATTGGTCGATTGACTCAAGGATACAAGTGACATCTACACATTGAATAAATATATAAATTTTGAAAATTTTAGATACTAAAATGGCATAAAACATTCTCGGTATCGAAATGTTATTTTCAATGATATTTTTCTTTAAAAAGTTCATTTTAAGTACCAAATTGTAAAATATAGACTAAGCTGTAATTTGCCAATTCATGGATCTATTTGGATTTGAATCAAATAAATTAAATTTAAATGAATTAAATTAATTAAATATTTATGTGGGTGAATTGGATTGAGATAATGATTGAATACAATATTTTCACATGGTCTTCCAAGAAAATGAGCTGGTAATTGAAACTGTGGGACAGAACGATCAATAACGCGAAGAAAATTTAGTTAGAATACAATCGAGCTCGTTACAAAAGCCCGATAGAAACGAGCCCAAATGGTCGACTGAAATTCTCTTTTGGAATGAACGGCTACTTGCATAAGCACAACAAAAATCATCGTCACAACTGATTCTCAGCATGTAATTTTCAAGCACAGAACATACTTTTTCCTTCAATTCCACAAAGCAACCAATAAGCGTTTTTCTTTTCAATGTAATCTCCCCAATGAATCATGCTACCTCACCATTAATCCTTATAGCACAGTCTATGCAGAGTCAAATGTTAACCAAGTGAAGAGTAATCTCTAGGACTTCAATCATTAAAATGAAGTTCTATCCATCTGTTTCTTGTCACAGTTTGTGACAGAAACTTTTCATTGAGAAATGGCAATTAGGGGGAAAACATCCAACTTTCAAGGTCTACAAATCACCACAAAGCAAGGGAGGAGAGCTTTAGGGTCAAGCAAATAAAGCTCCTCAACACTTGAATGCTGACCGATTTTCCCAGCAACCGAATCGAACCCAACGGACCGACTCCCTATCATCATCTCCTCAACATTCTCCACCGGTTTATGAACCCTCCCGGCTATCACTCTGCACAGAACCAACGCCTTCCTCCTCCCACAGTCGCCACTCGCCTCCTCCAACGCTCTCTTGCTAGTTGAAGCAGTGAAAACACCGGCAGCATTCCTCCTATCCAGAGAGAATCCACGTCTCAGAATCCTACACACCCCACATTCCTCCGCCCTGCAGAGGATTGACGAAGACGGGCCATTGGTCGTTGTTGTGCCAAGAGAACATGCGACTGTCGTGCCATGGAACCGCAACAGCTCGTTGCCATCGGCGAGGCAGCGAGGGTGCTTCGTCAAAAGCTTGGTGGCTCGGAGCTTGACCTTCTCTCGGTGTTGCTCGAAGTGGGAGAGAGTGGTTCGGGTGTTGTTTACCTTGAATACTCGTTCTATGCGGATGGGGTTGCTCTCGGATTTCGGCCAGCTTGTTCGGAAGATGATTTCCACTATTCTCCTTGATGAGTCGCCATCTATTAGCTCACTAACTGTGAGAAAAGGAAAAGAACACTCGGATGATCAGAGCAGAACTCAGAAACCCAATGATCCTACATCCAGATCAAATTGAAGTTGACATTTATATTCCCATCCAAGTAAAGTTCAATTTTGATTCCAAAATCCGAGACTTTTCTTTACCTTGTTCCATTTCCAATGGATCTTTTAACTCGAAAGGCTGGGAAGAGCTCAGATAAAATGGGATTTATCTAACCTGACCAAATTGAGACTATAACATAGTATGGAATTTCGATTCAATCCTATAACAATGAAGTCCATCAGATTCCTGACCAGACCAAACCGTAATTCTATCAAATTGACATCCAGAAAGTGGAAAATATGCCTCCAACAAACAGGAAAACAGAGAAAAAATGCAATTCACTTACTCACCAGCATGGTCGGAGACTTGATGCTCTTCAACCTCCTCCGCCTTCTTAAACTGCTTACCGCACTTCCTGCAAGTCAGAGTCGATACTCCATCATCACAATGGCCATCACTCCTGAACCGAGAAGGCTTCTCTTCGCCACCGCCATAACCCAGTGAAACCGCCGGTACCTTTCTTCGAAGAATCTCGGGAGAGGTCAGCGCCACAGGACTTGGATGAGAGTCATGAGACAACATTGTTATCTTGAGCTCAGCCGTGGTATCACTTAGCACTACTTCATGAGTCACAGGGTTGAGGAAATCTCCGCTGCCAAGAGACCTCGGGCTGCAAGCAAGAACCTTACGATTGTTATCATCATCAGAATGCCGTTTGCTTCCATGAATGACATCTCTAAGATTAGACAAAGATCTCGAACAGGTAGAACTGCATAGATTCCTCTTCGGAGTTGGACCACTGGCCGCAGCTGCAGGCTCCGACTTGCAATTCTGAAAAGATTTCTTCAGCGAAAGCCAGAGAGTCTGCGTTTCCTTTTCTTCACCGCTCATGTTTTCTGTACCTCATGATTATCTTCTGCTGTCGTTTGTGTGTACATATAGAAGCTAGCTATCCACCACGGTGGAGTTAATGAAATGTCTTTCTTGGACCAGGCCACGAACGTAAGGATCATAAATTGCTACCTGTTGAGGTAACACGCTAAAAAAACCATTCATGTAAGAAAATTCCAAGATCTGGAGCGTCAGGAGATACTAGATTCCAAAAAAGCAAATGAATTGAAAGGGAAAAATAGCGAGATTAAAAAGATGATTTCTTACCGTAACAAGCCAGGCCACCAGGTTCGAAGAACTCGCCCGGGGTAAAAATCATATCTCCCTTTACCGCTCTAATAATCAGAAAGACTTGATTTTTTTTTTGTTTTTGATCGGTGAAAACTGAAAACTAGAAAAGCTAAACTTCCACTCAGCCACTCAGCAGAAAAAACCTGCCTTCCATGTGAGGATACCCTAGAGTACAGACAATAGACATTTTACTGTACATTATCAGCTCCGGGAAATACTCTCCCCGTGAAAGCCGAAGACTCGTCTGACAAGCAAAATACCCAATTCGCTGCCAAGCTTTCTACACCACTAGAAAACTACGGTATCTGACAAACCAAGGTCGATCTATTACGCGTTCTGGAAAATTCCTCCTATATCACATTGCATTTATACTAGAAGATAACGAGCGACTATAGCTCAGCAAATTTCCTCTAATGTCTAATTATCACTTCAGAGTACAATTTCTGCCAATATGACTCGTTCCCATCAGCTAAGCTCAAAGTCAGCTACGATCGAGATGTTCGTCCTAATAAATCGGCCTTAATTTGTTGAATAAGACATCCCACTAATGGGTAGCCAGTTCAGTTACCATGTCTAACAAGCAATATCTTATACATTACTCTACTCTAAGAGGAGATACTGTTATCTACTAAAGAAGGTAAAGATTAAAGAGAGCAAGATTCAGGAATATACTCTAGTTCGTCCTAATAAGTCGGCTTTAATTTGCTGAATAGGACATCCCACTACTGGTTAGCCAGTTTAGCTACCATGTGTATCAAGCAGTAATCTTATACATTACTCTACTACAAGAAAGAGTTACTGATATTCACTAAAGAAGGTAAGAGATTAAAGAGAGCTTCAGAAATATACTCTGGTTATTCTGGTAACAAGCTTCACATGTAAAGGTAAACACTTGGAAGATATACAAACAACAGACCTTGTGTTTGAACTCAGGACATCATCGAAAAGTACGAATACAACTAGACTTATCATGTTATTTAATACAATGGTACGATAGAACACAGACAAGTTGGACTTTTCAGAAACTGGCAAACATATGGGTACAGTCGATCTCTCACAGAAGAAGATAGGGGGAACCAAAAGCAGAACCTTGGTGTTTGTTCAAGCGAGAACGGAGGCACTCGAGTCCCGTTACTTGAGAATGATCTACAAAAAGGTTCACCTGCAGAAAACTCATCGATCATTGATAGCAATAGTATGAGAGATCAGTTGTCCTGTGTCGTTTATGATGAGTCTATATATTAAGCATCATACCTTGGGACCATAACGCTTGACAAACCACTCTGAAGTTCTGGGATTCGATGCTTCGAACATGGTCTTCTCAATGCCCAAACGGCCAATGATCTTAGCAATTACATCTGCCCTTAGAGAATCAGCATCCTTGGAGAGATCATCAGCGTCAATCATTATCATATCGGCTCCAGCTTGCAAGCATCTCTCAGCCCTTCTAATTAGAAGATTGACATCCTCAACCATTTCTGCAAACCAAAAATGGTAGTTCCGGCTGAAATAGCGTAAATGCCTCAGTTAATCATCAATGCTCGTTTACTTTTCTACCATATCCTCACCAGATGAACGAGGTGCTGGTGGCACATAAGCTCCAAATGCTCTATTCCTACCAGATGGGACATCAGACTTGTTAAACATGATGGCGAATTGGGGTTTAGCTTTCAGCCCACCGCTCTTGATCAGACGCACATATCGCAGGAGCGTGTCTTCAGGAACTCCCAGTGACTCCACATTCAGCTCAATCGTATCAAACCCCATGTTCTTACATTCCTAATAGCAAAGCACCGCGTCAAGAAAAGCTACTCACTAATGCAATGAGATGTTGTTCTTCGTTTCATAGACGCCTCACCTCTACATAATCTTTGAAAGCAGATGGACCTTGACGAAGCAGATGTTCAGCCCAATCCCCTGTACTAACATACACATCGTGCCGATGAGCCACATCGATCACTTCCTTGATAAACGACTTGGGCATTAAGCTGTGAGAGCCTCCGGAGAACTTCAGTCCATCGACAAATTGCCCGGTGGATTCGAAGATGTCCTGCCGCACGCAAATACAAGCAATCATTCAAATCGTAATATTCTTCACCACAGGAGCATTACATCAAACACCTGTCCTACGGAGTTGTTACCCTCATTCCGATAACAATGCACAAATTGGTACCAGCATAAACCGGAGGGGAAACCGACTATCACGACGAACGAGAAGAAGATAAGAGAGGGAATGAATGCTTAGGCGACGTACTTGCAGAAGGTTCTGGCTGAGAAAGTTATACTGCGGGCCTCGCATTTCAGTGACACCGTAGCGTCGAGGCTTCTCCGGCCGATCCTCGTCGTCGTCCTCGAAGTACTTCCAAAACGCCGCCGCCGCCGACATAGTTCCTCCTTTCCGAATTCCTCTTCGGTTCTGCTATGGAGGAAGCGAAGCAGGTTTTTTCTTGGTTGTTTTGCTTTTATTGATCGGTTAATCGTCTCCCGGGCAAATTTCCGCTTGTTTCTGGAACGACCAGCGGTGACAGAGAAGAACCATTGAGTTCCTTCTAGAACTGGACCTACATAGTTGACACGTGTTATCAACCAGTCGGATCTTCAGTGTATGGCCTTTACCTATTGGGCTTGGATTTGAAGGGTTTGCTGATAAAAGCCCATTACTGTGATAGGATCTCGGCCTGAGCTTATGGAACTGACACTAAAAAACTAGCTAAGACATGATGTGGTGGTTGATTGTCTCGTCTCTCAACAATATGATGTTCAGAAATTTGATTTTTAACATGAGAGTAAAGTCCATTTAGTGGCACAACAGGCCCTTTTATCGGCAGTTCGACTACTTGTCGACTGGCGCGTTTGGTTGTGTGATGTTCTCTGACTATTTATTTCCATCTATCTATGCAAAAAAAAATAAAGTTCATTTCGTGATCAATCACCTACATTTTTCGTGCAATTATGCACGACCAATATAACTAGTCATTAAATTTTGGAAAAAATCCCAAGTTACACATGTTTTTAAAAAAAAATTTCAAAATACACAAGTTATGAAAATAATTTCCAATCTACGTTAGTTTGGGCCATCACCGCTGTCGACGAAGACAGTGATTGCATCACCGCTGTCGACGAAGACAGTGATTGCATCACTGCAGTACACAGCCGCGGTGAAGGTCTGACCTGCACCGAAACTTTAAACAAACGTAACTTTGTGCTCGGTTATCCGATTGTAGCGAAATTTTTTTTGATTCCGCATAATTTTTCGAGATCTTGCAAGCCGCAAATTGCCGTAGGCGGTTTGGTCCCGCCTTCGTCTCGAAAATATGTCGTTTGCTACCCCGAACGAGCCTTTTTTCGATTTCGTCAAACTTTGAATGACCATAACTTTGTGCTCCACAATCCGAAAATCATGAATTTTTTTTTGATTTCGCATAACTTTTTAAGGACTACAATATTTAGTAGGAGAGAATTTTCAAAAAATGAATTATTTATGGATATAAGGGGTTTTGGGAATAACTTTACCTTCCTTTTCTGGAATCCAAGTACATTCCGAAAATATGTCTATGATAAAAATTGTAGTCCTTAAAAATTTATGCGAAATAAAAAAAAAATCATGATTTTCGGATTGTGGAGCACAAAGTTATGGTAGTTCAAAGTTTGACGAAATCGAAAAAAGGCTCGTTCGGGGTAGCAAACGACATATTTTCGAGACGAAGGTGGGACCAAACCGCCTACGGCAATTTGCGGCTTGCAAGATCTCGAAAAATTATGCGGAATCAAAAAAAATTTCGCTACGATTGGATAACCCAGCACAAAGTTACGTTTGTTTAAAGTTTCGACGCAGGTCAGGCCTTCACCGCGGCCGTGTACTGCAGTGATGCAATCACTGTCTTCGTCGACAGCGGTGATGCAATCACTGTCTTCGTCGACAACAGTGATGCAATCACTGTCTTCGTCGACAGCGGTGATGGCCCAAACTAACGTAGATTGGAAATTATTTTCATAGCGTGTGTATTTTGAGAATTTTTTTTAAAAACATGTGTAACTTGGGATTTTTTCCTTAAATTTTACTAACATCTCTGACTTCAATGTTTGAAACTAGTAGAAGATTTTGGTACTTTTATTCGTTTATCATGAACTATATTAAAAAATTTCTTTACAGTCAAACTGATGATATTTTAGATGTTGGTACTTGGTAGTCTCATTATCACTAGTTCAACTCTCGACTCAAGTTTCAGCTACTCGAGGTTCGATAAGTTGGTGAAACTTTTTTTTAGATCAAGAGCAATAGGAAACATGAATACATGAGTCACAAACCAAAGCTTGCCTAGATGTGAGTTGTCTTCAATCTTCATCGCACCAAAAGAAGTTGCAGGAGATGAATGCTCGTTAGGAGATACTCTGCTTTTCTTGTCCCCCATGGAAGGAATCAGAACTAGTTACCCCACAACTTGGAGACCCAAAAGGAAGAAAAAGGAAGGAACTATAACATAACAGAAACCCCAAACAAGGCAAAAAAAAGACAGAATAAAGCAACCTCGTTTGGGGACAAAAGGAAGCTTTTTCACTTTTCACCTTACTAACAGCTAATCCCATCGCGCACTAACAGCAGAGGAGGATCAATCGACAATGGAGGGGTGTGGGCTTAGATTAGATTAATAACCCATTACCCACCCATGGCTAATCAACCCTTTATTCGTATTCCCATCTTCCACGCACTCTCCCATTCGTTTCAACATAGATTGCTTCTTCGAGAATATAATCCACTCCACCCAGCTTATATAAGTATGAAATGATTCCTGTTCTCTCCCCAAGCTTCATCCAAAGACGACTCAGACATTTGGGCTTCCTCTCCGACGACTAGAAAGAGAAAGAATGTCGAATAATAAGAGCATTGGTGTGGCGATTTGCCTTCTGATCATGGCCTTGGATGTCACTGCTGGCATACTTGGGATTGAAGCTGATATCGCCCAGAACCAGGTATGTTACCTTCATGTGAGGCATTTGAAGGTGAAGCATTTGAAGCTGATTGTTTCTGCTAAGATGAATGATGGAGCTCTGAAATTTTTTTGGCTTTTGATCTGGACCAGGTGAAGCATTTGAAGGTGTGGATCTTTGAGTGCCGAGACCCGAGCCTGAAGGCCTTCAAGCTTGGAGTTGCGGCGGCAGTGTTACTGACGTTTGCGCATGTGATTGCCAACTTGCTCGGTGGGTGCGTTTGCATGTCGTCCAAAGCAGAGTTCCAGAGAGCCTCCGCCAACCGGCAGTTAGCCGTCGCCTCCCTCGTCTTCGCTTGGTAATACACTGAATTCCTGAAGCTATCCCTTTCTTTTCTCCTTCTGTAACAGAACTTGGACAGATCAGCCTTCTGGTCATGTTCACATCACGGCACGGGTGGTAATAATTTGGGGTTTATTGGATTGCCGAAAACAGGATCACGTTGGTGGTAGGGTTCTCGATGCTGATCATAGGAATAATGGCGAACTCCAAGTCCAGGAAATCTTGCGGCCTCTCCCACAATCGAGTGCTTTCCATTGGAGGGATTCTTTGCTTCATACATGGACTCTTCACCATCGCCTACTATGTCTCCGCAGCCGCTGCGACCAAGGAAGAAGAACAACTTCCCGCCGGCCGAGTGTAGCCCCAATTCAAGTTGGGATCACAAGCTGTTGCATACTTCGAAAACCCAACTCGTATTTCTTTTCGTTTGTGAATCCCTTTTGTTCATTAACCAAACATTTGTTAGCATTTTCTAATTGTAATTGTAATTTCAATTGGGAACAGATGAATTCATTTCATATGAGATCTTAACAAATTCATGTTGAAATGAAATGTCCTGATTCATTACAATGATCCGATCAACCAAAACCCACAAAAGAAAACTGGAGTAACGATTCCATCTGATTAATCTATTCTACTTCCTCCCTAATTTTCAATTTCACAATATCAAACTTAAGGAAAACAGAGCATCTACTCGTCGGCGGTGGCGGCAGAGCGACCTTTGGCGTCGGCTCTCTTGGGCAAAAGCATGTTGTGAATATTGGGCATCACGCCGCCGTTAGCGATGGTGACGGATCCGAGCAGCTTGCTCAACTCCTCGTCGTTCCTCACTGCCAACTGAACGTGTCTCGGGACGACTCTCGTTTTCTTGTTGTCTCTCGCCGCGTTTCCGGCCAGTTCAAGAACCTGAAGTAAAAAAAAAATTCACCGAAACGACGACGGTTAGGTTCTAGATCTGAGATTTCTGAGCGATTCTAATTGGGATGAGGAGCGAGTGGGAAGGTCAAAAAGGAAAATTACCTCGGCAGCGAGGTACTCGAGGACGGCGGCGAGGTAGACTGGAGCTCCGGCACCGACGCGCTCAGCGTACTTGCCGGTCTTCAAGAAGCGAGCGACGCGGCCGACGGGGAACTGCAACCCGGCCTTGGTGCTCCTGGTGGTGCTCTTCTTGTCCTTGACGGACCCAATCGATTTTCCTCTTCCGGACATTGGAGAAGTTGAGATGGGAATTCGAAAATTTGGATGTGAGGAACTTGGGGATGGCGCTAATTTGACTGGAGAGTGGTTTGTGAATTTGTGAATTGAAAATTTTCACGTCATCGTTTATATAGTGGGTATGAATTAGTTCTGCCAATCAGCGGGACTGACGCGGATCGAGATCTAGGGCCGTTGCTTCGGATTAGAAGTGGACGGCTGGATGATATGAGTTATCTTTCCTCGTTGTTTGTTTATTTGATTTTTGGGTTTTGGCCGTGTGAGTTGGCATTTCGGGAAAAGTTCTCAAGCGAGGGCGGGAAATACGAAAATATCAAAATGCAGGGTCTTTATGATTTGGGCTTATCACTTTGCAAGCGGGCTACAACGTATGGGCTTGTGGACTGAAGGAACAACTGCAAGAACAGCCCAGTTTAGGTTTGGTCCAAGCTCAAGTTGTTTTATTTCCATTTTTCAGCTTCTCTCCTTTTTTCGGTTAATTGTATTTTGTTTAGTTGTTAACATTAACCGATAAATCAGTTAGTGGTTAATCGATAAGAAACTAAAAACCGTATATTAGTACAAATCACACAATTTTAGATTTTGACTAAGAGAAAAAAGTCTGGAGATTAATAACCAATCAAAATGGCAATTTTAAACATTCCATTTGCACTTATAAGCAACCTTCCACCTAAAGTCTCAAATATGTTAAAGGGTCGGAACTCGGAACTCAAAAGTCATCCCTTTCTGAATCTCGTTTGCAGTCGACATAGCGAAACTCGCACCCTAATAATCTTTGTTTCTTTTATTATTGTACAATAGTCTATGTTTCTTTGATGTTTGTGAATGGTGATGAGTTTGTGGTGCTTGTGTTTGATATCTTGGTAGGTAGAACTCGCTAATTGAATGAAGATGTTAAATTATTTGTAATTTTATGTATTGGAATTTGTATTATGAATTAACGATAGATGTTGTATTGTTTTGATGTTATTTCTTATAATTACTATTTTATATTAACAATGTGGAAGTGTAATTAAACAGTTTGAATTCATTCTATGATTATATTTTATTAGTGAAAGAATACTTCGTAAATTCAAAATATTAAAGGAAAATATCACATGCGAAGGTTGTTATTGCCTATTGGTTATTGATTAACTGCCATACTAATCTTCAACCGAATCAATACCATGCGGTTAACCGATAAGCCTTATCAGTTCGATTTTTTGTATGCATATTTTGCTCGGTGGTTAACCACTAACCGTTTAATCGATTAGTGGTAAACTAACTGCTAATCAAATTGATAACAGGAGGTTAACCAACAATCCTTATCAGCTAGATTTTCGGTGTGCATATTTTGTTTAGTGGTTAACCACTAACTGCCGAATGGATTAGTGGTTACCCGAAATCAAATCAATTAGCACCTATAGTTGCCAGGAACCGATCACTTGATGAAGTCTAGGTTAATTTCTTTAGAGCTTACTTTCTCTTAAGGTAATTAACTCTACTAATTAAGCACCAAAAAAAAAATAAGGATGGAAAATTAAGTTGTAATTACACAGTTGACATCTCCCCTGCAAAATAACATTATGATCGAAACAAGCAATGATCTCATAGTCCCAAATCAACTAACAGAGCTTCCCACAAAGTGAAACACAGCAATTCTAAGCTTTTCTTAACCAAGCTTAGCCAGAACATCATTCAAGTTGGATACTGTCTCAGCATAGTACTTCTCTGCCTGTGGAGAGCTCTTGATCTTTGCTGCATAATCCAGCTGCAATCAAAGAACAGAACAAATCAGCACATTCAGAATAAAAAAACTTTGATACTAGTATTTGGGCAATCCAAAGAATTGCGGAGATGCGAGTTTTAGCTAAAATTGATAAGAGACAAACTTACGTTGTTGATGCTCTGGAAGAGCTTTCCAGTGAGATCGGTGAGGGCTTGCTTCTCCGGCTTAGGCTTGGAAGAGATCACGGTCTTGAGGTCGTAGCGAAGGTACGACGCCCTCAGCCTAAGGTCGTTCATCACATATGGCCAAGCCTTCTTGTCAATGAACGACTTCACGTTCACTATCTCACTTGCCGACACTTTGGCCCTCGCCGCCGCCTCCTCCGGCGTCAGCGGCTGCAGATAGAACCTCTCCTTCAGCGGCAGGTCCACGTCCCTGGCCTCGTCAGCGTTCAGAGTCCCGGCTGCCAGAATCACCACAATTTCGTAACATGCAATCGCCGAATTAAAGAAAAAGAAAAAACCCAAATAGATTTACATATCAATTAATCAATTCACTTACGCAGTCCGCCGGAGGGAGCCGGAGGAGGGCCGACCCTGATCGAATTTGCCTCGGCGAGCACAGCCTGGACGAAAGACCCAGAAGCCAAACCCACGGCGACGAGGCCAAGCATGGACCGGCGGCTGGTCTCCGGCTCGGCAGCCTGCTGCTGTGCTCGAATCGTTAGGCAGCTCGGACGAGCTCCCACGCCGCCGGTGGCGCTAGCCACGTTCAAGCGGGTCGAGCCAACCATGGAAGCCATCGCCTGAGCCATTGTTGTTGAGTTTTCTGATTTCCAGGTGGGCTGAGACTGAGATTATGGTTTATTTTCTTCTGGGATTCTGTTTATCTGGCAGTGGTTATTTGTTCAATTCTGTGTGTGATGTAGATTGGTTTGTTGGCTGAAATTGCCTTATCTGAGCATGTTCTTCGTTGGATAAGGCAGGATATGATTTCAGCCAATTGGAAGGAGACACGTGTTGGTGAGTGTTCTCCGTTTTGACATGTATGATTTTGTTAGCTGTGAGCTAGTCTTTGGCTGACACGTGGAGTCTAAAAGATGAGTGAGTTTTTCTCATTTCTGACTGCGCGGGAGGCTTTTAAGTGGGTGGGCCCGGCCCAGCCCGCAGCTGGTTTAAAATTTTCTGTGTAAAAGTGGGCCGAGCCCAAGTGAGTTCTTTCAACGTCTGCTTTCCAATTTCCATCCCACCACCTCGTCAAAATAGACGCTCCTCGTCCCCCAATAATTCAAATTGTTTCAAAACTCCATTTTCCGCCCAAATCGATCTCTATCCCGGCCCCTCTCTCCGTCGCAACCCTAACGGTCGACCGATTCAGCTCCGGATGAGCCAGATTCCGCCGGCGAAAGCTCAGATTTTCACTTCCAGTCGCTAATTCAGACCATTGTCCCGCCATCCTCCACGTCAATCGGCGGGAGCCAATGGAATCGAGCCAATAAAACGCTTAAGAGAAGAGGGATCAGTTTCTTTCCACAAGCAGCGTTCGTCTCAGTTCTTTTTTCCCCTCTTTCAGACGACAGGCCCAATGATGGCTTCTCGGAACCAGAACAGGGCTCCTCGGAGTCCTTCTTCAGTGAGTTTCTGATTTCTACTTCTATTTTCCTGTAGTTCTGAATTCGGCGTACTTAGTTTAGTTTAGGGGAGAGAGATAGAGAGACCGACGGCATTGATTGAATCTAAATTCGTTGACTTGTTGTAGAAACGGGGTGATGGTGATGGGGTTCCGTTGGACAAGCGTCGGAGGGTCGGAGCTGGCGTGGGGAAGACCGCAGGCAGCGAACGTAAGCCGTTTGGTTCAGTTAACAAGAAGCTGGAAGCGGCAGCTAGCTCGGCTGATGCAAGCAGCAAGGATGCTTCGGAGAGTAGTTGCATTGAGTTCACGAAGGAGGAAGTTGAGGCATTAGTAAACGAGAAGGCCAAGATGAAGAGATTCGATCTCAAGGTTATACAGTGACGAGTTGCTGTTTTGTTTTTAGCCTGGATATTGGTTGGTGTTTCAGTTCGTTCACACACCAGTGGTTCTATGGTTCTCTGGCAGGGAAATTTGGAAGCAACGACTGAGTTGAACAGCAGGCTCAAGCTTTGTCTAAAATGGTGTCAGAAAAGAGAGGAAGGTCATGTGGAGGAGGAGAGCAAGCTCCGAAATGATTTGGAATCTTACCAGAAAAGATGTGAGGATACCGGTAAGAATGAAACTGATGAACCCTTACATTGGCCTGTTGTTAGCATGTTTAATGAGTTAGTCATCAACCTAGCTGAGCTGCTTGTGATGTCATTGTGTTTGCTGGGTTTTAGAGGTCGAAATGCGACGAGTTGAAGAGGTGTCTAGAACAACTATAGTAGAGCTGACTAAAGAGAATGCATCCTTGAAGGAGAAGCTTTCCAAGGAAGAATCAGAGAAGCTGGTAGATATACGCATTGCATTCAATTTTGACCAAGCTATGTGGTGGGCATTCATGTTTTCAGTGTTTCATCCTTCTCTTATTCTGTTTTGTTCTGTCACAATTAGGCTGCCGTTGAGAGTTATAGGAAGGAACACGAGGCAAGAATCGCATTAGAGACTGAGAAGGCTTCTCTCTCGAAGGAACTTGAGGAAGCTAATAAGAAGGTAATTTATGATCAAAGCCTTTTGTGACATAATTATACTCAAGTATTAGAAAGAAGCTTTATTCAGAGTTGGTGTGAAATTGTAAGTTTGTCCCAAATTTCAAGTTCAGTTAAAATTTTTTGCAGGCTTCCTTGGATGCGGTCACGAATAACAACTTGAAGGCGTACAATGAGAGCCTACAACAGTACAGTGCCAAATTGCACAGTGACCTTGTAACAACACGAAATTTGTTGCAACGAGTAGAGCAAGAGAAGGCAGCAGTAGTTGAGAACCTAAGTACGGTAAGGGGTCATAAACAATCGTTGCAGGAACAGCTGGCTATTTCAAGAGTAAGCTATCTGATAACCCGAATGATAGTTTGTCATCTGCTCTTTTGACATGTTTAGTGTAGTTGATATTAATGTATTCAATAAATGTCAGGCTTCCCAAGATGAGGCAGTAAATATGAAACATTCATTAGTCACTGAAGTAAAATGCCTTCGTGGGGATCTTCAACAAGTGAGAGATGATCGTGATCGGCAGTTGGCTCAAGTTCAAGACTTGAATGCTGAACTATTGAAATATCAAGAAAACACAGGCAAATCCCAGGCTGAACTGGATGTGCTCATTTCAAAAGCACAGTTGTTAGAGGTTGGTTCAAACTGTAGCATGTCGTCTATGGTGCATGTTGTTTGTTTGATATGCAAACTGATCTAACAAACATCCTTTGTGTTTTAGGAAACTTGTTCTTCCCACCGCAAGCAGATAAGTTTATTGGAGCAGAAATTGACTGCGGCAAATGAAAAGTCAAAGGTACTGTATACTGTTGTTTTAATCAATGCAAGTCATTTCAATCTTTTTTGTAGCCGCCTATTATTGCTTATTGGATCCAAATTGGTACCTATTCGTTTCTTTTAGACTTTGGACATGACTGCTGCTGAGGCACGCACGGGATTTGAGGAACAAAGAAGAATAGTAAGTGAATTGCAGGAGCGACTTGCTGATGCAGAACAGCAACTCCTTGAAGGAGAGAAGTTGAGGAAAAAGTTGCATAACACTATTTTGGTAACATTTATATTTTACTACATGCCTTGCAATATATAGAACGTAGAATCTTCATATACTTAGTTTCCGAATCACTTGAATACAGGAACTTAAGGGGAATATCAGAGTTTTCTGTAGAGTTCGTCCTTCGTTACCAGATGATGCTCGGGCTGACACACAAGTTGTTACTTATCCTAGTTCTTTAGAATCCCTTGGTCGTGGGATTGATGTAATGCAAAATGGTATATTTGACCTCTCATCCTCCACCACTAGCTCGCCCTCCCGCATTTGCTATATGTTTTCCTTACGATGCATCTTTCTTAATCCATGCTACTGTCTTAACAGGTCAAAAGTATCCTTTCACGTTCGATAAGGTGTTCAGCCATGATGCTTCACAACAGGATGTATTTGTGGAAATTTCGCAGTTGGTTCAAAGCGCCCTTGATGGCTATAAGGTTAGTTTACTTCATCAAGCCGTCAACTTTGCTGTATTTTCTCCTTGTTCTTCGCTAATTGAATGTACCTGTTGATCTGCAAAAGTCTGCATATCCACTGTATTTTTCTCCTTGTTATTCACTACTTGTATCTACCTGTTGATCTGCAAAGGTCTGCATATTCGCCTATGGACAAACAGGCTCTGGGAAAACCTACACCATGATGGGGAGGCCTGAAGCACCCGAGCTGAAGGGCCTAATCCCGCGCTCCCTCGAGCAGATATTTCAAGCTAGTCAAGTACTTATGTCCCAGGGCTGGAAGTACAAAATGCAGGTAGGCATATTAAATCTTACTTCACTGCTATTTTTGACACATTCTCACAGCTACTAACAATTTCTTTTCTGCCAGGCCTCAATGTTGGAGATATACAATGAAACAATTAGGGACTTGCTATCACCTAACCGTTCCTCCAGCTGCGAAAGCAGTAATGCACCTGGAAAGCAGTATAACATTAAACATGATGCCAATGGAAATACACATGTGACAGACCTTACTGTCGTTGATGTGAGCAGCATAGCCGAGATTTCCTCCCTCCTCAGACAGGCTGCTCAAAGCAGGTATAAACAACTCAATGCTCAAAAGTCAAAACTTCCATCTATCTGCTGCTTTTCCCATCTTAAGACCATATTTAACTATTTTCTGTACCGCTTCACTAGGTCTGTTGGGAAAACCCAAATGAACGAGCAGTCTTCAAGAAGCCACTTCGTTTTTACTCTGCGAATTTATGGGGTGAACGAGGTAAATTTCAGAACTTGGATGGCATGCCGGGGTGTTTCACCAGCCTTCATTTTGTGGTTGTTGTCTCAGTCTCTTTATCTCACATGGTTTTTGCTCATTTCCATTTTCCAGGGCACTGAGCAGCAGTTGCAAGGCGTCCTCAACCTCATCGATTTGGCGGGAAGCGAACGACTTTCCAGAAGTGGAGCAACGGGCGATAGGTTGAAGGAAACCCAGGTACTATATCCCTTCAATACAATCATACATTGTCCGCCATTGATGATCTGCAATATATGCTTCTCATATAAGAGCTCTCTTTCTATCAACAGGCCATAAACAAAAGTCTGTCATGCTTAGCTGATGTAATCTTCGCCCTGGGCAAGAAAGAAGACCACGTTCCCTTCAGGAACTCCAAGCTGACGTATCTTCTTCAGGTACTGACAATACTACAATCTTGATTTGGATTAGTGACGGGATGATCATGAACTAAGTCATTAACCGTAATTGTATTTTTTCAAACGCAGCCTTGTTTAGGCGGGGACTCGAAAACGCTAATGTTCGTCAACGTGTCTCCCGACCCTTCCTCCGTCGGAGAATCATTATGCTCGCTGAAGTTCGCCGCCAGGGTGAACGCTTGCGAGATCGGGGTTCCCAGGCGCCAGATGAACTTGAGACCCGCCATTGCTGCCGTCGATTCCCGTTTGAGCTACGGCTAAGAAACACACCTCAAGCTAGCCTCTTTACTTTCTCTCCCTGTTAACCCGACTAGTTATTTGTCACTCATGATCTTTCAAAGGAGCCAATAAGCTTTGGTGTGCTATGTTTGTCTGTAGATTTCTCTAACCTTGATTGTGGGGTGTTTCTGTTTGTCACAAAGAAGGATTCGAGAGAGAACAAAATGGCTTGTGATGTATTAATTTTGTGATCCTATATTGGAAAAGAAGTTCACCACTTGGTTGAACTTATTATTGATAGCTAAGGTGTCAAGTGAAATGGAAAATGCATTTGGGCCAATTAGATCAGTTCCAAAACTCGTCTTGGTCTATTTTCCTTACTGATCAAGAGGATTCATGAAATGCAATTTTGTATTTGGTCTAAGGGGTGTTACATAGTTAAATTGATGAATAATTGACAATTAATGGTTATGCTATTAAGTGATTATAAGTTAGCCGTACAGTTTTCTATGGGTTGGAATAACTTTCAATATAATCGATAATCGAATAATTGGTTACAGTTTATCGACAACTAATCAAATACAAATGTTTATATTTTTTTCTCCAAAATAGTTATGCTCCTTCCAAACAAATTCTCGAAATTTGAACAAATTGCTCTGCACCTAACCCCCTTTTTTCTTTCCCCAATTTTCTACTCAGTGTGAGCCCTAAAATTGAAAGGGACAAAAAGCACCATCGATTTTGCAATCAAAATGTAGGCATCAAAATTGAATTGAGAAAAGATCATATGGGAGAAAGGTTGCAAATACCGCTCCCCAATTTCTTCGATCAATGGCTTATCTCACCTTGTCCGCACTAGTCACTCTTCTCCTTCCTCTCTTCATTTTGTTCTCTCTCTCCCAATACTCAATAGGAACAAGTCAATCTCAAATTAATACAAACAAATAAAAAAGGAACACATACATGGGCGAAAAAAGATTTTGATCGACTACGAAAAAAGCCTAAAAAAAACACAATTGAATACAAAGATAGAGGTCTTTTGTTGGTTCAGTTACCGATCTATTATTTTGGTCTAATTTTTGTTGAATCACTTATTAAACGGTTAGTCAATTAACCGACATAATAACTGATAATCGACTATACAATCACAGCTAACCGATCAATTATAAACAATGCGGCTAGCAATAAACATAAATTACTCAACGGTTAACCAATACCCAAATAAACGATTAGGGTTATAAACCAACCAACAGCCCTGCAAATATTTTATATCAGGCTAAACTAATATCCAAATGTTCAACCTTATGAACATTTGGATAAATATTGAAGATAGATATTGAGTCATTAATCTTATCTTCCATCATTAATCTTATCTTCTGTGTTAGCGATCTGGTTCTGGAACTGGAATGGAAGTGAAAAACAACACCCCCACTGTTCTCTCAGACTGCAAAGTCCAAAGTGACCCAATACGCCACCGTTTCTTCGGATATGCTCTAAACGGATAGCGTCTGGAATCTGGAATTCTGGGTCCCGTTTTCACTCTGTTTCCTTCCTTTCTCGTCATGTTCTAGAAATAACGTTTTTTGTGTTAGTTCTTCGATCTCCACGTTTCATTTCCTCGATATCTCATCTCTCCTTTTTTTGGGTTCAAGCAGGCGGTATTGGACATTATTATATATACACTCCCCTGCGGCCCTGCCTCTTCCTTCTACCTCTCTCGTCTTAGCAAATTACAGAGCAACCCGAGGAAGCCAAACCCAGAAACAGGGGATAGATAAAAATGGAGAGACAGGAGCATCAAATCAAGTTGAACGTGTTAAAGGTTGATTCTTTACAGACATGGGATTCTTATATCAGTCAGGCCCACCCTGTAAGTTTCCCTTTCTCTCTCTGTGTATCACCGATTAGAACTCGAGTTGTTGGGAGAAGTTTCTATCGCAATTAGTTTCTACAGCTCTGAGCTGAATTTGTTCTGCGGGGAGGGCAGGTGATTGCGCATTTTACAGCTGCGTGGTGCATGCCGTCGGTGGTGATGACACCTTTCTTCGAGGAGCTGGCTTCGACTTACCCAGATGTCATTTTCCTTGTTGTGGATGTCGATGAAGTTAAGGTAACAAAAGCTTCATCTTTCTTAAGACTCTCTGTGTTTCTGTTCCTCCCTTCATATCTGATTCAGTTAGGCTTCTCCCCTCTTATCTATATAGAGAAAAGAAACATAATATCAGAGTCTGCGGTAGATTTGGTGTTCGAATTCGAAACCCATTGAGACCTTATTTTTTAGGTTGATAAAACTTTATTTGATACATTCAGATTTGATCAGATTGCCTTTGTCTCCATGACAGTAGTTTAGATTAAGAGGGCAAGCAAAAAGCCATTTCCAATCAAACCATTTGAAAGCAACCTTGTGATATAAAGTTAGACAAATGGGGTTCCCATCTCATACAGCTAGGGGACAGCTTCTTCATGACTTGGGGTTTCTTTGATGCTGATGGGATAATTTTGGAGTCAGTGGCGGATCCAGAAATTTCATCAAGGGTATTAAATACTTTCGAATCCAGCTACTACCATCCCTAAAATAAAATTTTCCACAAATTTTTTGTTCAAATTTTGGGTTTAAGGTTTGTCAACTGACAAACCATTTTCCCAAGTCGGTCCGCCCCTGCTTGAAGCTGGAGGGATGATTCACGTGAAATTAGGGATTTGGAATTGAGTGGTGTGAAAGGAAGAAGGGATGCAAAATGGATCTTTTGAATCCCTTTTAACCATCTAATTTGAGGAATTGTTTGTGAATCTAGTGGTTCTTTAGTCTTTACGTTAGTAATTTCAAATTTGGAAATGGATACAGAGTATCATGAGCTAAGAATGTGAAACGTTCCTTGTAGTATCTCAAACTTTTAAGTCCCATCTTTTTATGGATTTATGTGAAGGGTATAGATAGAGATGTCTTTGTTTCCCAATAGTTTAAACTCATCGATGAGATTAAAGAGACGTATTGAGAGATTAATATAAGATTTGTTTTTTTAATATACTTGTAGGATGTGGCTGCAAAATTGGAGGTGAAGGCAATGCCTACTTTTGTGTTGATGAAGGATGGGATTCCAGCTGACAAGATTGTGGGAGCCAATCCGGATGAGATAAGGAAAAGGGTAGATGGTTTCATCCAATCTTGTTCTTCCACGGCTTGAAGTTCAGTGGCCTGATCTTTGTCTGTAATGCAAGTGGTTTATTATCGTTAAAAAAGAATTGTCATGCTATATTTTGTTTTTAGCTTAACTTGTAATTTATGAGCGGTTTGTAATATTTTCATTTCGCTTTGATAAACATTATCAAATGTAAATTACGCGAGAGAGTTGTCGATTTGTTTTTTTTTATCAACCGATATGACTAATTAATTTTCTTAGTAATTCTAATTAATTTTTTTTTTACAATAAGTTGCAAGTTCTAACTTGGTAAGTTGGAGACAATCTTTCAAATAAAGTAATCAACACGACACACTAATAGTATCAATTTATGATTATAACATGGCACAAGAGATCAAACAAGAAAATGAATAAAGTAAAATTGAAATTCTAAATACAATTTCATTGTAAAATTCCTAAGAAAAAATCCTCTCCACAAACCCTACCTATACACACATAAACTAGAGGTTGTTGCTTCTTCTTGGGATTCTCTTTAACTTAATTCCAAAAACATTTTAATAGTAATCTTTCACTATTCAATTTATGGATCAAGGTGAAGTTAGGCCCACGCACCAAAGATCTTGTGCTATGATTTGTTTGCTCTGTTTAAATAAAACGATATTCGTACTTATCTTATCTTTGGTATAATGTGGATGAGAAGGAAATTCTCCCAAATAGATTATATAACTAAATATCTATAGCCAACTTGGCAACTTGAGAATTGTCTTCCCTATGGGCCTAAAGAAAGGTTTAATGGGGTTTTCTAGGAGGTTTAGGTTAGTTTCTCTTTGCCTTGGCATGACCATCACCTAACAATTTTGTGTGAACATAATAACGAAGAGATATTATAGGCAATGTAGTCTATAGACATAAAATACTGAATTTGCAATTATCATTTCATTTGATTATGAATTGGATCGAAATCATTATGACCAGAGAGATAATAAAGACAATAATGATAAATCAGTTCATAATTGAATGCCACATGACTTGCTGACGAGGAAGAAGAAAAAGGAGATAGAAATCCTTGAAATCACAACCAAATGATAATGAGTTTAACTGCCTCGTCGCAATGACCTTTCATATGTGATCTTGAAATTGACTTGAGTATGTTAACTTTTTGTTGTTGATATGAGCGTGTAGTTTCTTTATAAGAATGGAGCAAAATAAAAATGGTCTCTTTTTTATTTGCATTCAAGCCAAATCAAGTTATACACTAATCGAGTTAGTAATACAAATTGTGGGAACAGAACATAATTATATCACTCGAGCATAATTAAAATCATGATTTGGGCTTGAATTTTTTTCAAGTGCACGAAAATAATACAAAATCCATTTTGAAATGCGTTTAAATGAAAGATTTGGCTAGTAATGGCAACATGAAATAATAAACCACCTGTCTCAAAATTTGGCCGGAGGTAGACAAGTGTGGTATTCCATAATGGGTAAGCTCTTAGTCTTATAAGAAGAAGCCCAATATAGTGTGACAAGGCCCAACAAGCCCAATTTGAAAAAAGCCCATCCATTCCCTTCTCTCCTTTTTTGCTTCCATTTCCTCTCTTTTTTTTAGCGCCTTTTTTTCCCGGTAGCGTAAAAATATTGTTATTCTCTGGCTTTCGTGTGGCGATAGGAAGACGGAAGACCCAACCAACCCCAAATTCTCTCTCTACCTCTTTCGCGTATTGTTCCGACCAACCAAATAGAATTCTACACGATCCACAAAACAACAGATTCCACCCTGACGCGTATTATCTCCTCCCCAACCCCCTTCTTTCTTGCCGCGACGGCGCCTCTCTGCTGTACCTAAGAGCTCCGCCGGCAAAGCCGTGACATTCCTGCGAACCGACGGCCAAGATGGTGTCCCCCTTCGATAGCTCCAACTGGGTATTCGATAACGACTTGATTAATGACCTCCCCGTCCCTCTCGGCGGCGAGCTTCCTTCCCTCGACCCTTCGGCTCCTATTTGGTCGGCCCATCCTTCTTACCCTGATTCCGCTCCCGTGAGGTCCGTATTCTCGTTTCGAACTCGCCCTCTCAATATCGGACTTGTTCATGGTGGAATCTCGTTTTGATTTTTTGGGTTTTCCGTTTCGGTTGTTAATTGAAAGGAATTGGAGAGTTTGATTTGGCTTTCCCTGGTTTCATGGATTAGCATTTCAGCTTTGCATTGGGGTTTTCGTTGATGGGTATCTGGCTTAAGATGATGAATCCATGAAAAGGGATTATTTTTATTGATTCCATTTTGTTTTTTGTATGCAGATACAGCGTTCCATTCAATGTCCCGTTGGAGAACTCCGATTGTGTTAAGGAAAGTGGGTCTAGGAAAAGGTAATCAATTTTAGCTGAAATCATGAATTTGTTCTTTCTCCGAAACGAAACCCTAGATTTATTTTCGTGGGTTCATGAAACTCCTCAGGGCGAGAGATGAATCGAGCAATGCTCCAGCTCCTCCTAGGTCGAAAGCATGTAGAGAGAAAATGAGAAGAGACAGGCTGAATGACAGGTGAAGTTTCCATGCCCATCTTTGTTAATGGAGAGTGGCGCCGTTAGCTTGTTCTGAAGTTAGGTACGATTGATTGCCAGGTTCATGGAACTGAGCGCGATTCTCGAGCCAGGAAAGCCACCAAAGGTGGACAAATCAGCCATCTTAGTTGACGCAGCTCGAATGGTGACTCAGCTGAGAGGTGAAGCTGTTAAGCTCAAGGAGTCGAATGAGAGCCTTCAAGAGAAAATCACTGAATTGAAGGTAGGGACTGCAAATTTTAGAACCCCTTACAAGTGCAGTTTCAGATGTTTGATGATTTTGGATATGTTTGTAGGCAGAGAAGAATGAGCTGAGAGATGAGAAGCAGAGGCTGAAGACAGAGAAGGAGCAGCTCGAAAGTCAAGTGAAGGCGATTAGTACACCACCAGCGGGATATCTGCCTCATCCTCATCCTATGGCTGCAGCTGCATTTGCTGCTGCAGCGCCTGGTCCAATGGGAGGCAAATTCATGCCATATGTTGGGTATCCTCAAGTCTCAATGTGGCAGTTCATGCCTCCTGCAGCTGTTGATACGTCCCAGGATCATTCCATTCGTCCTCCGGTTGCTTAAGCTAAAGCTTTCAGGCAAGGCTCTATTACTGACTTCATTGGGCACGGGACACCAATGGCAACACCCTTGGTTGATGTTTGTTTATAGTCATTCTTTATAGGTATGGTTCTTGTGATTATCTGAGTCGTTTTAAATCGTAAGAGTTAAAACTGCATCAATGCGGAACTGACTTGTTAATCCGTGTTTGGTACCCTCTCTTCACAAATTTTGGCTTATCATTGCTACAAAAAGTTCTTGAGTGTGATTCATATGCTTAGTAAGCTGAGACCTCTTTGACAATGAGCATTGATGACCAAGTCAAAAAGTTTTTGACTTACCATATGCTAAGGGCTTAAATATGAAATCAGAATCCGGTTTGCACGGAAAATTTTGTTTCTTTTCAACAGGGAGGTTTGAATCCCATGTAGTTCCCAGCCTGGTAATCTCTCCAAACTTGGAGAGCTCCATAGCTGGTCATCAAAACTGTACTCAATGCCATGACAATGGCAACTGAGAATACTATCAGTGAAGCTCTTCCATACTTTTCGATGGCTCTGTGCACGACCAGCAATCCGAGAAGTGATGCCACAAAGCATGTAGCTGAAAGGATGATGGCTGTGTTGATGTGCTCCATCCCCAGCAGTAGGTACTGGAAAGCAGACATGCTCGAGGAGAAGAACACCATGAAGGAGCAGGTTGCAGCTGTTACCTACAGAACAAGATCGGTTTTGGTTAGGAACGGTAGCTTGAACCTGACCTAACTCAGTTTGGATTATTTTTCCTTTCACCCTGCTTTGATTAGGCCGTCCAATCTGAATTAATGTGTAGTTTCTGTCAAATCATATTGAAAAGTGAAGCGCGAACCTCGGCTGCGATTCCAACTTGGAGAAGCAGCGGACTGATCAACATGCCACCTCCAATGCCAAACACTCCTCCGAGGATCCCTGCGAGCAGCGCCATTATCGGGAAGATGATCCTGTTAGTGGCGGCTCTGCTTATTCTGGCTGAAACTTGCAGATTCTCATCGTCGTTGGTTGGCTGATGATGTTCATGTTCGTGGGTCTTGCTTCTCATCAGGATCCATGCCGTGAAAAGTATTGCTAGCGGGATTTGGAGCGATGAGAGTGCCCAGTATTCAAATCCGCATGGTTTCACTTCGATCAGACCCTGCAGATATTGCATTAAGAAAGGATGAACCTTCTTTTTCAGTGCTAGTAGCCTAGTAGTTCACTTAGCTACCATCCAACCTAACAAACATTATTAATCAATCACCTAACTACATCTTCATGACACCTTTTTTAGCAATATAATTAATTTGAGTTTCAATTGGTCAACTACAATCAACGTCTAAGGTGCTAATTCTCTTTGTCATCGAGAGACAGTACTTCTACTAATCCTATATTTGTCATCTATTAGATGTGCATGCTATAGTGAGATTGATGGAGGAGGAAAGACCAGAAAAGCTCAAAGAACAAGAAGGAAAGGGTAATGTTACCTCCCCATGGCGGTTCCCGCGAAGAAGATAGAGGGAAGAGAATGAAATCCACACAACCACCAAAACCCCCAATTTTATCCACGGAAATCCGCCGCCGCCATCCTTCTCCTCATTCACCAGGAGCGGCTGTCTTCCACCTTCTTCTCCTCCACCGCCGCCGCTCTTGTCGTCGCCAGTGCCCAATTCCCCACCACAACTCCTCCCCTCTGTTTCCAGGTTCCAAAGCTTCATCCCGTTCCGGCAAGTTTTCAAAGTCGACCAAACCAGAAACCCGACGAACATCACCGTAATCAGCCACTCGGGAAACACCACGTTCCAAATTACCCCGACGCTCACTCCCAATAACATCATCGGCTCCGACAGCAGCGCAATGTCGAAGTCAATTCCTCCTCCCGTGCCTCTTCCTCCTGCTCCCCTGCCGCCGCCGGCGGCAAATTTCCTGATGAAGCAACATGCGACGTTGGCGACGGAGCCGCCGGCGACCATGAAAGCGGAGAGGGCGGAAGCGGTGGTGAGGTCGAACCCAGCGACGATGGTCAGCACCGGAATGAACAGACCGCCGCCGCCGATCCCGCCGGCGCTGGAGATCGATGCGGCCAAGAAACAGAGCATCGCCGCGGCCACCATTGATGGGATACTGGGGATCTCATTGTCATCGGGTCGAGACGGGTCTGTGGAGTTGGCAAATTGGGGAAATGAAATGAGAATAATTGGGATGGAGATGGAGAGCAATTTGAGGAAGATGGACTTCATTTGGGCTCTCTTCTCTTTGTTTAAAGGTTACATCTTTATGGTTTTGCAGAAGCTCTTGTCAGCCATTAATAAAAGGGCTTCTAGGAGTTTGAGAAGTTAGGTTGAGCTAGAAGGAAAGGACTTTTTTTTTTTTTTCAAACTGCTCCCTCCTATGATTACAGGTAAGAAACATTAGGTAGCAAAGGCCAAAATTTCAAGATAAGGCATTAGGAGCTCTTCTCTTCTTGCCTCTAATAAAGAACATAAAGTGTTCTTTCATTCAACCAATCGACAGTTGACAAGCAGAGAGGACAATGGACAACTCACACTATGAAGTGTAGCATGATGAGATGGTCTGATTTCCTAGTTACATTTAAGAATGAGTCATTTGGATTCACGTCGAAAGTGTGCACGAAATGAACTATCAAATTGTCGCGATTTGATCTCTAACCATAAGAAATCATTTGAAATTGTTCATGCGATTCACATCTCGTCCCAATACTCCATCGACTAATTTGATCCAGTTTATTCGAAACTGATCATTCGTGAGTAGGTAAAACAGTTCTTTGCATGTTGCAGCAACAAGATGCAAACGATCACTATCTACAAAATCCTGTTTGTTGCGGTATGATTTCCATTCATAGCGAACCATTCGAAACGGGTGATACGTGATGGATTGGATGAATGAATGGATCCCTTTTCTTGGGGGGATTGAGCCAGTTTCTCCTTTCTTGGCGAGAATGGCTAGGGGTTTCTTGTTTTCTAAATGGAACTAATCCCACGTCTACCTAAGCTAACCAACTAACCATAAGATGCTAAACTCACTCCCCCTATTATGCAAACACTCATAAAGACTCTAACAAACAAGGACTCTAACAACCCTACTTACCCATTAACACCACTAACTAGAATTATCAATAAGTGCAAATTCCTACAACGAAAAGCTTGCTACACGGCTTAAGGCCTAGTGCCTCTGTGAACTGGGCTACTCCTCATTGTTATGATAGCGGTGTTGGGCTACGACACTCGAACTGAACGATTTATGGGCTCATCAACGGGATCCTGCAATTCACATCTCATCTCAGTAATCCATCGACTAAGGTAATCCAATTCATTCAAAATTGCACATTCATAAGTAGGAAGAACAGTTCGTTGCAGATCATAGCAAGGGATGCAAAGTGCTCACTATTTACAAAACCCTAATCTGCTTTCCACCTCAGTTCTCACCAATCACTTAGCTCTTACGTGCAATGGGGAGAATTGACATGCATATTTGTTTTACTATGCATTATTGAAAGTAACTCTGTCACTCTGTTGTCCAGTTCTGCTTGGCTCTTTTTGTGACAACATGAACAACATTAAGGTAGGCTAGCTAGCTAGACATTCCATTATCAACTTGCATGGTATGTGTTATACAGATCATGGCCTTCCCTCTCATATTTTCTGTAAAGCTTTGATTATCTTTTTACTTGTCACATGCCACTCAGTTCTTTACTTTGGTTTGATGGCGGAGAGAGTGGACAAGCCTGCTTTCTGAACAACCAAAGTGATTCGGTGCGTAACAAGGTATGTGGTTTGGCACGATTAATTCCTGAATTCGATTTTCGCAAATTAGCATTATGAGAACAGAATTGGGTTGATAACCGCTGACAGAATCACATGTTTAAATTCGTATGCTTTCTATCATGAGTTTGTCGAGTATTTATAACCAAAATTAGTGGAAATGCAAAATTGATCATAGCACCTAGATGCACCGCAGCTAAAATGCACACATGCAAGTAACCAGCAGAACCTTTTATTAATCAAGTAGTTAAGAAGAAAGAAATTACTACATGAAAGAGAAAGATGTTCATGAGACCGCTCTAACATTAAGCCGTAGGTCTAATGCACAGCGTCGACAGAAAGAAAAAACATCAAATCCTAATATTTGTTTATGAATTTTGGGAGCCAGCAAATGGAGGTTCAGGGTCGGGTTCTTGTACCACGATGCCTTGTTTCATGGTAGTTTTCTAACTCCTGGGAGCTAGCAAATGGACGTTCAGGGTCGGGTTCTCTCGTTCCACGATGCCTTGTCCCATGGTAGTTTCTAGCTTCTGGGAGCCAGCAAATGCAGGTTTAGGGTCGGGTTCTTGTACCACGATGCCTTGTCTCATGGTAGTTTCTGAATTTTGTGAGCTAGCAACTGGAGGTTCAGGGTCGGGTTCTTGTACCTCGTTGCCCTGTCCCATGGTAGTTTCTGAATTTTGGGAGCCAGCAAATGGAGGTTTAGAGTCCGGTTCTTGTACCACGATGCATCCGCCAGGGCCTGGAGGGTTAAGATCAGGTTGCTATATCATGTTGCTTTATCCACCAAACCTGTAATTAATTAAAATTATAAACCATAAGAAGTGAAATTAAAAATAAAACATATGCATCATATAAAAATAAAACATATGCTTCATTGATGCTGATATCTTCATTTTATTATTATGATTGGAATATATATGAATCAAATTCTAATGTGAGAATTTATATTAGTTGGGGGTGTCAAATCCAAATTTGCTTCACCAACTAGAACAAAGTAAGATATATGTGTAGGATGGGAAGAAAGGCAAGTAATTAAGATAAATACAAATATGAGAGGGAAAAAAAGAAGACAAAAGGTATTAAGATAAGTAGAAGAGCATAAATTATAATTTTTTCTTGACAACAAATTCATGTTATTGCATCGTAAGTAAAGATAAGTTAGCAATAAAAATATGGCAAGTACACTTCAAAAAAAAAAGGCAAGAAAATATGAAAAATAAGCAATATCATGAGTAGATTTCTTTGTCATAATAATATTTATTTATCTAACTACTTGCCTTGTTTCTGTCATGAGTATTTCTCTTGCCTTGTTTTTCTATAAGATCTTGCCTTGTCATTTGTTAGTGAAACCAAGTTAATTTTTTCTTAGATATATCATGTACACATGAATTTCAATCTTTAGTTTGTGGATATCCAATAAATTTGTCCTAGTTCCGTTGCAAAAATCAAATGTGCAAAATATACAAAATTTCCTATCTTATCACACTAGGAAAAAAATTTATCACGCCTAATACGAATTTTATCACAGTGGTAATAACTTTAGTATTGTCTAGTGATAATAAGACCCCGAGTGGAATGGATTGTTAGCCATATCACTCAAAGAATTTACTTGGGTAACTATCTATCTTGCTTTGAGATTGCTCCGAAAAGGTTGCCAGTTCAACTGAGCGAACCGGTTGGTCTGCCCGGCTTTGATAACAGTTGTTACTAGGTTAAATGCGAAAGGGGACCATTCTAACACCAAACTACCGGCCAAATGCAAAACATCGATAAAGAGAGAGAATCAAAACTCAAATTATTTTATTCCATAGTTTCACTGGAACGCGGAGGTTCAGGGTCAGGTTCTTGTATCACCACGATGTCTTATTCGCTCTCGGTTATTAGAGTTGGAGCAAGACGTGGAGGTTCAAGATCGAGTTCTTATATCACGACGCCTCGTCGTCCTTCAGTTGTCGACGTTGGACTGGGACGTGGAGGTCGTACGGGTATTTCAGGGTCAGGTTCTTGTATCACGATCCCTTGTTTCTCCCCAGTTGGCGGAGTTGGACCAGAACGTGGAGGTAGTTCAGGACCAGGTTCAAGTACCAGATTGCCTCGATGTCCTCCTGTCGCCAAAGTTGGACTAGGACGTGGAGGTCGTACAGGTATTTCAGGGTCAGGTTCTTGTATGACGATGTCTTTGCGTCCTTGAGTTGCCGAAGTTGGACTGGGACGTGGAGGTCGCACAGGTATTTCAGGGTCGGGTTCTTGTATCACGATGCCTCGGCTCACTTGACTTGCCAAAGTTGGACTGGGACGTGGAGGTCGCACAGGTATTTCAGGGTCAGGTTCTTGTATCACGATGCCTCTCCCTTGAATTGCCAAAGTTGGACTGGGACGTGGAGGTCGCACAGGAATTTCAGGGTCAGGTTCTTGTATCATGATGCTTCGTTGGCCTCCAGTTATCGAAGTTGGACTAGGACGTGGAGGTCGCACAGGTATTTCAGGGTCGGGTTCTTGTATAATGATGCCTCGTTCCCGACCAGCTTCCACCATTCCTTTCTTAACACCTGACATTTATCCACCAAACCCATAATTAATTAAAATTATAAATTAGAAGAAGCAAAATTAAAAATAAAACATATGCATCATACAAAATAATACTTTGCAAGTAGTTAGACAATTAGTTCTACATGAGGACATATAACATAATTTGAGCTTAATACATTGCAATATATGATTCAAATATATAGAAAAAAGGGAAGAATCTCACAAGAAGTAACGATGAGAAAAGAAGCCAACAAAAGAGAGAGCTTCATGGATGCTGATATCTTCATTTTATTTTTATGATTGGAATATACATGAATCAAATTCTAATGTGAGAATTTATAGTAGTTGGGGGTGTCAAATCCAAATTTTCTTCACCAACTAGAACAAGGTAAGATATATGTGTAGGATGAGAAGAAAGGCAAGTAATTAAGAATTAAGATAAATACAAATATGAGAGGGGGAAAAAAGGAGACAAAGGTAATGAGATAAGTAGAAGAGCATAAATTACATTTTTTTCTTGACAACAAATTCATGTTATTGCATCCTAAGTAAAGATAAGCTAGCAATAAAAATATGGCAAGTAAATATGAAAAATAAGCAATATCATGAGTAGATTTGTTTGGCATAATAATATTTATTTATCTAATTACTTGCCTTGTTTCTATCATAAATATTTATCTTGCCTTGTATTTTGTATATAAAATATTGTCTTGTATTTGTTAGTGAAACCAAGTAAATTTGTTCTTAGATATAAATGTATAGGCTAAAGTTGCAAAAATCAAATGCAAAACATACAAAATTTCGCATCTTCACATTTGAAAAAAAAAGTTTTCACGCTTAATATTTTTTTTATCACAGTGGTAATAATTTTAGTATTGTCTAGTCTACACAATAAATAAAAGCCAAATGAGAAAACTTGAAGCTCCATTTCAAATTTCCTGCATCCAGAGTAAAAGTAGGAATGACATTTTGGTCTTCACAATTTCTTTTTTTATTAATTAAAAAGACAATTACTAGGATTCGAACCATGACCACTTTAAAGAAAACCAAAGATCATAACCAATCACACTAAGTACATTTGTTGTATCTTTTTAAATTAAAAACATATAATTTCAAAGCAGAAAAAACCCTTCCCCATTTCAAATTTCCTGCTCCAGGAGCGTTTGTAGGAAGGGTAGAATAGAGAGTGTCAATTTTTTTCTTTTTCCTCTAGGGAACGGGTCAACTTACCGTACACATGCGGATTTAAACGGGTCCAGGAGTGTCAATTTTTTTCCTTTAAGTCCTTTTATTTCTCCGTGCTGGTAAAATATATATGAAAAGGCAAAAACAATACTCCTTTTTATTGCTAAAAATAATAAAAATTAACAATAAACTAATGCATGGATTCTAATGGGCTAACCGCTAATCATAAAATAAAAGAGTTGAATGGGCCTGACCTACACGAGATTTTCCCATCAAGTAAAACAAATCAACATCATGGGTTTGTCATTCTAAAACAAACTATTTTATCTAGCATAATTTATATTATGCTATTATTTTATATCTTAGTGGCTAAAATATAATGTATTTTAAAGTTATTCAATGGTTCAACCTCGACCAACCAAATTAGTCCAATTTTTATCATTTCAAATATATATTATGTAATTATTTGATATCATAATGATTAAATTATAGTGTATATTATAGGGAATCGTTTGGTATTTATTAGTAAAAAACTAATTTTAGTAAAAAAACTAAACAAAAAGATATATTTGGTTATTTTTAACATTAAAACGTTCCTAAACATTTTCAGTTTCCTTTCGAATTTCTATAGTTTTATTCCCGAATCAGTGATGTACAAATGGCGAATTGCAGCCATCTCTTTTCTTTCATTAGAGTTTGGCAGGGGTCGGTCAAACATGCTGAATTTCAAGTTTTGGCCCGTTTTCATCAAGTCCAATTTATAATCACATGGTTCTCAGATACCCGATAAAAATCTCAATCCAAACCAGATTGGCAGGTGAGTCCGTGTTTACCACCATTTTCTAGGGATACAGGAACGGTGGTTCCTATCTCAAATTATGTTGTTCATTCTTGATTTCTTTAGATTTTATCATGGCTTGGAAAAAAACCAGAAAACACAATGATGACAAGATGAAAGTTTTATAATGCACATTAATCGGCTAACGGGCCGAGTAAAAACTAGCAACGATTGTGAGATGCTCATTTCCCGAAAACCAGCGGGATAGGCGATTTTTATTCGATTTTCTGGAATTCGGTTTCTATAAAACTTACTCCACCTCATCATATTACCAGAAACAATATTGTTTCACAAGGTAACAGGTACTTGATTTTGATTCATAAGACTGATTTTTGATTCGTTGCATCATTCATATCTCTTTCCTACTAAAATTCACTATTTTTATCATGTGTTTCTAAAAAAAAAACTATACAACAATAAGATATACACCTCATTACATTATCAAATTTCATACCTCGCCTTCCTCCGGCCAAATGGCCGGGGCACACTAGTGATAATAAGACACCGAATGGAATGGATTAGCCATTTCACTTGAAGATTTTACTTGCGTACTATTTATATTGCTTTGAGATTGCTCCGGAAAGGTTACCGGTTCTACGAGCGGACCGATTGGTCTAGTCCGGCTGTGATAACAGTGGTTACTAGGTTAAATGCGAAATTGATCACACCGCAGCTCAAATACGCAACAGAAGCACATAACCGAAATATCTTTTTTAGTTCGGCTAGTTGAAAAGGAACAAAGCACTACATAGAGTTACAATTCAGTTTCAGGAGGACCATCCTAACACCAAACTCCCAGCCAAATGCAGAACAATAACAAGGAGAGAGAATCAAATCTCAAATCGTTTTATTCCATTGTTTGACTGGAACGCGGAGGTTCAGGGTCAGGTTCTTGTATTATCACGATGTCTTCTTCTCTCTCGGTTGTTAGAATTGGAGCAAGGCGTGGAGGTTTGGGATCGGGTTCTTGTACCACGATGCCTCGTCGTCCTTCTGTTGCCGAAGTTGGACTGGGACGTGGAGGTCGTACGGGTATTTCCGGATCAGGTTCTTGTATCACGATCCCTTGTTTCTTCCCAGCTGTCGAAGCTGGACCAGAATGCGGAGGTTGTGGAGGTAGTTCAGGACCAGGTTCAAGTACCAGGTTGCCTCGACTCCCTCCTGTCGCCAAAGTTGGACTGGGACGTGGAGGTCGCACAGGTATTTCAGGGTCAGGTTCTTGAATCACGATGCCTCGACGCCCTTGAGTTCTCGTTGTTGGACTGGGACGAGGAGGTCGCACAGGTATTTCGGGATCAGGTTCTTGTATCACGATGCCTCGGCTTCCTTGAGTTGCCAAAGTTGGACTGGGACGTGGAGGTCGCACAGGTATTTCAGGGTCAGGTTCTTGTATCACGATGCCTCGGCTCCCTTGAGTTGCCAAAGTTGGACTGGGACGTGGAGGTCGTACAGGTATTTCAGGGTCGGGTTCTTGTATCACGATGCCTCGGCTCCCTTGAGTTGCCAAAGTTGGACTGGGACGTGGAGGTCGTACAGGTATTTCAGGGTCGGGTTCTTGTATCACGATGCCTTGGCTCCCTTGATCTGCCAAAGCTGGACTAGGACGTGGAGGTCGCACAGGTATTTCAGGATCAGGTTCTTGTATCACGATGCCTCGGCTCCCTTGAATTGCCAAAGTTGGACTGAGACGTGGAGGTCGCACAGGTATCTCAGGGTCAGGTTCTTGTATCACGATGCCTCGGCGCCCTTGAGTTGCCAAAGCTGGACTGGGACGTGGAGGTCGCACAGGAATTTCAGGGTCAGGTTCTTGTATCACGATGCCTCGTCTGCCTCCAACTATCGAAGTTGGACTAGGACGTGGAGGTCGCACAGGTATTTCAGGGTCGGGTTCTTGTATCACGATGTCTGATCCCGAACTTGGTGGCGGAGAACGATGCACAACCTCAGCTTCCACCATTGGACCTTTCCCATTCTTGATATCTACGACAAAACCCACTGAATTAACTCATAATTAATTTAAAAAATTAAATTTATATATCATGCAAAACTATAAGTTACTTGTAGGTCAATTTGACTTTAGTTAGCTCTACATGTAGGACATAGCATAATTTGGGGCTGGAATGCATATAAGAGAGACATATATTGAAGAAAAGTGAAGTGTCTCACCAGAAGTAACGATGAGAAATAGGGATGGCAAAAATATCCGTAACCGTGGATATCCGTCCGAATCCGGCCTAGTCGGGTAGGGTAAAACCCGAACCCGAAGGACATTTAGTGGGTACGGGTAAAACCCGAACCCGAATATTGCGGGTAATGGGTGGGCATGGATTTCTCACTATCCGACCCGAACCCGCCCGATTATACACATGCATATGTATTTTGTCTAGAAATAATCATTATTTTTCTCTAGCATATTTTATATTTAGCATATAAATATAACATTTTCATGAAATTGTGTTGTTTTAGTTAATTATCTTCATTCTAGTGAATTCTTATCGTACTTTTTCTCTTACTTAATATAAGAATACGTGTGAATGTTAACATATTGGTTGGAGTTATGAAGAGAAATTAATATCCATGGATAACCGTGGATACCCGAAACCCGAATGGGTATAGGCATGGTTTTGATTTTCTACCCGTTTCACATGTGGGTATGGGTATGGGTAAAACCCGAAGTACTTTGGGTAGGGTAACGGATATGCACTATCCGCCCCCGACCCAACCCATTGCCATCCCTAATGAGAAATGAAAACAACAAAAGGGATAGCTTCATGGATTCTGATATCTTCATTTTGTTGTTGTTTTTCTTATCTTCTTGTGTGTAAGAATCAACTTCTAATTTGAGAATTTATAGTAGTTGGAGGGTAGGAGAGGTCAACTCCAAATCTGCTTCACTAATTGAAACAAGGCAAGATATTAATTACAAGAAAGAAAAAAAAAAGACACGAGGAAAAGAAGGCCAGTAATTAAGATAATTAAGTAGAATACCATAAATAAATTCTTTTTTCTTGACAACAACATAAATGCAATTTACTCCTAGAGATATTGTAGTAATAAAAAAATGGTAATTAAGTAAATTTTAAAAAATAAACAATATAATAATTTCTTTTTTTTTTGTGGTAAAAAATGGGACGCTAAAAGGGCGCCCCTGTCTGGTACTTAGATTAAACGGGTTTGGGCTTTCAACAACATGGTAACCTATACTAACAGAGTGGCCCTTATTAGCTAGGAAATCAACCACTTTGTTTCCTTCTCTATAGATATGGGAAATTCTGACTTCCCAGTTCCGATGAATCAACCCCTGTAACTGTTGAATCAGATTATGGTACCTGTCCTCAGTCTGCTCATGGGATGTAATAATGTTGATGGCAGTAGTGGAGTCGAGTTGGAGTAGGACTTTCCTGTAACCTTTCTCCCATGCCATCTGCAATCCTCGAATGGCAGCCATAATCTCAGCACGGGTAATCGTGCATACGCCGAGGTTCTCCACAAAGGATCCCATACATTTTCCCATCCAGTCCCGGACAAGGCCACCGCCTGCTGCTATCGAATCTGGTTGCCTTACTGACCCGTCAGTGTTGACACACACCCAATCCTGTGGTGGTGGTATCCAAGCAAGCCGTTGTTCACTCTTCTTAGGCGCCTCTTTATGTGAAGTCGTGTCATCATCCTGAGCTTGCCTGATAGTTGCCGTCCAGCATCCGATGCGTTGCGCCAGGACATGATCCTCTTGATTCAAGTTGTGGAAGACCTTCTCGTTCCTTCTTTTCCAAAGATACCAAGCTGCCACACCAAACAGGAGCCCTTCTTGATCTCTCTTGAGGTGCTCATCAAGCCAAGCTGCAAAACCCAAGCCATAAGTTAATGCAGTCTCCTTGATACCTAGTCTATGCCATACCTGAATAGAGCTCGGACAATGGCGCAGTATGTGCTCGGTTGATTCCGGTTCATTTCTGCAAGACGGGCATGCGTCATCCGTCGTCAGTTTTCTTTTCTTGCGTTGCACATTCGTCATCAACCTGTCATGAAAAACCAACCACATAAAATGTTTATCCTGTTCGGGCACGTCCATTTCCAGAGTCGCTTCCAGTACTGGTGATCATTAGCCTCCTCCGCCCCTCTCTCTCCTCGTCACTCAGCCACTCTACTGCCGCGGAATAGGCTGAGCGCAGCTTGAACTTCCCGTCTGGCTCCATCCCCCAAGCAGTAATGTTTTCACCCGATCCCGGCAATGGAGGGTCCGTACCTGCAATCAAAGCAACCAAGTTCTGAGTCAGATGTGGCGAGAAATCCTGCCACTTCCACTCACCTCCAGCCGTGACCATCTCGGCTACAGTGGCCTGCCAGTCGATTCCCTCGCCGTTGCCAGCTACATGCTCGCTCAAGATTGTTCCCTCAGCAAGCCAGGGATCTGTCCAAAATAGGACATTATGACCTTCCCGATTGTCCCACACGACACGCTGCTTAAGGATTGGCAAGGTATCAACAATGCCTTTCCACAACCAAGAAAAATTGCTTTTTTTCATCACAAGAGCCCCTGTCTCGGTGGTTTTAAAATACTTCCCTTGCAGGATGCGGATCCAGAGCTCATCCGACTTATTCAGAAAGGCCCACCCCAGCTTCATCAGGTAGGATAAATTGAGAGCTCTAGCAGACCGCAAACCCAGGCCGCCAAGCTCCTTCGGTTTGCAGATTGTCTCCCATTTGACCAGGTGAGGCTTGGAAGCACCATTCTCAGAATCTCAGCTCCCCAGATAAAGACTCTGATTGTCCTATCAATGGTGTCACAGATAGAAGCCCCGAAATTCAGAAAAAAATAATAATAATAATAATAATAATCTAAGCCCAATCCAACAAAACCGTCAACTTCACAATGGTGGACCATGACTCCTTCCTTCTTCGTCTCCACATGCATTTAGCAATCTGCTAATGTTATCCTGAAAGCTTAGCCGTTGCAATTAAGTGATTAACTAAGTGAGCAACTAGTTCTTTTGAGTTTGACTTCTCCCAAATCCCACATCACTCCCTAATTGCATAGATTTAGTTGGCTAGCTCCATATATTTCTTTTTCCAATGTCTCAACCTTTGACATACGTTAAAATAAACTTGTTTTAGATGAGCTAGCGAAGAACAATGGTTTGATTTCTTTCTATATGTTTACTACTAGATAGATTTTGGTTAAGATTAGCTAGTTGATATTATTCATCAACTTTAAGCTAAAAGAGATCTTTCAAAATGATGCATAAAGGAAAGTGTTATAAACGCGCTGCTACGGATCGGGAAATCGCCGGAATCGATAAAGCAAGAATATGAGAGCTAGAATCGAGAAACACAGACACACGATTTACGTGGTTCACTAACACGATGTGTGTTAGCTAGTCCACGGGCGAGAGAGAGCCAGTTTCACTATATCGAGGAGATTACAGATTACAGAGGAGTATGAGAAGTATTTATAGTACTTCTCCATGTGGGTCTAAACCTAATCCAATATGACAAAGGAAACGGTTACAGACCAGGTCCAGAAGCCGAACCCAAATAACATTGAGCCCATACACCGTGGGCCGGGGGCGTTGCCCCCGCGCCCCCACCGCTGACCGGGCAGCGAGACCCCCGATTACCAGTCGTAGCGGCTGATAGTCCGATTCAAGTCACATCAACAAAAAGAATAATGCAGTACTCTCACATTGCACCAATTCAACTCTATCCATTAATATTTGTTTCGATTGATATCACTAAATGTTTGAGTTACAGGTTAAGATCGAGATAAACTTAAAATCTATACATGAGCAGTTCAATGACAATAACTTTGAAGTTCGAACTAAAACTCTAACATTAGAAATAGACATACTCCTTCGTCCATGCTTCAGTGTAACACTCCCACCATGTGCAATCATATATTCCTCTAGGTGCGAGTGTACATCCCTATTAAGTGTGCTTCACTACAAGCGTAGACGTATAGTGCTCCCACTAGCCATATAGACATAGGCATATAGTGCATATTGATAATCAGTCGTGGAGTATTCATTAGGGCAAGCGCTTTCGGAGTACTAAAATATATGCATACAATCACCATAACAAGGGAGCAATCCCGATCTATTATATAAGAGCTCTCAACCCCTTAAAAAAGAAACACATTTCCCCCTTCAAATAACTAATTTTGACCATTTCTTCACACTTTTCGTAAACCATTTAACACATTATAGAGTATAGACTAACTTGAATATCAGAGTACATGCCCTCCTATCTATTCCCAAACTTTCATCCCAACTCAAAAATATCAATAGTATAAAATAGGGTCTAAATCCTTGATTCCACATTATTAATACAAATAGTCAAATACCCTCCACATTTTCACACACCCTCATTATATTTTTGAAAGAAATAAGTCATATTACCCACTAATGGTGACAAGTTGGGGGAAAAAGGAAATCATGAAGAGCTGACTTTTACTCTTATCAACCATTAAAATTTTGGGATAATGACTATGGACCATTATAATTAAAAAACCCACCATCTCCTCCCTTCATATGATCCAAAATAACTCGATAAATCGTAAATCGCAGTATTAGCAATGTCGGAGTTCATTTGGATAAAAAAGACTCTCTTCCTCACCACATCGTTTCTCGCCTTGCTCTGCGGCTACGGTACCCAAGCCGACGTCAACCAGGTCACCGGCTGGTCATGCTCCGGCCCCAAAAACGCCACCCTAGACGCCGATTCCCAAGCCAATCTCGACACCCTCCTCAAATCCCTCGCCGACAAGGCTCCCAAGAACAACGGTTTCTCACAAACCCACGCCGGAAAAGGTGGCAAGAGGCTGTACGGCCTCGCACAGTGCCGCGGCGACGTGTCGGCGGCGGACTGCCGGCACTGCCTGCGGAACGCCACGTGGACTTCATCCGCCCAGTGCGGCGCACGACGCGAAGGGATCGTGTGGCTCCGGTGGTGCCTGTTGCGTTACTCCGACGCAATCTTCTTCGGCACGTGGGACAGGGCCGGGATCGCGAAGGTGAACCAAACGACGCCGTTGGAGGACCCGAACGTGGTCCCCAGCGGGGTCGACCTGATGAACGGGCTGGTGGGGACCGCACCGCGACACGTGTCGATGTTCGATACGAACGCGGTCGGCGTGGGCCCGCTCGAGAGGCGATTCGGGATGGCGCAATGCACGAGGGACGTGGATCCCGCGGGTTGCAGGGAGTGCCTCGTGGCTCAGCTGGAGACGTTTCGGGCGAGGATCGGGAACAGAAGAGGGTGGGAGATTTACGGATCGAGCTGCAGCTTGTGGTATCATGATTACCGGTTTTATTTCGATTCCGTTACTGCTAATCAAGGTGACACTCTTATACCGGTGTTTAATAAGATGGATTATGTATTGCCTTTTTTTGTATCTAATTACAGGTTCATTATTTGTCCTTTTGGATGTAGGTGGGAGGAGGTACTCAGCGAATTGGTTTAGAACGGCGGTGATTGTAATGGCCTTTTTGTTGCATTGTTATATAAATAATTAATGAAGATAGAGTGCATCTACTTCCATTGTCGTCCAGCGGTTAGGATATCTGGCTTTCACCCAGGAGACCCGGGTTCGATTCCCGGCAATGGAACAAAATCCTTTTAAACGCCGTTTATTGGACTTGGGCTTTTCAGCTTAGGCCCCCTACGCTTTGAGGTCCGAGGAAGACAGTAATGGGCTTTGTAAAGCCCGTCCGGAAGTGAAGGTCATGCTTCATCATTTTTTGGGAACTATTTGCTAAAGCATATTTCATGAGCACTGCATTTTGCATATGTTCGATTTCCTCTTTGTACATTCAGATTGAGAGGTTTGCATTTGACATTTTCTGGTGAAATGGAACATTACTAAGCATATTTCATGAGCACTGCATTTTGCATATGTTCGATTTTCTCTTTGTACATTCAGATTGAGAGGTTTGCATTTGACATTTTCTGGTGAAATGGAACATTACTCTACATAGGACTTAGGTGAGGGGATTGTAGTTTGGGCCAACAGATAGGTGTGGCCGTGTGGGGCCTTGTGGATATTGAATGCTGTATTTTTAGAATTCCACGATTTTTGGGTGAATTTTATGAATATATAAATCGGTTTTCAACAATCTTTGTCATTTATTCTCCGTAACTTAGCCTTAAAAAGTTATTTGTGGATTAATAACGATATTCTCATATGGAATTCTCGAAGAAAGCAGGTAGTAAAATAGTATCAATTGGTCTTGAATTTTGAAAAGAAATCAACAAAATGCTTCTATATAGATATAAAAATGGTAATGTAAGACGTGCACGGACAATTTTGTTGTCCTAATCGTCAAATTATCTATGCTTAATTTTCATGTGTGGCACTCATCTAGACGAATCACACAACCATGCCCTTTTGTTTTATCATGTATTATAACCAATCATGTTTGACTTTCTCCACATGGCTCATCTCTAGAAATTATAATCTTTGTGGCTACATTAAAAATGATTATAATCCACGCGGATATGCAGACTGAGCTGATTCATTAATAATTTATTATCAAGAAGTTTCATATTTAACCGACATGAATGTTAAAGGAACGACCTCTATATAGAATAAATTGAGAATGAAATAGGTTAGAAACAGCCGGAGATGTCAAAATTACAATCCTAACTCAACCATTTTTTCTTATACAGACCAAGACCAATTTATGTACCTAAGAAAACGAGGCTACCGAGAAACGCCGCTAGCTAGTACCGGTGGATTGATCCGAAGTGAGGAACCCGGTGCCGGTACCGGAGGTACTGGTAGATAGATCGGAAACGTGGGTGAACCCGCCGGCGGTGAACGGACGTTTCAACTGCCGTGGAAGCTCGTCATCCGATTTGCTTCCGAGCATTCGGACCACCGCGGACATGGTCGGCCGTTCGGCCGGATCGTCCTGCGTGCACAACAATGCAATGTGGATCCATCTCGCCGGGCAGTTCTTAGCTATGTTCGACTCTATCAACTCTTCTCCTCTGCCTTCACTCCATAGCTCCCATGCCTGAAATGAAGTTGTGGCACCACATGTTCAGGATTCAAAATTTTAGGGCCAATACTTGGGCATTGGTAATTAAGTTTGATTGGTAATTACCTGCAAAAGAAGGCTAGAGGCCTGACTCGGGTCGAACGATCCTCTGTTCTTCTTTCCACTTATGATTTCCAGCATCAAGATTCCGAAGCTATAGACATCCGATTTCGTCGAAATCACTCCCTCTAGAGCGTACTCAGGAGCCATGTACCCACTGTTCTTTTTTTTTTTTTTCCAAGTAAGGTCAAAGAACAATAGTTAAATCCTCTACCCAAAGCCCCGAAAACAAAAAGCAAGAAGCCACCCTACAAAATCGAAGGACACTATCTCTAAAGGGGACAGCAACAGGGCTTGTCTTGCCACTCTATGGGCAGCCCAGTTGGCAGTCCTCGGAACCGCACTAAAAAGAATACACGAGGGACAGGACCTCAACAACTGAAAGCAATCTCTAAGAAGGGGACCTCCAACCGAATCTTCACAGCAGCCACTTTCCAGTTGACGGATGACGACTTCAGAATCACCTTCAGAATCACCTTCAAAACAAGTACAATTTCATCATTTCAAGTCAATAGTTTGCGGCCATTACAAACTCTATGAATTCGTCAATCAACTTACTATGTTCCAACCACTCTCTCAGTGTTGGCCTCGATCTGATTGCCTCCGAATATCCTAGCGGTCCCGAAATCCGAGATCTTGGGGTTCATGTGCTCGTCCAGAAGCACATTGCTCGCTTTCATATCTCTGTGGATGATCTTAAGACGAGAGTCCTCGTGGAGGTACATGAGTCCCCTGGCTGTGCCTTCTACTATGTTTGCTCTCTTTTCCCAGTCGAGCTCCTTGCTTTTCTTCGGATCTGTTACATACATAAGCTACAAAAATTATGACGAGTACTAGTCCTGTAAGCCATTTGAAGCTGATGAGAACGATCAATCAAGAACCAAGGAAGGGTGCAAACCGAAAAGGAAGGCGTCAAGGCTGGTGTTGGCCAAATACTCATAGACAAGCAGCTTCTCCCCTCTCTCCAAGCAATAACCCAACAGCCTCACCAGATTCCTGTGCTGAAGCTTGACAATCACCATCACCTCGTTCCTGAACTCTTCCAGACCTTGCTTGGATGTCAAGGAAAGCCTCTTCACCGCTATTTCTTGCCCGTCTTGCAGCTTCCCCTGCATTTCAACATCAGAGAGCTAGCTCATCACAATAGCTCTTCCTAATAACTCGAGTAATCGAAAGAATTTTGAAAATGGGTTCTTTGTAACGTTATTCTTTATACCCAATAACTATTGGTCATTGGGAGAGGCTATGAGAATGTACTGACCTTGTAAACAGGGCCAAAACCTCCCTGCCCAAGCTTATTGGCATTGGAGAAGTTGTTTGTGGCTGCCAGAACAGTAGCCAGACTGTAACAGTGGACTTCTCTGTCGTTCTCATGGCCTGGAACTTCGATTCCAATTGCGGCATTGTGATTGGAGCCATCGTAATCGGGTAGCAGTATTTCTTGGCTGGTTTCTCCTCCAGCAGACCTTCCCTTCTTCCTGCGGAAGCATGAACAGTACCAGATCCCCACCACGGCTACTGTTACACCAACTATGGCGCCAACGATTCCAGCAATTTTGCCTGTGTTGTTTCCTCCACCTCCACCTCCACCTCCACCTCCAGATAAGCAGAGGATTAAAGTGGGAAGAAATTTTAGGAATTATGCTTGGACCCTGATTCATTAGGTCATTCGATCTCGAACTATAACTGAAGGTGCATTGTGTAGCAAAGGTATGAGAACTCAAACTCAATATCACTGAAGATTCACGAGGAGAATTTATGGGAACCGGAACTCGGTTGGTCGAAAGATATGTATTATGCTGCGCAGCCAATGTAGCATAAAAAATCTACTCGATTTATAGAGAAATGTCTGATGATTAGTGTTATGCTAATCTCGGATACTTCCCTTTATAAACTAAAACTAGTTCGCTAGACTTAGATTACCATGAATAACACACAATTTGTTAGCCGTTGAAACCTCTAACATCTTGTAAAAAACCAAATCATGATAATAATTTTAGTTGTCGGAAGATGATCTTATTGATGACTAGGGAACTATTTCCGATATGAAGAGAAACTTGATCATCATGATCGTTGAAACTTAAGATTAACCTAATCATGATGATTAGTGATTCTAAACGCGCACAATCTAATCAACATCCTCGGCAATTTGAAGTTTCCTCAAAATCAATGTAGCCAAAGAATTCGTCTCTTATTTATTTCCCATCTAAACTAATGGATTAAGCTAATTCATTGATATTTTCTCAAAATCAAAAATTTTATCAACCAAAGAGCCATATCCCCGTTTTTCTCCGATAAAATCAAAATATATGATTCAATGTTTTTTACTACAAAAAAAAAAAAAATGACACGAATTCTTTCTATTTCTCAATGATGTCCAGCAATACCAAGTCAACGTTCAAGAAAATTCAAATTGGCGAAAAACATTGAGCTTTGAAAGAAACAGAGTCATGGGAAGGCCACCAAATTTGACTCACCATCGTTGCCACCACCAGGCGGCGACTGCGGCGGCGGCGGCGGAGGCACCTCATAGAACAAGCTCTGCTCGTACCTCAAACTACAACTAGGAGTCAGAATCCGCCACCCGATCCTGCCCCGACAGCACCGATCACTAGCATCGTTCAACTCCTCCAGGCACGACAAGCAGGCACCGCTACTCAAATCCCTCGTACACTGCGCCATCGCGTACCTCGGCCGGCCCCGACTCTCCGATTCATTCGTCCCGTACATCAGCCCGGTGTACGGGACGTAATCGATGAGCCCGTAGATCAGCGACAGCGCCCCGTTGTCCGTCTCCCCTGGCGACGTGTTGTTCTGGGTGTTCCACATCAGCAATCTGTACTGAACTTCAGTCCGGCCGGCGAAGCTGACGTTGGAGTACCGCAGCATGCACTGGTCGTACCAGACGACCGCCGCCCTGTGAGCAGGGCAGCGTCGCTGGACCTCCTGCGCGGCCTGCGTTATGCAGGCCGCGCAGGTGGTCAGGGAGACGTCTCCGCGGCAGAGGTAGAGGGAGAATACCCGGCCGTCCGCCGCGGAGTCGTTGGAGAAGGTGGCGGTGGAGGCATTGGGGGGCAGGGTGTTGAGGAGGGCGGCGAGGTTTGAGGTGTAGGCGGGAGGTGTGGTTGAGTTGGAATTGTCTTGACAGCCGGCGGTGTTGAAAGTCGGCTGCTGTTGAGATGTGGTTGAGATCGCGAGGAGGTGGATTGTTGTGAGGAAGATGATGGCGGAGGAAAGGAAATGGCTATGGCTATTGATTACTCTTCCTGTTCGAATCATGGCGGCTTGGAAAGGAGAAAGATGCAGGGGAGCTTGGGGCAGAGGAGCATTAGAGACAAATAGTTTCGTTTGTATCTTTCTGTCTGTTATTCTTTTAATTAAGTTGGGAGTTTGACTAAAAATTGGTGGAAAGGAATTTTGACCGTTGGATCGGCAAGCAGCGTGGAATTAGCCTAGTTAGCTTGCGTGCAGAGACTGATTCGTTCGGCACTAATTTTATCTTATGATGATTTAAGTACATGAACAGTCATGGAATTTCATATTTCGTCGGTACCTTATCGGCTAAATTACATGTTTGGTCACTCAAATTATATAAATCTTTCACGTTTGCCACCCGAATTACTTTTCTTTCTTATTCGCCACTAACTTTATGAATCGTTTCACGGTTGGTCACCGGCCGTTACACTCCGTTAAGTTTGTCCTACGTGGCAGTCAACTATAAAGTTTGACCGTTAACTAGATGACGTGGAAATTAAAAAAATTAAAAAAATAAAATTTTCTTTCCACCTCATCATTGCACTTATTTTATCTATATAATTTATAATATAAATAATTTAATAAATTACAAAAATGGGCAAACTAAGTGCCCATTTTAATAAATAAAAAAACTCACTGACCCTCCCAAAAAATAGGCTGCCGCAGCAGATTGAATTGAACCCAGATCTGAAACAAACAAGAATCAATCACCGCCCCTTCTCCCCGCTGCCATGGCTTCTCTTCCACTCACCCCATCATCCACCGCCGTCCCCGCCAACCTCCGCCGTCAACCCTGTTCCCTTCTTCCTCTCTCCTCAAATTTGAAACCCACCGCCGGTGGCCGATTCAGAAGAACAAGACCCAACCTATCTTCTCAACTAAATGCCGCTGCCGTCGACAAACAAGAATCAATCACCGCCACAACCAATCCCAAGATCGGTAACCAGCCCACTGTCGACTGACTTAATATACTACCATGTTTGTTGCTTTACCATTCTGCTCCATTTTTGTGCAGATTATGGAGTCGTCGGAGTTCACCACGTCGGAATCCTCTGCGACAACCTCGAAACGTCGCTCGAGTTCTACCAGGGGATGCTGGGTCTCGAGATAAACGAGGCAAGGCCTCACGACAAGCTTCCATACAGAGGAGCTTGGTTGTGGGTGGGCGCCGAGAAGATCCATTTGATGGAGCTCCCGAATCCGGACCCTTTAACCGGACGCCCTGAACATGGTGGTCGCGACCGCCATGCTTGCCTCGCCATTCGAGATGTCTCCAAGCTCAAAGAGATCCTCGACGAAGCGGGTAGCCTTCCATTTCGCTTCTAATTCTGATCACCCTTTTTCAGTTTGCACTTGGCTTGGGGCTTGAGGTCAGGTTGGTGTATGTTCTTGCAGGACATCCCTACACACTTAGCCGGTCCGGGAGGCCTGCAATCTTCACTCGCGATCCGGATGCGAATGCGCTGGAGTTCACTCAAGTCGATTGACTCCCTGCAGCTTCAGCTCACAATGGCATTAAAATTTTTCGGCGGGTCAGTGAGTTTTTTTATTTATTAAAATGGGTATTTTGCCCATTTTTGTAATTTATTAAATTATTAATATTATAAATTATATAGACAAAATAAGTGCAATGATGAGGTGGAAAGAAAATTTTATTTTTTTATTTTTTTTAATTTCCACGTCATCTAGTTAATGGTCAAACTTTATAGTTGACTGTCACGTAGGACAAACTTAACGGAGTGTAACGGCCGGTGACCAACCGTGAAACGATTCGTAAAGTTAGTGGCGAATAAGAAAGAAAAGTAATTCGGGTGGCAAACATGAAAGATTTGTATAATTTGAGTGACCAAATATGTAATTTAGCCGTACCTTATCATTAAAATTAAGAGTAATTAACGTAATTGATGATTTGCTCATATCGGTTTGGTTTTAATTGATACTAGATAAATGGCCCGCGCGTTGCCGCGGATTGTTTGAAAATTTACCATTTATCAATTAGTTAGCATTCAAGAGTAATCATACTTTAATTGAGTTGAGGGTTAAAATGAACCTTTTAAATTCGTTAATCTTCAAGATATCATAATAATTATGAATTAGATACTAAATAATTAGTTAAATAGATTCAATGAGAGGGTTGTACCTATTGACTTATGAGAGAATGGGAGAAAAACTTGGATAGTTTGGCATGCTACTGAGTATGGTTAGCAAAACTTCTTCAATTAGGCGATCACCCCTTTTCCTTTGTTGATTTGTTAATCAAGCTCACCTCTTTCTACTCATATGTTCCCGTTTTTTGTAAATTATATGAAGAACCAAAGCTAGTTAATTATTGTTTTTAGTCATCTGGTCTTGGTTTTGGCAAGGAAGATGTTTAGATTCAAACAACAAATCTATTGGTGAGAAGAAAGCTGTTTAGACTCGTGAAATTTGAAGCATGCATGCCCCTCCTCAAATTGAGAGAAATAAGCAACCGCGTAAGTAATCAACCAATTAAGTAAAAAGATACTTGATTACATGTGAACTGTTCCAATCCTGCATATAGAAGGGTTTAAATTTGATGACACAGTTTCGAACAGTGTGGAATGGTATAATATCTTATTATGGCTCTCTTAGTACAACCATCAAAATTTACATCACTTGATAATCAATATGAATCCCTTCAAAAAGGAAAAATAAACCATAATTGTGTCTATTGGCTTCACCTTTTGCGCAATGAACAGCACTGACAATGAAAACAAAAACATGATATCAAGAAAATTGCACACCTAGTGCAGCTTAAGGTTTAGCATACAGAACACTGCTGTGTAGCCTTATCTAATAGAGGAAGTTACAGGGGGGGCATAGCAAATAGATATTACAATGAAGCATTATTGAACATAACAATCCATTATAGAAAATTACTCTGCCATTTTGATCTCTATTTACTTCCCCTCCACATAATAAAGACCATGGCAAAGATTGAAAACCAATAATTGCTATACATTTTTTTTAATTAACAGTAATAAGAACTAAGAAGTTGAAGCTATCTTTCTGCAGTACTCTTGTGTAATGACTAATAGAAATAGAGCAATGATAAACTCAGACAATGAGAACAAAATCGTAGCAGTAAGGTTTACTAAATAGGATTTCAATGATTGCCTATAACTTTCCCAAGGCATGCTATATGGGATAAGGTGGATTTTAGACAGTATAGTCATTAGCGTGGGTTTCATGTAGCCTGGCGGTCTTCATGCATAATAAATAACATAGCAGAGCAGCAGAATCAGATGGATACACATACAAAAGCACTATTATGTGAAAAGAATAACGCAAACTCAGTTAACGAACTGTTCTCACTTCTCACAATACCCATCCATACTGAAAACTATTCGAAGGACTGTTAGTCAATGCTAAAAAGAATTAGATTGAGCCATTCAAATTAGGCACTCAACTTACCCTGATCATTTTTCCCCAGTACCAAGCAATGGTCGAACTTGCAATACTACTGTTCTAGTAATTGGGAGTGGAATCCAGCAGCTAGTCAGCAGACAGAGACAAAATGAGCACATGAGAGCAAGAAAAGCTTCTTTAGGACTTCCGTATTTGCAAATAAACGACCAAGTAAGAAAATCCACAACAAAATACCATTACCAGAAGCGATCTAGGGATCAAATGGAATACTCAATCTGAGAAATCATACGGTTTGCGATGCAAGGACGTATTGAGGATGAAGAAAAAGCAACAACAGGGAGTTCTCCCCTGAAAAAATCCACCCCCAACAGAATTTGCAATCAGAAATTCCTTTTAGCAGTTGAAACTGAGAAAGAAAGAGAGAAGAAGTGTTGGGCTTGGTTCTGCAGGCTGCAGCTGAAGTGATGCAGTTGTAGTCTGTGTCGACTATAACAGATAAAATTTCGCACTTAATCTCATCAAGATCCATTCTCAAACCATTGTCAACTTCTAGCTTGGGGAGAGCAGAAATTTCAACTGCATTTCAAACCTGATTTCTGTCATTCAAAGAAAAGGAACCAATGAAATATGCAATTCTCAGTAGCCCCATAGATCAATAGAATGAACATACTTCCTGTCTTGTCTCTACCATTAAATTAAAGTATAAATTCTCCGTGAATCAGTTCAGTAGCCCCATTATGAATTGAATGGTCTTCCTTACCCGTCAAGCTTCTTAAGGACTTCCAGCAACCCATATTGCGTTCTAGATTTCTAGTACATTACATGCATTCATTCCAGAAGAACAAAGGCTATCATGGCATGTGATCAACTTGCAATGACTAACACCGCAGGGGAAGGGTGAAACGACAATCGATGAGGGGCTTTGGAAATTAAAGGAGACGGAGACTCGGGCAGCCGCCAGACAATCATCGAAAGATGAGAATGAGGAGAAGTCGATAGGTGAGAAGGGCGCCCCAAATCAATCGGTCGAGATAGACAGAAAGGTTGAGCCACGACGATCCATCTTCTCTAATCTCCAGGGGATCGACGGGTTGGGGATTGAAAAGGAAAAGGAATGGGCGCACCCAACTTGCGGTAGACCTGCCCTTATCCCACCGAACTCGACGGAGGGGCTGGGCTCTTCGCCGGCCAGCTCTCTTGCCTAACCGCCAGTGGGGTCGATGGAGAGGCTGAAGGGTTTGGGGAACAATCGGAAATCGGCCGGAAAAGAGAGGCGACTTACCTAGCCGCCAGCCAGTCGTCCTTGGGGAATCGGTGAAATAGGGAGGAGGTGGAAAGGAAAGAATCTAAGGCTGAGATAATTATGACATAGGACCCATCAGACGGTATTCGGTTAGGCTGTAGAGAACTTATGGTAGACCTTTCTACTTTCTACTGAACCCCTTAAGTGTACTCGCCTATTAATTATACTAATATACCATAAGTACCATAACCTATCAAAAAGAAGTAACAAAACATCGATAAAAATATAACGAATATTACCTTAGCTAATGAAAATTCTGTCGATAATCAAAATGTAGTGACCAGTCAGTTTCATAATCTTTCTGTGCTCACTAACGCCATCCACCTGAGTGAGATTTGGCAACGGCCAGCAACTGCCGAGTGCCGTCTCAGTCTGTTTATGTATTGTTTTACCTTTTGGAGTTCTTGACCGGAGAAACGCGACAGGTGACGGGAGGTAAAGCTGAAAAAGAAAGGATAACATTATTCAACGACGCTGCAGAAAGTTTTGACTGTTGAGCGGTTTCTTTGAGTGAGTCCCCGAGTTGAATCGTTCCCGCTTAGCGGGCGCGGCAAAAGGACGACACAGTCGAGCGGGGCCAACGGGCTGATCTTGGGTGAGGTTGGGCAGGAGGACTCCCTGGAATTATGAATGGGCCCAGGCTGAGTCAACGGCAAAATTTAGGTTGATTCCAATTCTTTGGGCCAAAGATCCATGACTGGAATATTCTAGCGTGGTCAGAGCTTTTTTTTTTTTTTTTTTTATCAGAACCTGCATTAGCGTGGTCAGAGCTCGGTGAACGGTGATGGGAACTTCAGTCCAAGACAAAGGAACGGCTTCACGAGGTCCAGATTGAGAATAAACCCCTAGCACTCCTTGTGATTCTCCCGGCGCCAGCGGCTTGCATTAATAACGCCGGCTAGGAAGGCTGCGGGCGGCAGAGTCAGCGAGTAGTAATAGTCGATAGGTACTTCAAATGAAATTTGCAATGTATAGAATCGAACAGAAGAGGGAATGGAAAATTGAATTAATATTGTTTGTGGTGTTTTTAAAAGTTCTGGGTATCAAAATGTAATTAAAAGTAAGAAAAAAATCTTGAAATATCATTTTCCATCGATTTTGAAGTGTGCAGATCACGGATTCAGCCTGAGGCTATTCTTTAGGGATGAATAAGTCTACTAAACAGCGTTTCGGGCGAAAAACTCCCGGGGCAATTTTTGTCAGTTTCCAAAGGGGTACCATCACCGATTTCGGGCGATTTTATGGAAAGTCCATTTTCCTTGGATTTTGAATGCGATGGATCACAGATTCGGCCTTAGGGTACTCTCCACCAACGATGAAGTCTAGCAATGGCCGATTTGGTCGGAAATTTGGTCGAATTTTTCCGGAGGGCATTTTCGTAATTTTTAGGCGCTTTTTTTCGAAAGGCCATTTTCCTTCGATTTTGAAGGGTGCAGATCACGGATTCAGCCTGAGGCTATTCTTTAGGGATGGATAAGTCTATTAAACAGGGTTTCGGGCGGAAAACTCCCGGGGCAATTTTTGCCAGTTTCCAAAGGGGTACCATCACCGATTTCGGGCGATTTTATGGAAAGTCCATTTTCCTTGGATTTTGAATGCGATGGATCACAGATTCGGCCTTATGGTACTCTCCACCAACGATGAAGTCTAGCAATGGCCGATTTGGTCGGAAATTTGGTCGAATTTTTCCGGAGGGCATTTTCGTAATTTTTAGGCGCTTTTTTCGAAAGGCCATTTTCCTTCGATTTTGAAGGGTGCAGATCACGGATTCAGCCTGAGGCTATTCTTTAGGGATGGATAAGTCTATTAAACAGGGTTTCGGGCGGAAAACTCCCGGGGCAATTTTTGCCAGTTTCCAAAGGGGTACCATCACCGATTTCGGGCGATTTTATGGAAAGTCCATTTTCCTTGGATTTTGAATGCGATGGATCACAGATTCGGCCTTATGGTACTCTCCACCAACGATGAAGTCTAGCAATGGCCGATTTGGTCGGAAATTTGGTCGAATTTTTCCGGAGGGCATTTTCGTAATTTTTAGGCGCTTTTTTCGAAAGGCCATTTTCCTTCGATTTTGAAGGGTGCAGATCACGGATTCAGCCTGAGGCTATTCTTTAGGGATGGATAAGTCTATTAAACAGGGTTTCGGGCGGAAAACTCCCGGGGCAATTTTTGCCAGTTTCCAAAGGGGTACCATCACCGATTTCGGGCGATTTTATGGAAAGTCCATTTTCCTTGGATTTTGATTTTATGGAAAGTCCATTTTCCTTGGATTTCGGGCAATTTTATGGTTTGATTTGTTTAAGGAAGATATATTATTTAGAATATTAAATATACCGGGAAAGTAATTATATGTGTGTGGGCGGATACCCATGGGGCGGGTTTACCTAAACCCAAACCCAACCCGATGAATAGTGTAGCGGGTTTAAACACGAACCCGGCCCAAAACCCGTCAACACGGGTTTTACCCGCGTTGACCGGGTTGGGTCGGGTGGGTACCCGTGTATTCGGGTTTTGTTGCCATCCCTAATCATCCATCTTTGTAATGCTCCACAATGAGCACATTTAACTATATAATTCCTACAAAAATTCCTTCATTTCACCCAACAACACGTCTTGTCAGTTAAGATCAGTTTGTTACTTATAAATTATAAACCTCTCTCAAACTTTGTCAACATGAAATTCGCCTAAACATGCCTTGATTTCTTTTAAAAAAAAAGGAAAATGAACTATTTTCTTTTAGAAAGATTTGTATTTTAGCAAAATATCAAGGAGCAAACTAAATGAATAAAACCACCAGTTGAGAGGACAAGACTATATAGGCTGATTGTTATGGAATACATACTTGGTGCAGGGCAGGTAAACGGTTGAGATCCGCCGGCCGGACAGTGACACGAGAAATTCCCAGGCGCCTCCCAGGCCGCCGCCGTGCCGCACAACCCCTCCGACGCGCCACACCGCTCGCACAGCGCTCCGTATTCTCCATATCCATAAGAAACATTAACCCCGGCGTCCAGAACTCCCCGCAGCTCCGCCTCCGCATCCCTCCCCCAAATTCCGTCGGGGGCATCCGCCGGAATCGGAAACACCACTCTCCCTCTGCACGATTCAACATCACTCTCACTCAGAAACGTCTCGTTCGCGTAGAACGACACCAGATCGACGCCGATCAAACACGACAGCCTCGTCTCTGGAATTTTTCCGGCACCCGAATTCAGGCAGCCGTAGAACAGGGTCAGGTTCTGTAGGGCGGCGGAATTGGAGGGCGAAGGAGCGAGCAGCGAGGTATTCAGACTCGCCGTCCCGTTGATTGGCGGGCAAATTGTGTCCGAGTAATCTGTAACGGCGACGGTTAGGGTTCTGGAGGGCTGGTTCACGGCGATTAAACTGAGCAGCAAGGAGCTTGCTTTGAGAACAGGGTTCTGATCTATGTTTTCGCAAGAAAGCAGCTCGAAATCCGGATGCCCGCACTCTCGCGGCCTGAATCCGAGTGCCCAGAAGGGATAAGAGAGGTTGGTTTTCGTTCCGCAATTGAAAGGCGTGGAGCAGTCCTCGAAGCCGATGGCTTCGTCGCCGGAAACAGAGGCGATGGTGAGGGAGAAGAAGAAGAAGAAGAAGGCGAGCAGCAACGGGAAACCCATTTTTGATTTGATTGGTTTTTTTTGTTTTCTTTATCCCTGTGAGGAGAAGTTGGGGTTGGGTTGTGAAGAAGTGATTGAAAGGGTTGAATTGATCTGCAAAGTCGAGAGGATATTTCAGTGGGAACGGGAACAGAGTCTTCTTCTCTCCAAACAGGCGATAAGTCATTTGGTCTTCGTCTTTTGCATTGACTTGTAAGTTCCATCCATTGCGTGGGGAGATAGCAATTTGAACTCGTTCAGTCGAGTATTATTCGATTTGATTCGTATTGAGATGAGTATTATTCGATTCACAGTAGGGTGGGAATTGGGCTCGACGTTCGATTCTGAAAAACTTGTTCGATTAGAAAAAAAAGTTCGACTCGTTTATTAACCAGTCGAGCTCGAACGCAGCCTTGTTCAGCTCGTGAGACTCGTGAGCCAGTTTGATTAAGTAACTTGTTTAAGCTCAACTCTTGGACTGTCTCGTTTTGAGCTCATGAGATGTCTTAACTATGCAAGCCAGCTCGACTTTTGCCCTATGAGAAAATTGATCTATATCTAATGAGTTGCCTTGTTCATGATTAATAGATTTATTAAATTGTATATCTCACTTCATATATGTTTAAGACTTCGATTATAGGAGCAAATATGTCTCATACACAATATGTGATCAGTCAATCACATGCGCCATATATGACATAAATATTATGGTATTTAATTTATAAATTATCTTAAAATTGAGGTTGAGCCGAACTCGTAATCTAAATGACGAGTCAGAGTTTTAATAAATGAGTCTACTCGAGCTCGGCTCCGCTCGTTATTAAATGAGCCGAACTCGTACTCGACTCGTTTATTAACGAGCCAACCCCGAACAAGACAAGACTTTACTAGGCTCGGTTCAGCTCAGTTCAACTCATTCACAACTCTAATATGAGACGAATATGAATTTTGAAATACTCGTTCTACCACCCGTTTGCCACCCATACCTGCTTGGAATTGGAATGTGGATTGTTGGCTAATTGGCTGCATTAATGTTGCTCGGAAATTAAGGGCCAAGGTAAACTTCGCATCTGTGCTCAGCTGCGTTAACGTCAAATTTCAAACCCTCAAAGCACGCCCACAAAGTTTGCGCGTGATTCCACTATCTATGCTGTTCCCTTCCCTTCTAAGGAGAGGGAGACGACAAACGACGACTTCACGACTACACTTGTCTCATCTTTTATGCGATTGGAAAAGCACAATTGAAGCGCTTTACCATTTTTGCTACGAAATTATTGCTTGCCATTTCCAACCCTTGGACCGGTTCAAAGGTGACCGACTTCATTTATTTTGGACACAGAACGCTCTCAATTCAGTATCAGGATGGCAACATGTCGTTCTTTTTTTCAATCACACAAATTTTTCGGGAAATATTATTTCGATCAGCACCATATTCTTTTTTTTTTGGTAGAAAGATAGACGCATTGCGTCTAGATTACATTAATATAACGATCATGGGAAGTTCCCAAAACATCATGGCTGAGCCATTGGACAAGGTCTCTATCACAGTTGTAATAATTTTAGTATTGTCTAGTGATAATAAGACACCGAATGGAATGGATTAGCCATATCACTTGAAGATTTTACTTGCGTACTATTTATATTGCTTTGAGATTGCTCCGGAAAGGTTACCGGTTCTACGAGCGAACCGATTGGTCTAGTCCGGCTTTGATATCCGTGGTTACTAGGTTAAATGCGAAATTGATCACACCGCAGCTCAAATACACAACAGAAGCACATAACCGAAATATCTTTTTTAGTTCGGCTAGTTGAAAAGGAACAAAGCACTACATAGAGTTACAATTCAGTTTCAGGAGGACCATCCTAACACCAAACTGCCAGCCAAATGCAGAACAATAACAAGGAGAGAGAATCAAATCTCAAATCGTTTTATTCCATTGTTTGACTGGAACGCGGAGGTTCAGGGTCAGGTTCTTGTATCACCACGATGTCTTCTTCTCTCTCGGTTGTTAGAATTGGAGCAAGGCGTGGAGGTTCGGGATCGGGTTCTTGTACCACGATGCCTCGTCGTCCTTCTGTTGCCGAAGTTGGACTGGGACGTGGAGGTCGTACGGGTATTTCCGGATCAGGTTCTTGTATCACGATCCCTTGTATCACGATCCCTCGTCGTCCTTCTGTTTCCGGACCAGAATGCGGAGGTTGTGGAGGTAGTTCAGGACCAGGTTCAAGTACTAGGTTGCCTCGACTCCCTCCTGTCGCCAAAGTTGGACTAGGACGTGGAGGTCGCACAGGTATTTCAGGGTCAGGTTCTTGAATCACGATGCCTCGACGCCCTTGAGTTCTCGTTGTTGGACTGGGACGAGGAGGTCGCACAGGTAATTCGGGATCAGGTTCTTGTATCACGATGCCTCGGCTCCCTTGAGTTGCCAAAGTTGGACTGGGACGTGGAGGTCGCACAGGTATTTCAGGGTCAGGTTCTTGTATCACGATGCCTCGGCTCCCTTGAGTTGCCAAAGTTGGACTGGGACGTGGAGGTCGTACAGGTATTTCAGGGTCGGGTTCTTGTATCACGATGCCTTGGCTCCCTTGATCTGCCAAAGCTGGACTGGGACGTGGAGGTCGCACAGGTATTTCAGGATCAGGTTCTTGTATCACGATGCCTCGGCTCCCTTGAGTTGCCAAAGTTGGACTGGGACGTGGAGGTCGCACAGGTATCTCAGGGTCAGGTTCTTGTATCACGATGCCTCGGCGCCCTTGAGTTGCCAAAGTTGGACTGGGACGTGGAGGTCGCACAGGAATTTCAGGGTCAGGTTCTTGTATCACAATGCCTCGTCTGCCTCCAGCGATCGAAGTTGGACTAGGACGTGGAGGTCGCACAGGTATTTCAGGATCGGGTTCTTGTATCACGATGTCTGATCCCGAACTTGGTGGTGGAGAACGATGCACAACCTCAGCTTCCACCATTGGACCTTTCCCATTCTCGATATCTGCGACAAAACCCACCGAATTAACTCGTAATTAATTTAAAAAATTAAATATGTATATCATGCAAAACTATAAGTTACAAGTAGGTCAATTTGGCTTTAGTTAGCTCTACATGTAGGACATAGCATAATTTGGGGCTGGAATGCATATAAGAGAGACATATATTGAAGAAAAGCGAATAGTCTCACCAGAAGTAACGATGAGAAATGAAAACAACAGAAGGGATAGCTTCATGGATTCTGATATCTTCATTTTGTTGTTGTTTTTCTTATCTTCTTGTGTGTAAGAATCAACTTCTAATTTGAGAATTTATAGTAGTTGGAGGGTAGGAGGGGTCAACTCCAAATCTGCTTCATTAATTGAAACAAGGCAAGATATTGATTACAACACGAGGAAAAGAAGGCCAGTAATTAAGATAATTAAGTAGAATACCATAAATAAATTCTTTTTTCTTGACAAAAATATAAATGCAATTTACTCCTAGAGATATTGTAGTGATAAAAAATATGGTAATTAAGTAAATTTTAAAAAATAAACAATATAATAATTTCTTTGCCATAAAAGAACTACATTGAATAATGAATAATTACCTTCTTTGTGATAAAGAAAAAAAAAAGAATAATTACCTTGTTATCTAACCTTATTTTTTTTCTCCCTCGTACTTTGTCTATCTAATTATTTGGGTTAGTTTTTACACAAAATATCTAATTTGTATAGTAATTCTTTTTTATAGAAAATGAGATTTTAAAAGAACGCGTCTACCCAACACTTAAGTTAAACATTTCTGGACGATGCCCATAGTGTCATATAATAGCCAAAAGTTCGGTCCAAACTCTAGAATTAATATCAAAATCATGAATGCCTAAACTATAAGATTGTGACGTATTATCGTTTCTAATGCGTCGAGAAAACGATTATCTACGTTACTTCTACTCCTAAAACTATTACGAATTTTACTAAACTGTATTATTATTCATTGACTGACCAAAACCAAAGAACAACGTACATATTTATAGGACTACTCTCACAACTTTTCCCTCTCAAATAAGGTAAACTAATCCTAATCCAAGAAGTAAATAATAACTTTCCAACAAGATACTATAAACTAATATGAGTAACATTAATAACCGAACAATTAAATAACAATAAATCCCTAATGACGAAGCCCTACTCGGTCACGAGGCCCAACGAGTGCTATAATGCACCAGATTGATATTTGTTGGCAAGGTAATCTGCTGTCTTATTACATTCTATGTATATATGGGGGTAAATGACATATTTGGTCACTGAGATTACTAAATCGTGTCATATTTAGTCACTAGAAAAATTTAATATCAATTTTGGTCACTCGAATTACTGAAACAGGTCACATTTGGTCACTCTTCTGTAGCCTCTGTCCAACTCCGGTCACTCGAATTATTGAAAAATGTCACATTTAGTCACTCGGATTACTGAAACATGTCACATTTAGTCACTCTCCCAAAAGTTTCCGTCCAACTACATTAATGGAGTTGGACGGAAACTGACGGGAGAGTGACTAAATTTGACCAGTTTCGGTAATTCGAGTGACCAAAATTGATATTAATTTTCTCTAGTGACTAAACATGACACAATTTAATAATCTCAGTGACCAAATGTGTCATTTACCCTATATATGGGATATTTATGAATCCCATCTTCGTTGTATAAGCTCATAAACCTGGTGAATGAGATTGAAGTACCTCGTTGGTACTTGATCTGTCAAGGTCCGCATTTGATCAGAGTCGGTCCTAGGCATGTGCCAACAGGTCCAATGGCACAGGGACTCACAAATTATGGGTCTCAACCCATCAAAACTATATGAAACTATGAGTTTAGTTTTGGGCTTTTGCAAAAATATATTTTCGGACCTCACAAAATTTGGGGCCTCAACCCATAAGACTAGTGAACTTCTAGGTTTAATTTTGGATTTCTACTTGGATTTCTAAAAAACATACTTATATAATTTAGGCCAAATATACTTGTGTAGTCAAAACTTTGACGGTTTTGTAAAATATAGCCACGTTTGGCGAAATACAAAAAATAGTCACTTTCATCCAATTGTTTGACGGTGTTAGTTAACTTGCTGATTAGACTAACAACAACAATTGACGTGGCATATTTTATTCGAAAATAATGTTAGGTGGAACATAAACAAAATTTTATCTTTTTATTTTATTTTAATTAAATTAAATAACAAAAAATCATAAAAACAATAAAACCAAAAATATCTTCACCATCACCTGTTCACATCCCTTCATCAATAATTCCCTAAAGCTCCAGAAACTTCCTCTTCTGCAACCCTCAACCGAAATAAAGATCAATCCCTAAACCCATTAATCCCTGCCCAGGTTCCGTCGTCGATACCACCACCACCATTTTAAACCTACCCAACTTCCGTCGTCGAAACCACCACCATTTTGAAAGCTCCATTAGTGCTTCTCGCTCTCTCAACCAATGTAGTCAAAAGCTAGTTTTTACGTAGAAGCATTTTGGTGATCTAGAAGCGTAAAATCGTAAGTTTTTAAGCTTTAAACCGAAGTTTTTAACTACATAAGTTATAAAAATGGTGATTGTGTATATAATCGTTTTTGTGACCTAGAAACGTAAAACCGTAACTTTTTAGGTTTAAAGCGCGATTTTGACTATATTGCTCTCAACAACATCGCCATCGAGCCAACTATGTCGCGGAGTCTTCCCTCCGATTGTACAGCCCCCAACCCAATTAACTCCGGGTTTGATTCGCGGAGATGTTGTTCTTCGAGAGGCTTTCCACGACGGTTGGTGGTGGCGACCCTCTTGCCAGCAAAACTGAAGTCGTCGACCCCAGTGGCGGTGCCAACAGTAGAGAGCCTCCCTCTGTCGCTCGATTCTCCTCCAATGTCTTTTGGAGCTCTATTTTCTTTCGATTCTCTGTTGGCGCCGGTTCAGGGTCTCGCTGTCGCCGTCAAAACTCTCTGTCAACGGCGCCTACTCTAGCCTTGAGACCGGATCTGGCCGGCGGGCCACTAGTTGGATCTGTATCCATACCAAATCTCGCCGCTGGGTTGCTAATTAGATATGTATCCAGAGTTCCAGACCAAATCTCGCTACATCCTCCTCCTTTGAAGCTAAAAACATAAATCGGGCTAGGGAGAAGGAATGGATTGTCCTTCTGAAATAGCATAGTCGGTGACATGTTTTTTTTTTGTATTGTGGATTTTTTGTTTGAATGAGTTTGTGAATTGGGATTTCGAAGAAGGGGAGATGAAGGTGGGAAGGCGAAAAGAAGGATAAGCTGGAGTATTTTTGTGTAGGAGATGAATTGGGTACTTTCTCTTCTCAACAATTTTTCTTGATATTTTTGTATAGGGAGATAAGAAGCTCGGGTCCCCTTAGGACTAAAAAAACATTTTTTTTTATTTTAAAAATGTCGTGTCATCCACCTATTATTGGAGGCTGACGTGGAACCGAAAGAGAGGGTGAGTTGGCAGCCAGGTAAGCCTTCCGTTAATTTCACTGGCGGTGTCACTGACACCGTCAAACTATGTAACAGAAATGACTATTATTGTCATCAAAGTTTCAAATTTTTGGCTATTTTTGGTATTTTCCCAAAATTAGCTATTATTGTTTCAAACGTCAAAGTTTTAGCTATACATATGGATTTTGCCTATATTTTACATGAGCATCTGAAATTAAATGCCCACCACCATAAAAAAAAAATTCAATGCCCACATTTAGTTTCCGGGATGGGGCCTCCGAAATTTAAGTGTCAACCCTACTTCTGAAGCCAAAAAACACTTTTAAAAGCCGGGCCAAACATGAGCATATTCAATGTAACCTACTTATGATCTTGTGCCTAGTTATTTAGTTAGTGAAACAAATTATGTGAACAAGTTTTTCTTAATCATAGCATATCTCTGTATCTCTATTTTTTTAGATAAATCTCTATATCTCTATTGATAGTACAAATTTGAAAATCATCAACCCAAAAATTCTAGCATAAATTAAAAGTAGTAAAATTTTTAGCGCCAACCTTGGTTGGATGCAGAAGCTCCAACCATCCATGTCAGTTTGTTATTGGTGGATTCACTTTCTTTTTTCTTGATATTTAATGTTCTTAATTATGCTAAATAAATAAAAAAATTAAAACATTTTGAATGGTTGGAGCTTCTATGTTCAACCAAGATTGTAGCTAAGAATTTTCCTTAAGAATCCCCGAAATTCAGAAAAAGATAATAATAATAATAATCTAAGCCCAATCCAACAAAACCGTCAACTTCACAATGGTGGACCATGACTCCTTCCTTCTTCGTCTCCACATGCATTTAGCAATCGGCTAATGTTATCCTGAAAGCTTAGCCGTTGCAATTAAGTGATTAACTAAGTGAGCAACTAGTTCTTTTGAGTTTGACTTCTCCCAAATCCCACATCACTCCCTAATTGCATAGATCTAGTTGGCTAGCTCCATATATTTCTTTTTCCGATGTCTCAACCTTTGACATACGTTAAAATAAACTTGTTTTAGATGAGCTAGCGAAGAACAATGGTTTGATTTCTTTCTATATGTTTACTACTAGCTAGATTTTGGTTGAGATTAGCTAGTTGATATTATTCACCAACTTGAAGCTAAAAGAGATCTTTCAAAATGATGCATAAAGGAAAAGAATAATGCAGTACTCTCACATTGCACCGATTCAACTCTATCCATTGATTTGTTTTGATTGATATCACTAAATGTTTGAGTTACCGGTTAGGATCGAGATAAACTTAAAATCTATACACGAGCAGTTCAATGACAATAACTTTGAAGTTCCAACTAAAAATCTAACATTAGAAATAGACATACTCCTTTGTCCATGCTTCAGAGTAACACTCCTACCATGTGCAATCATATATTCCTCTAGGTGCGAGTGTACATCCCTATTAAGTGTGCTTCACTACAAACGTAGACGTATAGTGCTCCCACTAACCATATAGACATAGGCATATAGTGCATGTTAATAATCCGTTGTGGAGTATTGATTAGGGCAAGCGCTTTCGAGTACTAAAATATATGCATACGATCACCATAACAAGGGAGCAATCCCGATCTATAATATAAGAGCTCTCAACCCCTCTAAAAAAGAAACACATTTTCCCCTTCAAATAACTAATTTCGATCATTTCTTCACACTTTTCGTAAATCAGTATAGACTAACTTGAATATCAGAGTACAGACCCTCCTATCTATTCCCAAACTTTCATCCGAACTCAATAAAATAGGGTCTAAATCCTTGATTCCACATTATTAATACAAATACCCCCCACAAGTTTCACACACCCTCATTATATTTTTTAAAGAAATAAGTCATATTACCCACTAATGGTGACAAGTTGGGGGAAAAAGAAAATCATGAAGAGCTGACTTTTACTCTTATCAGCCATTAAAATTTTGGGATAATGACTATGGATCACAATAATTTAAAATCCCACCATCTCCTCCCTTCATATGATCCAAAATAACTCGATAAATCGTAAATCGCAGTACTAGCAATGGCGGAGTTCATTTGGATAAAAAAGGCTCTCTTCCTCACCACATCGTTTCTCGCCTTGCTCTGCGGCTACACCACCAAATCGGACGTGAACCAGGTCACCGGCTGGTCATGCTCCGGCCCCAAAAACGCCACCCTAGACGCCGAGTCCCAAGCCAATCTCAACACTCTCCTCAAATCACTATCCGACAAGGCACCAAAAAGCAACGGCTTCTCCCAAACACACACCGGAAAAGGTGACAAGAGGCTGTACGGCCTCGCCCAGTGCCGCGGCGACGTGTCGGCGGCGGACTGCCGGCACTGCCTGCGGAACGCCACGTGGACTTCATCCGCCCAGTGCGCCGCGCGCCGCGAAGGGATCGTGTGGCTCCGGTGGTGCCTGTTGCGTTACTCCGACGCAATCTTCTTCGGCACGTGGGACAGGGCCGGGATCGCGAGGGTGAACCAGACGACGCCGTTTGAGGACCCGAGCGTGGTCCCCAGAGGGGTCGATCTGATGAACGGGCTGGCGGGGACCGCACCGCGACACGTGTCGATGTTCGATACGAACGCGGTCGACGTGGGCCCGCTCGAGAGGCGATTCGGGATGGCGCAATGCACGAGGGACGTGGATCCCGCGGGTTGCAGGGAGTGCCTCGTGGCCCAGCTGGAGACGTTCAGGGCGAGGATCGGGAACAGAAGAGGGTGGGAGATTTACGGGTCGAGCTGCAGCTTGTGGTATCACGATTACCGGTTTTATTTCGATTCCGTTACTACTAATCAAGGTCACACTCTTATACCGGTGTTTAATAAGATGGATTATGTATTGCCTTTTTTTTTTTTTTGGGTCTAATTACAGGTTCATTATTTGTCCTTTTGGATGTAGGAGGGAGGAGGTACTCAGCGAATTGGTTCAGAACGGTGGTGATTGTAATGGCCTTTTTGTTGCATTGTTATATAAATAATTAATGAAGTTAAAGGTCATCTACTTCCATTGTCGTCCAGCGGTTAGGATACCTGGCTTTCACCCAGGAGACCCGGGTTCGATTCCCGGCAATGGAAGAAATTTCTTTTAAACGCCGTTTATTGGACTTGGGCTTTCAGTTTAGGCCCCCTACGCTTTGAGATCCGAGGAAGTCAGTAATGGGCTTTGTAAAGCCCGTCCGGAAGTGAAAGGTCATGCTTTCATCATTTTTGGGAAACTATTTTCCAAGCATATTTCATGAGCTCTGCATTTTGCATACGTTCGATTTTCTCTTTGTACTTTCAGATTGAGAGGTTTGCATTTGACATTTTCTGGTGAAATGGAACATTTCTCTACATAGGACTTAGGTGAGGGGATTGTAGTTTGGGCCAACAGATAGGTGTGGCCTTGTGGATATTGAATGCTGTATTTTTAGAATTCCACGATTTTGGGTGAATTTTATGAATATAGAAATCGGGTTTCGACAATCTTTGTCATTTATTCTCCGTAACTTAGTCTTAAAAAGTTATTTGTGGATTAATAACGATATTCTCATAAGGAATTCTCGAAGAGAGCAAGTAGTTTAATACTATCAATTGGTGTTGAATTTTGAAAAGAAATCAACAAATGCTTATATATATATACATATAAAAATGGTAATGTAAGACGTGCAAGGACAATTGTGTTGTCTTAATCGTCAAATTGTCGATGCTTAATTTTCATGTGTGGCACTCATCTAGACGAAATCACACAACCATGCTTTTTTTTTTTTATCATTTATAACCAATCAATCATGTTGGACTTTCTCCACATGGCTATCTCTTGAAATCATAATCTTTGTGGCTACATTAATGATGATTTTCGCGACGGAGATATGCAGACTGAGCTGTTTCATTAATAATTTATTATAAAAAAGTTTCATATTTAACCGACATGAATGTTAAATGAACGACCTCTATAGAATAAATTGAGAATGAAATAGGTTAGACAAACAAGTAACTCAGCCGGAGATGTCAAAATTACAATCCTAACTCAACCATTTTTTCTTATACAGACCAAGACCAATTTATGTACCTAAAAAAACGAGACTTGTACCGAGAAACGCCGCTAGCTAGTACCGGTGGATTGATCCGACGTCAGGAACCCGGTGCCGGTACCGGAGGTACTGGAAGATAGATCGGAAACGTGGGTGAACCCGCCGGCGGTGAACGGACGTTTCAACTGCCGTGGAAGGTCGTCATCCGATTTGCTTCCGAGCATTCGGACCACCGCGGACATGGTCGGCCGTTCAGCCGGATCGTCCTGCGTGCACAACAATGCAATATGGATCCATCTCGCCGGGCAGTTCTTAGCTATGTTCGAGTCTATCAACTCTTCTCCTCTGCCTTCACTCCATAGCTCCCATGCCTGAAATGAAGTTGTGGCACCACATGTTCAGGAATCAAAATTTTAGGGCCAATATTTGGGCATTGGTAATTAAGTTTTGATTGGTAATTACCTGCAAAAGAAGGCTAGAGGCCTGACTCGGGTCGAACGATCCTCTGTTCTTCTTTCCACTAATTATTTCCAGCATCAAGATTCCGAAGCTGTAGACATCCGATTTCGTCGAAATCACTCCCTCTAGAGCGTACTCAGGAGCCATGTACCCACTGTTCAAAACAAGTACAATTCATCATTTCAAGTCAATAGTTTGCGGCCATTACAAACTCTATGAATTCGCCAATCAACTTACTATGTTCCAACAACCCGCTCAGTGTTGGCCTCGATCTGGTTGCCTCCGAATATCCTAGCGGTCCCGAAATCCGAGATCTTGGGGTTCATCTGGTCGTCCAGAAGCACATTGCTCGCTTTCATATCTCTATGGATGATCTTAAGACGAGAGTCCTCGTGGAGGTACATGAGTCCCCTGGCTGTGCCTTCTACTATGTTTGCTCGCTTCTCCCAGTCGAGCTCCTTGCTTTTCTTCGGATCTGTTACATAAATTTCGATGTTATGTCAAGTACTGTACGCCATTTGAAGCTGATGAGAACGATCAATCAAGAACCAAGGAAGGGTGCAAACCGAAAAGGAAGGCGTCAAGGCTGGTGTTGGCCAAATACTCATAGACAAGCAGCTTCTCCCCTCTCTCCAAGCAATAACCCAACAGCCTCACCAGATTCCTGTGCTGAAGCTTGACAATCACCATCACCTCGTTCCTGAACTCTTCCAGACCTTGCTTGGATGTCAAGGAAAGCCTCTTCACCGCTATTTCTTGCCCGTCTTGCAGCTTCCCCTGCATCACCACGTCGTAGAGCTAGCTCAGCTCGTCACAATAGTCGAAGAGGCTAGCTCTTTCCAATAACTCGGAGTAATCGAAAGATTTTTGAAAATGGGTCGTTTGTACCATCATTCTTTATACCAAACTACTAGTGATCGTTGAGAGAGGCTTGATTAAGTACTGACCTTGTAAACAGGGCCAAAGCCTCCCTGTCCAAGCTTATTGGCATTGGAGAAGTTGTTTGTGGCTGCCAGAATAGTTGCCAGACTGTAACAGTGGACTTCTCTGTCGTTCTCATGGCCTGGAACTTCGATTCCAATTGCGGTATTGTGATTGGAGCCATCGTAATCGGGTAGCAGTATTTCTTGGCTGGTTTCTCCTCCAGCAGACCTTCCCTTCTTCCTGCGGCAGCATGAACAGTACCAGATCCCCACCACTGCTACTGTTACACCGACTATGGCGCCAACGATTCCAGCAATTTTGCCTGTGTTGTTCCCTCCACCTCCACCTGCAGATAGCCAGAGTTTTAAAATGTGAAGAAATTTTTATGATTTATTAGGTTATCTGATCTTGAACTATTACTTCTGCACGAACTCGAACTCGATCATTAAAGATTCACGATGAGAATTTATGAGAACTTGAACTCGGTTAATTGAAAGGAATGCATTATGTACAACTAATTTAATGTCAAGAATCAACTCATTTCATTAACTCGATTTACAAAGAAACGGTTTAATAACCAACCTCACTTCGCTCTCGGATACTTGCATTTATAAACCAAAACTTGTTCATTAGACTTCAATTATCATGAGTACAATCTGTAGGCCGTCAAAACTTTAAAGAATCAATTCATTCCAATAATTTTAGTCGTTGGAAGATTATCAAATTGAGAACTAGGGACAATCTAACCAATATCCTCACAATTTGAATTTTCCACAAAATCAAAGTAACCAAGTCGATGTTCAACGAAATTCAAATTGGAAAAGAAAAAAAAACATTGAGCTTTGAAAGAAACAGAGAGATTCAGGGGGAGGCCACCAAATTTGACTCACCATCGTCCTCACCACCAGGCGGCGACTGCGGCGGCGGAGGCGGTATCTCATAGAACAAACTCTGCTCATACCTCAAACTACAACTAGGAGTCAGAATCCGCCACCCGATCCTTCCCCGACAGCACCGATCACTAGCATCATTCAACTCCTCCAGGCACGACAAGCAGGCACCGCTGCTCAAATCCCTCGTACACTGCGCCATCGCGTACCTCGGCTGTCCCCGACTCTCCGATTCATTCGTCCCGTACATCAGCCCGGTGTACGGGACGTAATCGATGAGCCCGTAGATCAGCGACAGCGCCCCGTTGTCCGTCTCCCCTGGCGACGTGTTGTTCTGGGTGTTCCACATCAGCAATCTGTACTGAACTTCAGCCCGGCCGGCGAAGCTGACGTTGGAGTACCGCAACATGCACTGGTCGTACCAGACGATCGCCGCCCTGTGAGCAGGGCAGCGTCGCTGGACCTCCTGCGCGGCCTGCGTTACGCAGGCCGCGCAGGTGGTCAGGGAGACGTCTCCGCGGCAGAGGTAGAGGGAGAATACCCCGCCGTCCGCCGCGGAGTCGTTGGAGAAGGTGGCGGTGGAGGCCTTGCGGGGCAGGGTGTTGAGGAGGGCGGCGAGGTTTGATGTGTAGGCGGGTGGTGTGGTGGAATTGGAATTGTCTTGACAGCCGGCGGTGTTGAAAGTCGGCTGCTGTTGAGATGTGGTGGAGGAAACGAGGAGGTGGATTGTTGTGAGGAAGATGATGGCGGAGGAGAGGAAAGGGCTCTGGCTGCTGTGGATTTCTCGAATCATGGCGGCTTAGAGAGGAGAAAGATGCAGGGGGGACTTGGGCAGAGGAGCATCAAAGACAAAAAACCATTTTGTCGTTCTATCGGTTCTTCTTTTAATTAAGTTGGGAGTTTGACAAAAGTTTATTTAAGTGGGTGATTTGGTGGAATGGTTTTGACCGTTGGATCGGCAAGCAGCGTGGAATTAGCCTAGTTAGCTTCCGTGCAGAGATGGATTCGTTTGGCACTAATTTAATCTTATGATGGTTTAATTACATGAATGGTCATGAAATTTCGTAATTCATCTACATTATTCGCTGAAGATTAGAGTAATTAAAGTAACGGTTAGTTTGCTCATTTTTGTTTCATTTTAATGGAATATGTACCAATAAGTACATTCGCATATCCCATAAGAGCTAACGAAGCATCGATAAAGATAGCGATTATTGTGCTAGTTAATCCAAAGTGCACGGTGAAAATTCGATCGATAATCAAAATGCAGTTACCAGTTAATTTTGTGCTTACTTACGCCGCCCACCTGAGTGGGATTTGGCAACGGCCAGCAACTGTCGAGTGCCGTCTCAGTCTGTTTATGTATTTTTTATTTATTTTTTTTTTTTTTGGAGTTTTTGACCGGAGAAATGCGACAGGTGACGGATGGTATAGCTGAAAAAGAAAGGGTAACAAAATTCAACGAGGATGCAGAAATTTTTTACTGTTGAGCGGATTCGTTGAGTGATTCCCCACGTTGAATCGTTCCCGCTAAGCAGGCGCGGGAAAGGGACGACGCAGTCGAACGGGCCCAGTGGGATGGGCCTGGGTGAATTCTGGCTGGACTCGCTGGAATCATGAACGGCCCAAGTTGACTTAACGGCGTAGCATTAAAGGTTCATTCCAATTCGTTGGGCCAGAGATCCATGGATATCGACTGGCATATCCTAGCAAGGACAGAGCTCGGCTATGTGAAGTGGGAACTTCAGTCCAAGAACAAAGGAACGGCTTCATGAGCTCCAGACTGAGAAGAAGCCGCTATTGCTTAACATTCAAAATTTTCTTTTCCAAAATCCTTTATGAATAGCCTCTAAAATCCGTGAATAATAGCATTCTAAAAAATTGGTCAAAATCTGTAATGGATAGATTTTAAAATTGATAAATACTAACATTCAAAATAATTGACCAAAATCTGTGATGGGTATCCTTCAAAATCGGCGAAAATAGCATTTTCAAAAATCAGACATAATCAGTGATGGTAGCCTTCAAAATCGGTGAAAAATAGCATTTCCAAAAACTCGGTAAGAATCTGTCAGGGATAGGCTTCACAATTGGTGGCAAAAAGTATTCCCAAAAATCAGCTGGACTCTGTGATGAATAGGGCTGTTAGCGGCTCGGCGTCCGACTCAAGAAAATCTCGTTCGAAACTCGATTCGTCTTAATCAAGCCAGCTCGCGAACAAGCTCGTTAACTAAACGAGTCGAACTCGAGCCATACCATGTTCAGCTCGAAAGCTGGCGAACAAGCTCATTTAACATTTTGGCATAAGAAAGGATTAGAATTCATGGATTTTATATATTGAAATTGGGATAAATATTGTATTTTATTTTGCTAGACATTTCTACAGGTTTGAATGTAATTTTGTGCTCAGTTTTATGTCAATTTTGAGTTATTATGAACATTTTATGAGTTTAACTCGATTTTGGGCTCGTTAACCTTATTTAACAAGCCGAGCTCGAGCTTTCATTTTTATAAATGAGCCGAGCTCGAGCTTGCATATTAAAGCTCGTGGCGAACACGAGAGCTTGGAAATATATTAACGAGGCGAGCACGAACTATTAAGATGAATCGACCACAATTTGTGATAAATAAGCCTTCGAAATAGGTGAAAAAAGCATTCTGAAAATCAGACATAATCTATAATGGATAGGCCTCAAAATTGATGAAAAATAGCATTCCGAAAAACAAAAAGATTCTATGATGGATAGCCTTCAAAATCGGTGAAAACAGCATTCCCAAAAACCGTTTAATCTGTGATAGATAGCTTTAAAAATCAATGAAAAATAGCATTCTGAATAATCGGCCAGAATCTGTGATGGATAAGCTTCAAAAGCAATGAAAAATACTATTCCCTCAAATTAGTCCGAATATGTGATGCACAACCTTCAATATTGGTGAATAGGACCATTCAAAAGAATTGGCCTAAATCTGTGATGGATAGCCTTCAAAATCGGCGAAAAATAACATTCCCAATAATCTGCAAAAATATGTGATGGATAGCCTTCAAAATCGGTGAAAAATAGCATTCCCAAAAAACGGTGTGAGGGATAGCCTTCAAAATCGGTGAAAATAGCATTCCCAAAAAATGACCAAAATCTATGATGGATAGACTTCAAAATCGATGAAAAATAGTATTCTCAAAAACCGGTCAGAATTTGTGATGCATAGCCTCCAATATTGGTGAATAATACCATTCAAAAGAATCTGTAAAAATCTGTGATGGATAGCCTTAAAAGCGGTGAAAAATAGTATTACCAAATATCAAGTGCTGAATATTCTTGCAACTTTGGTGTGTTTTCATGCAATTACCGGCCTCATAATAAATCTTGAGAAATTAGTAATGATTACAGTTGGGGATGTCGCGATTTCGGAGTACTTTGCAGCCATTTTCGGGTGCAACTGGAGTAGCGAGCCTTCGAAGTACCTCGGTTTCCCTCTTAGAGCTAAAGTGAATGCCATTTCTACTTGGGATCCTATTATCAGAAAGTTTGAACAAAGATTAGATGGTTGGAAGAGTAGATATCTGTCATTTGGGGGCCGAATGGTGTTGAACCACACTACACTTTCTCGACAGCCAGTGTATTTCTTCTCCCTTCTGCGAGCCCCTATCAATGTTCTGAACAGGATCGAGGTAATCCAAAGAATATTTATATGGAGTGGCGCTGGGGACAAGTACAAGACCCCTCTCCCTCTCATTAAGTGGGAAATGTGTAAAGCAAAGAAAGAGAATGGGGGCCTTGGCGTTAGGAATATGAGTTGTTTTAACAAAGCCTTGCTGCCTAAATGGCTATTAAAGTACGCTATGGATAGATGGAGTTGGTGGAGAAAGCTAATCGAGATCAAATATGCGGCAAGTAACTCACAGTGGCAGAGTAAGAAATGCAGAAGGGGGTTTGGGGGCTCAGTATGGGCTAACATCTCCAAAGAATATAGTGCTTTTTGGAAAGCGGCGGTGATTGATCCGGGCGGAGGAGCCGGTGTTTCCTTTTGGAATGACTGTTGGGTACCAAATACGATTCTTGTGCAATATTTTCCAAGAGTAGTCGCTGCTGCAGCTAGCCCGATGCTGGGATATCTGATATCATCAACCGTTGACTTGTCTTTAAATTTGAGGGGAGGGGCTGAGAGGGAAAGAGAGAGTTTTTTCAATTTTTTGGATTCTATTGACAACTTCAGGGTAGTGTGTGGACCAAGCAGATTGGATTGTTCCCCCGAACCCGATTCGAGCTTTTTAGTTCGTGCCATGTACAGGTTCTTGATGGAAGGACGTTTCCCAGGGGTGGCCAATTTTCCTAGAGATTCTGTCTGGAGGAAGTGCATCCCCTCGAAGATCAATGCCTTTATGTGGATGGTTGCTCACAAGCGAATCTTGACGTAGGATATTATCCAGAAACGAGGCTGGTCCATTGCTAATAGATGCTGTCTCTATTGTAGGGAAGAAGAGACGGTTGACCACCTGTTCACAAGCTACGAGTTCGGGAATGAGGTTTGGAACGAAGTGAGGAGAGCCTGTGGCGGTTCGTTTACTCTTCAGGAAAACATCCTAGGTACTATTCGAAGCTGGAAGACCGTTATTCCAGACAACTTAATTGATTGGATCGGTTTCTGCATTCTTCATGCTATTTGTTGGCAATTTTGGCTCGAAAGAAACAAGCGACTATTCCAAGACGTAAGCAAGGTGCCAAAGAGGTTTCTTGGAAGGCGATTAGATCTATGGTGGAGTGCCTGGTTGCACAGGGAAAAATCAGTAGGGATCAGGGAATGGGTTGGTTGCGTCCGCATTCGGCCGGGCACTCCTAACTATGCCTCGAGGATCAGGCTTGGCTAGATAGAAACCAATAGTTATTCAGAGATAAGTGCCTCAGAGTCATAGCTGTGTTTCAGAAGGCGGTCAGCTAAATGTTAGATTGGTTGGTTTCCTATGGAAAGTTTGCAGAATGCAAGGGTCGGCCAAGTCCATGGACGAGCATTTCTTTTCTTTTAACTTCTTGTTCCTTTAATTTTCTGTTTTTTTTTTATCTCTGGTTTTTGTTTTTGTTTTGTTGGTTTGGCTGTCGGAGTTGCATACTGCACCTCTGGTGCCGCTCTCCTCCCTCTGTAACTTGGAACCTTCTGTTTCTTTCTTTCTTTATTAATGCATTTCTCACCCTTATAAAAAATAGCCTTCAAAATCAATGAAAACTAACATTCCCAAAAATCGGTCAAAATCTGTGATGAATAACATTCAAAGTCGATGAAAAATAGCATTCCCAAAAATCAACCAAAATTTGTGATGGATAAACTTCAAAATCACTGATAATAGCATTCCCAAAAATCTGTCAGAACCTGTGATGGATAGCCTTCAAAATCGATGAAAAATAGTATTCCCAAAAATCAGTCACAATCTATGATTGATAGTCTTTAATATTGTTGAATAATACTATTCCAAAGAATCGGTCAAAATCTGTGATGGGGCTTTCAAGATCTCTGAATAATAGCATTTCAAAAAATGGTCAAAATTCAACGAAACAAATCGCCCAAAATATGTGATTAGTCCCTTCAAATCCGTGAATAATTGCATTCCAAAGTTGTCAAAATCTGTGATGGATACCCTTTAAAATCGGTAAATAGTAACTGTTTGACCCATCTAGCTCCGGATCGAACAATGATATTTGTTGGTGTGGGTTGACTCGTCGTCCGTTCGTCCGATCTCGTCGGGAGGGAGAGAACCTGTGAAAGAGCCGGGGTTGCCCCCCGGATTAAGCTCCGACGAGCAAGTCAGTGTATGTTTGTGGAGAGAGTTGAGAGAATAAGGTAGAGAGATAAGGTGTAGAGAGATAGCAAAAAGCAGAAAGTGAGGAGAGAGGGGAAGTCCCTTTCTTTGGAGGGCTTCAAGCCCTTATATACCTGTAGCGGGTATCGAGCGTTGGGCATCGCCGACTATGCGCCCTACTACTTAGTCTGTGCGCTCTGTCCCTTAGTAACACCCCCAACAATTGCCCCCCAAGCTGGTGGTGAGTTTTAACTCATCACTAGCTTATATTTTATTTTTTAAATCTTTGTCGGTAATTTTGGGTGGGGCCTATGTACCCCAGTTGCCCCCCAGCTGGTGGCGCGTTTGAGTGACGCGGCGCCAGCTTCTTGCGTCTTGCCCCCCATTAGCGCCATTAACGCTTAGGATAGTAAAATATTTTTAAAAATTTAATAATGAAAAAGGGGTAGAGTACTTAGCTCTCTATTGGCGAAGCGGCGCGAAGAGCTGTTAAAACGCAGACGCTGCGCCCTTGAAGCAGAAGGCTTGTATGTAGCCTACTGGTAATAGCGCTTGTGAGGTGGAGTGATGGCACGGATGGTGCGGGACTATTGTTATTCTTTGTTCCGTGGAACTGAGTGGGCGCAGATAGTGCTGGACTATTGCTAATTTTTGTTCTTTCGAACTGGGCGCGAATAGTGCTGGACTATTGCTAATTTTTTTTTTGTTCCGTGGAACTGGGCGCGAATAGTGCTGGACTATTGCTAATTTTTGTTCTTTCGAACTAGGCGCGAATAGTGCTGGACTATTGCTAATTTTTTGTTCCGTGGAACTGGGCGCGAATAGTGCTGGACTATTGCTAATTTTTGTTCTTTCGAACTAGGCGCGAATAGTGCTGGACTATTGCTAATTTTTTGTTCCGTGGAACTGGGCGCGAATAGTGCTGGACTATTGCTAATTTTTGTTCTTTCGAACTAGGCGCGAATAGTGCTGGACTATTGCTAATTTTTTGTTCCGTGGAACTGAGTGTCCGCGAATAGTGCATGACTATTGCGACTCTTTGTTTTGTTCCGTGGAACTGACTGGGCGTGAATGTTAAAATTCAGACGCCGCGCCATTGAAGCACAAGGTGTGCTCGCGCCCTGGTGGTGATGTTGCTTGTCTGACTGAGAATTGGCGTGGGTTCAATTCCCCGCGTGAGCAGTAATTTTTTTTAAAGATCCCCGTTGAGCGCCTGTTGGTGGGCTTGGCGGTACGCCCGAACTGGGCTCGAGGACGCGAATTCGATGGGGGCCCATGGTGCTCGCGGGTGCTGTTGTGGCGGGCCATGTGCGACGCGGGCCGCGAGATGGAGTTGAGCGAGATCGTGTGACGCGAGTTCAAGTCGAGCGGGGCGAGAGCCGCTAGTGATCGGCGGGCCCAACCAACTTCGGAGTGGGCGGGAGTTGATGTCGGGCCCACTCGCCGGCGGGTTTGTATGGCGCTTTGACTTGGCGGGGCGAGGAGCGCGGTGCTGTTGAGGCGAGACGGAGGAGTGCGCAACGTGAAAGTGGTACGGCTTGTTCTAAATTGGAGCGTCGCACTTTGTGTCATCAATGTGACGCTGTAGTGCACTGGTTAGCGCTATAGTCTTATGAGTCTTGAACGCGGGTTCGAATCTTGGTGGAGGTACTCTTTTTCGAGTTGCTTCCCACGATAGCAGGGCTTGGCGGGGATGCTGACGCGCGCCGTAGTGATGGCAACGGGTCAAGGTTGGGGCGGGTACCCCTAAACCCGTGACCTGACCTGCCATCCTGTCCATTGCCCCGACCTGCCCCGCGCCCCGCAACGGGTCACCACTTTCTGACCCAGGCAGCGCCCCGCACGGGGCGGGTAAAACCCGCCCTGCCCCATCTTCAGTTATCACCTGTAACATAATCTGTAATCCTATAGCTGCATAATCTGTAATCCTATAAAACATAAATAAAGAAACTCCACGTACTCAAATATCATCCATAACTCACAAAATAAATTATGGTTCCAACATTCCAATAACAAAAAAGCAAACTTCCCAACAAATCCAATTCCCAATCATCCAAAATAAATTCTCAAACCTCCTCTAAGAACTAAAATCCGAATTCAAAAAGAGTTTGCATAAACCATAAGAATCCAAAAGAACATAATAAAAGCTTTCAACTGAAGAGTCTGGAAACTCCAAACTTAATACAGCAAGCAGCAGCAGGCAGCAAGCGTTCCTCAACCTTCCTCAAGTCTCTAGAACAGCAACATCTCCTCTCCCCTAACTTTTAGTACCATTAACCTGCACCTTTGTATGCATAAAACATGAATAATGGCGAGTTAATGAGGTATTAGTAATGTTAAGTTGCTGTCAAACTTGCAATTCACAAAAAAAAATCCACATAATGATTGATGAAGAAACCACAGTCCACAATGAACAAACCAAGCTACTGCTACCTAACTGTTGGCATTCTTTCGTTGCTGTAACTATCAGCTGCTGCCTAAGGCATACACAATTCACTATTTATGTACATATATAAGGTATTAGAGGGTACCTCAGCTTCATTATCGGATTCATCTGAATCTTGAAGGACAGTGCCATGTAAATTGTCCACTGCTGACATATCTACATTAAAAACAAGCATTAATAAACCTGGATTCTAACTTGATTACCTCTTGAATTAGAAGAAAATGCTTAGTTGATTACCTCTAGAATTAGCACGCAACCAGCTTTGGGCACACATTAAAGCTTCGATAGTATTCGGATGAAGCCTACTTCGATGGGAAGAAATAACCCTTCCACTAGTACTAAACGCAGCTTCAGAGGCAACTGTAGAAACCGGAACAGCCAAAATGTCTCTTGCAACCTTGTGTAAGATAGGATACTTACTCTTGTTTGATTTCCACCAGCATAGAAGATCAAAATCAGGAGACTTTGGTATGATATCATCTTCCAAATAAATATCCAGCTCTGACCTCACATGTTTTCTTTTCTTCCGGGAAGCATATAAGTCGAATTTGCTGGTTAATGACCCCCCAACACTTGCCCCTGTTTGTGGGCAGCTCACCTGACCACCATCATTCTGTTGTTCTTTCTCCCTTTCCTCCTCTTCATACTCTTCCACCAACTTACGACATAAACCAAGTATCCTCTCCACCTCGAGGTCACTATTCTGACCATAAATCTCAGGAAAATAACAGTCCAACACATCAAACTTGTAGCGAGGATCCAGAATAGCTGCCACCGCCATCAAAACATGAACATCTGACCAATATTTCTCATACTTCACTAGCATATCAGCAGCCATATTCTCAATCCTCTCTATCCCACAAACACGCCATTGATCTAAAGCAACTTTGATCTCACAAACCACAGGAAAGCACAAATTTGCAGTGGGATACTTGGTACCAGAAAAGAGATTAGTGGCTTTGTAGAACATCTCTAGCCTAGTACAGATTTCTTTGGTCAAACTCCAATCTAGTTCACTAGGCAAGCACTTGTACTTTGGTTCACGATGCTTTAAGCGATTAAACACATCCTTATACTCCAAGGCCGTGTTCAACATCAAAAAAGTTGAATTCCACCGGGTTTCACAATCAAGTAGGAGCTTCTTACCGGTTTGATTACGAAGTTGGCGAGCTGTCTCCTCAAATTTTTCCCATCTCTTTGGTGTCCCCATCCAAAACTGAACGCTGTCTCTTATCTTCTGTATGCCTTCACCAATCACTTTCATACCTTCCTTCACAATAAGGTTCAGAATATGCGCGCAGCAGCGCATATGAATCATGCTTCCGTTGCTTAACATAGAATCCATGGGAAGCTTCTCTACCAACCGAGTGATCATCGCATCATTTGTCGAGCAGTTATCGACAGTAATGGCTGATAACTTACAGTCGAGATTCCAATCCAGTAAGCATTGCAGCAAAACATCACAAAGAACTTCACTCGTATGGGGGGAGGGGACATAAATGAACCTGGAAATTGACAATAAAAAATAGACAATGAGCTCACAAACATATAAAATTATAGAGATCAATTTATAAAACTAAGAAGAAAAAAAAAGAGAGCAACAGATTGTTGGAGGCAACGAGACCAGGTTAGGAAGAAGCATATGTTAACACTGAAATAAAAAGCAAGGAAGAAAGTGAACAGGGGATTTTTACTCCATGCATATTATCATCTAATTAGCATCAGTAGCACCATATGAATCACCTAATTAACTCAAAGTAAGCATCTCAAAATATTCATGAACAACCATATCAACATGGAATTCTTAGGTAAACAGCCCAGAAAAATTGCAGGTTAACTCAAAGTGAAAGGATTTACTCCATAACATAGACCGAGAATATACCTGATAATTCGACTTTCCAAACTCCAGTTGTTGTTGACATAATGTGCTGTGATTGCCATGAATCCCTTCTTCTGTGAAGATGTCCACATGTCTGTAGTTATTGCAACACGACCTTCATTCCTCTCCAGCAGCTTCATTATAGCTTGCTTCTCAAGATCATATATGACAAAACAATCTTTCTTGATTGTGTTTCTGGTCACCATCTTGAAACATGGGTTAAGACTAGTGCAAAAGCTCCTGAAACCTTCATGATCTACTATCGTCAGAGGGTATTCATGCTTGATTATAGCTTTAGCCAGCTCTTTTCGAGAAGCCTCTTGATTGAAATTAAAAGGCGTCAGCTGAAACTTTTCCTTGGTCAGATTGCCTTGCAGAACTTGTTGTCGAATATCGGCAGGCCGAGGCACTTTAGGACACCTTTCATGATGATTTTTCAGATGATTTGTTCCTTGCTTCGGGTCTCCAAGAAGCTTCTTCTTGCAGTATTTGCACTCGGCTTTGAGCTGGTCGCCAACAGTTAATTTGTTGTAGTGTGCCCACCACTTAGAGAACACTTTTCCAGCCGTCCCGCCCTTGCGCTTCTCGCCAGTATTTGCATTTTGAGGGGGAACATGGACATTTTCAACTTCAGCAGCAACTGGTATAACAGCAGGTACAACTTCAGCCTGAGTTGAATCCATATTTGCAATGGTTCCACCAGGTTGTGATCCCTCGGCCATGTCCTGTACGATCAGCAAAAAACCCAATAATTACCAACATGAATAGCTACATCCAACAATGAATCCATCCACTATACCTAATTACTCTCGTTTCTCATTTCTAAACAAGCATAGCGGCAACCAAAATAAATCCTAAATACACAAGCATAAGCTGCAGTCAACAAGAAGACCCTCGTTCTTTTGTTTCTTTACCTTTGTTCTTGTTCATTATTTTCAGCATGAGTTCAGATTCTAAGGAATTAAACTATAGCTATCAAAAGCATAGCAGCCAACAGTGGACTCCAATGGCAACATCTAACCATGAATCCGAATAAAACACAAGCATAAATAGCAGTCAACCCTCTGTTCTGTTAGAATTCAGCAGTCGCTATTGATTAAGAATCCATTATCCATATAATAAACAAGCATCGGCAGCCGACAGAGAATAGATACCTTCAAAGACAGAGAATAGATGGCACTGGCACAACACCCTTGAATTGGATAGCAGAGGTGAGACGATTGAGGAATCGACTCCGAATCTCCGATGGTGGCAAAGAATTAGGACGGAGAGGAAGATGAAGCTTTCGGTGGTTGTGAGGGGGATATTATATAGGAAGCATAAGGGACAGAGAGATTTGGGATTGGAAATAGTCCCAATTGTTCCTCCCATCTTATTCTCGAAAGTTGAGGGACAGAGAGATTTGGGATTGGAAATCGTCGAAATTGCAGGGATACGAGGAGCCCTAGCATTGATGGATGGCAAATTTATTGATGGAAGGAGTGGAGTTAAATGGAAGGAGGCCGGAGGGATTGAAATCGATTAATAAGGTAGGAATTGGAACCTTCCCGCAGGGATACGCAAAGGTCGGGGCGGGGCGGGTCGGGACGGGGCGGGTGAGGCATGATACCCATACCTGTTCCGTCCTGTTCACGGGTCGGGTCGCTACCCGCCCTGTTCTGCCACGGGTCGGGTTTAACCCGCCCCGGTACGGGTCGGGTCGGGGAATACCCGCCGGGGCGGGCCATGACTGCCATCACTAGCGCGCCGTGAGTTAGTGATCCTGTTGTTTGACTTTTGTGATGACTCGCGATACGGGCCGCGATCTGGATGGATGTTGGCCCAATTGACACGGGAGCGGGCCGGATAAGGGCCGACTGAGCACATGTGCGCAGCAGAAGAGGGATTGGCGTAGCAGAGCGGGCCGCTCGCTGGTGGGCCGCTTTTTCTTTCATTCAATTTTTAGCTTGCCCTTTGTTTCTTCCGCCTTTTGAGAGCAGTTATTCCTCTTCCGCGAGCAGTTTGGCTCTCATCCAGAGATTTTTTTTTTATTACTTTCCGCCTCCGCGTTCCTTCTCCCTCCAGCTCGCAAATTACCACCGCGCGGAGCTTCTTCCCTGCTCGGTGCACACTGCACGACTTTCAGGGCTCTTTGGGCGGCGGTGAGCGCGATGCTTCGAACGGTGCTCGCGGCGGTGCTTCGATCGGCGATCGCGGCGGTGCTTCGAACGATGCTCGCCTGACGATTGGCTCCTTTCTTTTCTCCGCAAGCACTGGTATTGGTGGAGCTGGGCTCGCGGCAGAATCGTTCTTGGCGATCGGTGGGGAGTTGTGCGGCGTAGGGGCCTTGGCCATTTCCGGCGAGGTTGTGGTGCGGGTCACTGTGACTTCGGCAGCCTCGGGAACTCTGCTTGCCTAGGGAACTCCGCCTGCCAGCCTTGTCAGCTGAGGGGAGAAAAGCTGTCACAGCTTTTCTCAACTGGTGATGGCGACACACCCTCGGTTAGTGTGCCTACCGACTGTAGATGAGCAGTAGAATGAATTAGTAACGACGTTGACTGCTCCGCCGAAGCTTCAGTGGTCGGAATCCATCTCCGGTGACCGGAATTTGGAAACTTATTCTTCTTCCTTATCGGCAGGAGCTCTTTTCCTTTTCGTTGTTTTTGAGCGGGCCGTGGCGAAGGTTGTCTCCACAGGCGGAGTTGTTTTGGTGGAGATCTGCCTCGGCGTCGAGTTGTGATACCGGGATGATCGGCGGTGGTTGGAGTATATTGGACCAAGGATGGTGACCGACAAAGAAGGTTGGTGGCTGCGCCTGATGTTGCCTGTTGTGGTCGTCAGTAGGTGGGGAGGAGAAGGCCCCTTTTTTTTTGTTGTTGTTCTTGTTGAACGAGACAGAGGAAGCTCCGCACAAAGCTCTCTATTTCTTCATTTTAGATCCCTGCTGACTTCATGTGTACTCCAGTTCCTTCAAAGATCAGTAGAACGAAATCGACAAGTCAGCCCCACGGTGGGCGCCAATTGTTTGACCCATCTAGCTCCGGATCGAACAATGATATTTGTTGGTGTGGGTTGACTCGTCGTCCGTTCGTCCGATCTCGTCGGGAGGGAGAGAACCTGTGAAAGAGCCGGGGTTGCCCCCCGGATTAAGCTCCGACGAGCAAGTCAGTGTATGTTTGTGGAGAGAGTTGAGAGAATAAGGTAGAGAGATAAGGTGTAGAGAGATAGCAAAAAGCAGAAAGTGAGGAGAGAGGGGAAGTCCCTTTCTTTGGAGGGCTTCAAGCCCTTATATACCTGTAGCGGGTATCGAGCGTTGGGCATCGCCGACTATGCGCCCTACTACTTAGTCTGTGCGCTCTGTCCCTTAGTAACACCCCCAACAGTAACATTCAGAAGAATCAGTCAAAATATGTGATAAATAGCATTCAAATTCGGTGAAAAATAGTATTCCCAAAAACTATATAGAATCTGTGATTTATCGCCTTCAAAATCGGTAAAAAATAGTATTCCAAAGCTAAACAAAAGAGCATTATACAACAAGGATCCAGCCCTTGTAATCCTTTTATATATACATTGACTACTTCGGTGCACTCACAAAAATGTGTGCGTTCAATGCACTCAACTCAAAAACTAGTCTTATGTTGTCGGATTTTGAATTTTAATTTGTAGAATTAGTGTAATATGATCATATAACATATGATAACAACTAATTAGCGGATTACCTTAAGCCCTAGACCTCCAATTTTGAGTTTTATTCCTAAACCCCAAAATTTAAACTCTAACCCTAAATCTCTAAACTCTAAACTCTTCAAATTAAAGTAAATCCTTAATGGTTTTTGAGCAAACTCATGTGTGTTATTGTTCATCACTTCATAAGTTGTTGATGTGACTTGATGTTATTTGGGTTCGGGTTCTGGGCCTAGTTGTAACCGCTTTTCCTTTACCAAATTGGATTAGGGTTAGACCTAGGAGAAGTACTATAAATACTTCTCATGCTCCTCTGTAATCTCCTCGATATAGTGAACTTGGCTCTCTCTCGCCCATGGACTAGCTAACACACATCGTGTTAGTGAACCACGTAAATCGTGTGTCGTGTTTTCGATTCTCGCTTTCGTATTCTTGCTTTCTCGATTCCGGCAATTTCCCGATCCGTAGCAGCGTGTTTATAACATAAGTGATGATTGACATTATTTTGACATAAATCACATGTTTAAAATGACGGTTACAAAGTGAGTGCACTGAATGCACTAAAACAAGTACCGTATATACTCAATTTCATTTCTGATTTTTTCAAAATAATATAAATGAATTTTCCTATTTCTCATTTCCTTCACCGCCAATCCCAATACTCACTTCGGCCGCACGTTCCAAAGGAACAGCATACGCAAGTGGCATAAGATCCATCGACTGTCATTTTAGCGAGGACAAAGCTCGGTGAGGGAGACTTCATTCCAAGACAAAGGGACGGCGGCCTCATGAATTCCAGATCGAGAATTAGATGCCGCTGCTCCTTCCTCCGATTCTCCTCCGGCGCCGGCGGTTTGCATGAAAAAACCCGGCTTGGAAGGCTGCGGCAGAGTCAACGAGTAGTTAGTCAGCATCTGAGCAACCGTGGCCATGGTGGGCCGGTCGTCTGCATTCCTTTGGACGCATAACAATCCAATGTGGATGCATCTCGTCATCTCCACACCTGAAACGTCGCCGTTCTCCAGAGATGGGTCTATTAGGTTCGAATACATCGCGTTCCTCCAACTCTTCCATGCCTACATACATGCAACAAATTAATATAGCTATATATATATGTGGGTTTATTGTATTAATCGATTCTCCAATTTGACGCTAGAAATACTTACATAAGTTAAAAGATCCTCCTCAGAGGATCCACCACGAACAAGTCTGTTCCTTTTGCCGCTCACAATCTCCAGAACAAGCACACCAAAACTAAATACGTCCGACTTTATCGAGAAATTGCCATGCATGAGATACTCTGGAGCCATATAGCCGCTGCAAAACCCACCCAATTTAATGCAAGCCAAGTTTGACCTTATTATCCAAGCTTAAAATGTGAATAATTGAATATACACGCGTTATACTTACTAAGTTCCAACAACTCTTCTCGTAGTGCCTTCCGTTTCGTTGAAGTCAAAAAGTCTAGCCAACCCGAAATCGGCAATCTTGGGGTTCATCTCTGCATCTAACAAAATGTTGCCAGCTTTGAGATCCCGATGAATGATCCGGAGCCGGGAGTCCTCGTGTAGGTAAATGAGCCCTCGAGCTATGCCACCAATGATCTTATAGCGTCTTTCCCAATCCAAATGTACTCTCTTGTTTGGGTCTACACAGTTATATGTCAATGGTGAAATTTAGAGGTATTTGAAGTTAAAGTGAGTTGATTTTGAATCCTTGTGCTTACCAAAAAGGAAATGGTCAAGGCTAGCGTTAGGCACAAACTCGTAGATGAGAAGCCTTTCATTCCCTTTCAAGCAGAAACCAAGAAATCTAACCAAGTTTCTGTGTTGAAGCTTGGCCACCAGTTCTCCTTCGTTCTTGAATTCCAAGTCTCCCTGCTCTGAATGCCTACATAGTCTCTTGACTGCTATGTGTTGTCCATATGATAGAGTGCCCTGAAATAGTGAAATCATTTGTCCAATATTTGACCAAACAAAAGTTGTTCATGATATTGGTATGAACTAGAATTTTTATTTGTCCTAGAACTACTAAATTTTTCATAAACAATTTATATATGATATGGTATCAACTGTTCCGATAACATGTCATTAAATCATTCATGCCACCAGCTATGGGAAAAGTTAATATGCTAACTTGAAGATTCGTTAGCAGATACTAACTGATATCCAAAATACATGAACTAATATCTAAGTACTAAAGTATCTAGAGAGCATAGACTATTATTCAAAATTTGCTAATTGATATCCACCATGAATCAATTATTATCCCAAATTCACAAACTGATATCTAAACAACACAGAATAGTATCCAAATAACACATAATTAGTATCCAGATAACACATAAGAGTATCAAGATAACCCATAAGAGTATCCATATTGAATACTAGTTGGTTGATTGTGGATATTAGTTGGCATCTGCTATCTGGATACTAGTTTGTGATGTTTTGAATACTAGTCCGTGCTATCTAGATACTTAGCAGACTTCGATATTAGTTTATACATTTTGGATATTAATTAGTATATACTAACAAATTTTCAAGTTAGCAGAATAACTAGGCTGACCAGCTATCAGTTATTGCTCGGCCACTCATTATCACCCGACTCAAATAAGACCCTCCCCTCCCCATCATGACTCGACCACCCGACCCAACCGATTTACCACCTTAACCAACACCCAATGTGAAAAGTAAATTTTGAGGAAGCCCTCAAATTAAAAGCCCGAAACCAAACCTTGTACACAGCTCCAAATCCACCTTGACCGAGCTTCCTTCCATCCGCGAAACCGTTCGTTGCAGCTCTGATCCCGTCGAAATCAAATTGCAGTAGTTTGCCAGGTCCATCGCTGCTCATTACTTCCGCCACTTTTATTGATTGATTCACAGAGAGGGGATAATTAATTACAGCGAAGGATGATTTCACCAACATTAATGATTGCTATTATTGCTTACTCTGCTGATGAAGTAGTGGAATTCTCGATCTCTTCTTCCGTCTCCTCGCGCGGCTGCATAGTACGAAGAAGAAAACCCCGAGTATGGTGGCTCCGCCGAAGACGGGAAGGAGAATGGCGATAAACTTACGAGTTGTCTTACTCTTTGCGTATCCTCCTGTAAGAGTGTAAAAAATACTAATTAGTGTCAGTAACTCGAGTTATTAGAAGAAGTTTAATGATAAATCTTATACAAGGTTGTCAACCCGCGGGTTGACCCACGGGTCGACCCAATTTGACCCTGACCCGCGAGAAAAACGGGCCGCACGCACCCGCCGGGCCGACCGCTATTAGGTACCGGGTTGGAGGTCAAATTGTGTCATTTTTTTCTTTAGTTTGCGAAATGCACCTATTTTCCAATTTTTTTTTTCGCCTAACTCAATCTTTGGAATACTAAGTTGAACATTTGAATATTTATGTTATATAAGTGTGTGTGAATTTTCACTATATGTTGGATCTAAGTACAATATGTTATTTTGGTGTAATATTATATGTTATAACTCATATGTTAGATAAGATTTGATATAATTTATGAGGATAAGTACAATATAATGACTCTTTTTATATTTCCGGGCCAAACCGGGCTAAAACGGTTGACCCATTAACCCTTGACCCACTAGCTCGACCGGGTCCGGGTCAACCCGCGAGTTGACAACCTTGATCTTATATAACTTAGAGACAACTCCCGAGCCAAATTAGCACTGATGGAAGTAGTTACCCCTAAATAAATAAGTAAATTCCAACGACATCTACTCTCTAACTAGCATTACATGGTTTAACTAAATTTAGATGGAATAACTACAGGTGGTGTGGATATATGTGTTTATATTAAAACCTTGTATCACTCAGTGGAATACAAGAGATTAAACATTTTTATGTGGCCAATTTAAGTGTAATAAAAAGCTAAGGATTGTAAAATCATATCGAAAAAATAAGTGGTATGATATTTTATGTTGGAGCCGTAATTTTATAGTGGTTCAACCATTTCATACGACTAAATACAAACTATTTTTTTAACATCCGTTGTCAAACCACCGAGTACGATACCGTTTTTCCATCCATAATTAAAACATATTAAAGTGGATCGTGTGGATTGTAAATTTTTTCAATACGACTTACATCATCTTATTGAAAACAAAACAAGACAGCCAAAACAAAGGCTGAAAGAAAGAATGTAGGCAACAACAAATTAAACAAACAGGAAAGAAAATTGTAACTATAATATTTTTTCTTTATCTTCTTAACTATTTTGTTATTATCAAGGTTGTCAATCCGGTTTATATCATTGGCCCGGTTGAGCAAGCGGGTCGAGGATTATTGGTTTGACCGGTCTAGCCTGGATAATGAAGAAAATCATTATATTGTTTATTCATTTATAAATTATATCAAATCTCATCTAACATATGAGTAATAATATATAATATCACACCAAAATAACATATCGTACTTGTATCTAACATATAGAGAAATTTCACACACTTTTATATTACATAAATATTCAAATGTTCAACTAAGAATTCCAAAGATAGTGTTAGGCGAAAACGAAAACCGAAACGATCCGCATTTCGCAACACAAAAGAAAAAACGACGGCATGTAACCTCCAACCCAGTAAACTTGCAGCGGGTAACCCTGCGAGTGTATTTGGCCCATTATCCTCATCGAATCAGGAAACAGATCAACCGACGAATCGACCCACAGGTTAACAACCTTGGTTACTATTAATGGATACTATTTTTCCTTTATCTTCTCAACTATTTTTTTTTTTTTTTTTTGGTGGATCTTCTCAACTATTTTGTTGCTAATTACAAATATATTAACATTATCAAGGTGAAAAAGAATAAATAAAAACCACCAATGCTAAGACATGATAATAAAAAATGAATACTTTTATGAGATGTTGATCGGGTTTAACTCTACCCATTTGGATAGGATTCAGGTGGATATACGAAATTATGGCTATTTTTGTCATTCGTGCCAAGGATTAAAAAACTTACAGTACCGATGGTTCGATCAGATGAAACTTCTTACCGAAAGCGGAACCTATAGATGGTATTTTGCGGTATGAAACGATTGAACCATAATTAAACAACGATTTCTACATAAACACCAGCTCGCTCACTTTTTAAGTGAAACCTCCAATACGGTTTTTCAATCATTTATGTTTACATTCTACCTCATATATGCATATGCATGAATACTACCCCACCTAACCCATACTTAATACAAAATGACTAAGTCTATTAATTATTAAAGTATCCACCCGCCACGGCGCATTACCTTTCCAGCCATACAATGAGTGTTGTTGTTTTTTCTACAAAAAAAAAAAAAAAAGAGTATTTTTTCCGTCTTAGTGGGAAAAATCAACTCAAATAACTATTTTGCTACTTTGATAGACTTTTCCTTTTCTAGAACCACAAATATAGATTACAGAAAGTTTCCCTATTCAAATATATTTTGGCCGGCCAAATGGCACGCAAGCAAAGTAATATTTTAAAAACTCTATCGGCCGATCGAATCGGAAACAACGAATACCGAATCTTAAAGAATACGAACCGGTCGAAACCATAATTTATACAAAGTCTTAATTCAAAACATCCCTATTAGTTCTTTAACATTTTCGGTATAACTTTTTAACCAAACATCCCCCGAGACTGCGAGACACGAGTTAAATGAACTTTTTATTAGTTTATTATCAGTAACTTTATTCTAGGGTTAATTGCAAGGATGGTCACTGGGTTTACTAAAACAGTTCATGTTTGGTCACTGAAAATATTTAATTCCATTCATGGTCACTAAGATTAGTTCAATAGTTCAAGTTTGGTCACTCTCCGTTAGTCTCCGTTAGTTTTCGCTGATGTGGCAGTCAACTATTATAGTTGACCGTTAAATGAGTGACGTGGCCAATAAAAAAATAATAAAAAAATTAAATTTAAATATTTACAATTTCCACCTCATTTTACAACTATTAAAAATAATAATAAAAATAAACTTACATCCTCCCCAAAAAAATTCATTAATCGCTCCTCTTTCCAGCTTATTAGTTCGTTGTGCCTCTGTTTTTCGCCTTCGAACTCCATTGACGAGCTCCAAACCATGAATCTCGCCAGCAGATCTTGATGGTTCTGGCTTTCGATTTCTTTTGATTCAATTCAATGACTGAGAAAAATCGTTGATCGTGTTGACCGACTCTTTGAACCGCCTCTCCGACCCGAGATTGAGAAACCTCTTGAGCTTCCAAAACAGAGGAACAGGGGAGGTGAACCTCGAGAAGCAAGTCTCCACCGCGTAGTCGAATGCTTTCATGAAATCGAGATCCTGGACAAACAATTCAGGATCCACACCGAACCCAACTCTGCAAATGCTTCTGAAAGCGAATTTATTCAACACCTGCTGAAGATCGAAACCCCTGTTTTCCTCCTCTGCTTCGGACAGAAAGGGAAGCAAGTTTTCGGAGATCTCCGAGTCCACCACTTCCGACACAAACAGTTTTAGCGACCTGGTGGAGAACTCGTTGCTGGCGATTTTGCACTGGACGGCCCAGATCTGGCCGTCGGCGTTGAAGATGCCGTCGCCGAGGAGGTCGTGGAGGACAGCGTGGAAGCGGGAGCCCTTGATGTAGCTGAAGACGTTTGGGGAAGTCAGCATGTGCTGGATGTTGTCTGGATTCGAAGTGCAGACACCGGTGGAGATGTTGAGTAAGGAGTTGACTTGAACCGACGCCGACGGCGTGCGGTGGAGCATCTCCGTGACCCAGTCGTGGAACCGGTGGAAGTTCCGGAGGAAGCTGTTGATGTTTCCGATTACAGGGTAGGATCCTGGATATGGGTTTTTGTTTGCCGGACGGGATTTGAGGAGGAAGAAGAAGAGGATGGAGGTGGAGATGAAGGTGAAGGAGATGTATTCCAACATTCTTTCCCGTGTGTTCTTTTCCTCTCTTCCTAGCCTTACAATTGTCTCATGGGTTATCTAACTACAGAGGAGGGCTGAATTGCCATACGACATGGGCGAACCAAAACTCGACCTGGAAAATAGAGACAAACATGTAGAGTCAGGAAAAACAGGGGCAGCCAAAAATGGTTATTCAGAGTGGTTTGCCAACGAACTAATAAGCTGGAAAGAGGAGCGATTAATGAATTTTTTTTGGAGGATGTAAGTTTTATTTTTATTATTATTTTTAATAGTTGTAAAATGAGGTGGAAATTATAAATATTTAAATTTTATTATTTTATTATTTTTTTATTGGCCACGTCACTCATTTAACGGTCAACTATAATAGTTGACTGCCACATCAGCAAAAACTAACGGAGACTAACGGAGAGTGACCAAACTTGAACTATTGAAGTAATCTTAGTGACCATGAATGGAATTAAATATTTGCAGTGACCAAACATGAACGGTTTTAGTAAACCCAGTGACCATCCTTGCAATTAACCCCTCTATAACGGAGGACGAAACGAGATTGAATAAAGAAGAATGGGTACCAGTTTGATCCACCGGCGGCCAGCAAGTAAACGACCCCCCGACTGACCCACACTGGCCACCGGAATCCCGACACGTGGCGCACAAAGTGTCATTCGCGGCCCACCTCGCCCCAAACCCCTGGCCAATGGCCGCCTCCAACCTCTCCGCCGTAGGCGACGATTCCAATCCCGCCACCGCCGTCCGATTCGCCGGAACCGTAACTCGAGCCCCGCAGGAACCCAACAAGGTCCTGACCGCCGCGTCGTAGGACCCCGCCAGGCCCTCGCTCGTCACAAAGTAGTCCTGGGAACTGTTGTCGCGGCCGCAATTGAACCGCCCCAAACTCGCCGGGGCTTGGACCCCGTTCCCCAGCGGCGAGCACCCGTAGTAAAGCGTGACTAACTGAGTGTCCGGCGCGAGAGAGAGCAGAGAGGATTCAATGGTGGTGGTGTTGATGAGGGGCTCCGCGGGGCAGAGATCGGCCCGGTTGTCGGCCCGGACCAGGGTTAGGATACGGGAGAAATCGTCGACTCGGAGGACCTGATAAGTGAGGTCTAGGATGGTGATGGTGGTGATCTGGGTGGTCGCGTTGCAAGTGAGGTTGAGGTCGGAGAGGCCGCAGTAGCTAGGGCGGCCGCCGCCCCAGAAAGGGTAGGCGGCTTGGATGTCGCCGCACTCGAACAGGCGGGCGCAGTCTTGGAATCTCTGGCCTTGATCATCATCGTCTTGTGACGAAACGGAGGAGGTGCTGATCGTGATTATGAGGGTACAGAGTGTTAGGAGGAGGGAGCGGAAGGATGAAGAGTGGTAAGGGGATACCATTAATTAGGGTTTTTTCTAAAAAAAAAAAAAACAGACTGTGGGTATTGAACAAATCAATGCAGAAGTTTGGTCGAATTTGATGAAAGGGGGAGAAGAGATCACTAGAGAGGATAGGTCTCAAAAGAGGTAGGCGGGGAAATTGTGTATGCGAGTATGTGACTATGTGAGTGTCCTACACACGCATATAGTATGCGAGGGACGCCGAGTCAGTCAACCTGTGGCCCACGTGAAATAGATTGTCTTCCACTTTGTAGACTTTTCTATTTGCAAATATTCAAAGGGGGCTGTGCTCCATTCCCTCATTTGCATTCGTGGAACCGGATGGTCACTTACTTTGACAATTGAGGTTAGTAGAAAGTTGTAAACCAAGACAGGTTTCTTTTGGTAGAGTCGGTCATGAAAATTTAAAAGGCATGGATCAATTCATAAATGAGATATTATCTTATTTTATAAAATGAGTCAAATAGAACGAGCTGATTCGAGTTACCTGTTTTATTCCTGCACAATTAAAATTAACTCAAAATGGATCAATTTGGAATTCTCCAAATTAATTGTTTCATCCAAATTTTAGGTTGATAAACAAATTAATTTGGTCTAATTGTCTCTAAACAAAACATTTAATCCAAATTAATACGTTAAAATTTCCTCGTCCAAGCTAACCCAAGTCTATCACTCTACGGTGAACGTAAGAACATTCGGAAAGCTAGTTCCAGTGGACGTTAGTTATGAATACAGTACTCTCAAGAGCAGTAGAGGATGGGTAACTGTGTAAGAGCTGGTTCCGGTATAGCATGTTAAAAATTATGTATATGATATCTGCAGTAACTAAATGATTTCTAAACTTTTATGATATAAAATAAAATATGTCTTGCTTCGGACAATTACTAAGGTTATTTATACTATTAAGGAAATTCATCTGGCCGACGGGCGGGCACTGACTTTGTAATTCCACAGAGCATTTAAAACCAAAAAAAAATGGAAAGAATAATTACTCGATTGAAACTCATCGACTGGCATTTTAGCGAGGACAAAGCTCGGTGAGGGAGACTTCATTTTTGGAATGGTCGTTTTCCATGGATTTTGAAGGCGATGGATCACAGATTCGGCCTTAGGGCACTCTCCACCAACGATGAAGTCTAGCAATGGCCGATTTGGGAGGAAATTTGGACGACTTTATCCGGAGGGCATTTTCATAATTTTTAGGCGATTTTTTCGGTAGGCCATTTTCCCTCGATTTTGAAGGGTGTAGATCAAGAATTAGGCCTGAGGCTATTCTTTAGGGATGAATAAGTCTATTAAACAACAGTTCAGTCGGAAAACTCCCGGGGCAATTTTTGCCAGTTTCCAAAGGGGTACCATCACCGATTTCGGGCGATTTTTTGGAATGGTCGTTTTCCTTGGATTTTGAAGGCGATGGATCACAGATTCGGCCTTAGGGCACTCTCCACCAACGATGAAGTCTAGCAATGGACGATTTGGGCGGAAATTTGGACGAATTTTTCCGGAGGGCATTTTCGTAATTTTTAGGCGATTTTTTCGAAAGGCCATTTTCCTTCGATTTTGAAGGGTGCAGATCACGAATTCGGCTTGAGGCTATTCTTTAGGGATGAATAAGTCTATTAAACAGCAGTTCGGTCGGAAAACTCCGGGGGCAATTTTTGCCAGTTAGGGTACTATCACCGATTTCGGGCGATTTTTTGGAATGGTCATTTTCCTTGGATTTTGAAGGCGATGGATCACAGATTCGGCCTTAGGGCACTCTCCACCAACGATGAATTCTTGAAATGGACGATTTGGGTGGAAATTTGGACGAATTTTTCAAGAGGGCATTTTCATAATTTTTTGGCGATTTTTTCGGAAGGCCATTTTCCTTCGATTTTGAAGGGTTCAGATCACGAATTCGACCTGAGGCTATTCTTTAGGGATGAATAAGTCTATTAAACAGCGGTTCGGTCGGAAAACTCCCGGGGCAATTTTTGCCAGTTTCCAAAGGGGTACCATCACCGATTTCGGGCGATTTTTTGGAATGGTCGTTTTTCTTGGATTTTGAAGGCGATGGATCACAGATTCGGCCTTAGGGCACTCTCCACCAACGATGAAGTCTAGCAATGGCCGATTTGGGAGGAAATTTGGACGAATATTTCCGGAGGGCAATTTCGTAATTATTAGGCGATTTTTTTCGGAAGGCCATTTTCCTTCGATTTTGAAGGGTGCAGATCACGAATTCGGCCTGAGGCTATTCTTTAGGGATGAATAAGTCTATTAAACAGCGGTTCGGCCGGAAAACTCCCGGGGCAATTTTTGCCAGTTTCCAAAGGGGTACCATCACCGATTTCGGGCGATTTTTTGGAATGGTCGTTTTCCTTGGATTTTGAAGGCGATGGATCACAGATTCGGCCTTAGGGCACTCTCCACCAACGATGAAGTCTAGCAATGGACGATTTGGGCGGAAATTTGGACGAATTTTTCCGGAGGGCATTTTCGTAATTTTTAGGCGATTTTTTCGGTAGGCCATTTTCCCTCGATTTTGAAGGGTGCAGATCAAGAATTAGGCCTGAGGCTATTCTTTAGGGATGAATAAGTCTATTAAACAACAGTTCGGTCGGAAAACTCCCGGGGCAATTTTTGCCAGTTTCCAAAGGGGTACCATCACCGATTTCGGGCGATTTTTTGGAATGGTCGTTTTCCTTGGATTTTGAAGGCGATGGATCACAGATTCGGCCTTAGGGCACTCTCCACCAACGAAGAAGTCAAGCAATGGCCGATTTGGGAGGAAATTTGGACGAATTTTTCCGGAGGGCAATTTCGTAATTTTTAGGCGATTTTTTTCGGAAGGCCATTTTCCTTCGATTTTGAAGGGTGCAGATCACGAATTCGGCCTGAGGCTATTCTTTAGGGATGAATAAGTCTATTAAACAGCGGTTCGGTCGGAAAACTCCCGGGGCAATTTTTGCCAGTTTCCAAAGGGGTACCATCACCGATTTCGGGAGATTTTTTGGAATGGTCGTTTTCCTTGGATTTTGAAGGCGATGGATCACATATTCGGCCTTAGGGCACTCTCCACCAACGATGAAGTCTAGCAATGGCCGATTTGGGAGGAAATTTGGACGGATTTTTCCGGAGGGCATTTTCGTAATTTTTAGGCGATTTTTTTCGGAAGGCCATTTTGCTTCGATTTTGAAGGGTGCAGATCACGAATTCGGCCTGAGGCTATTCTTTTGGGATGAATAAGTCTATTAAACAGCGGTTCGGTCGGAAAACTCCCGGGGCAATTTTTGTCATTTTCCAAAGGGGTACCATCACCGATTTCTGGCAATTTTTTGGAATGGTCGTTTCCCTTGGATTTTGAAGGCGATGGATCACAGATTCGGCCTTAGGGCACTCTCTACCAACAATGAAGTCTAGCATTGGCCGATTTGGGAGGAAATTTGGACGAATTTTTACGGAGGGCATTTTCGTAATTTTTAGGCGATTTTTTCGGAAGGCCATTTTCCTTCGATTTTGAAGGGTGCAGATCACGAATTCGGCCAGAGGCTATTCTTTAGGGATGAATAAGTCTATTAAACAGCGGTTCGGTGGGAAAACTCCTGGGGCAATTTTTGCCATTTTCCAAAGGGGTACTATCACCGATTTCAGGCGATTTTTTGGAATGGTCATTTTCCTTGGATTTTGAAGGCAATGGATCACAGATTCGGCCTTAGGGCACTCTCCACCAACGATAAAGTCTAGCAATGGCCGATTTGGGAGGAAATTTGGACGAATTTTTCCGGAGGGCATTTTCGTAATTTTTAGGCGATTTTTTCGGAAGGCCATTTTCCTTTGATTTTTGATGGTACAAATCACGGATTCGGCCTGTGGCTATTATTTAGGGATGAATAATTCTATTAGACAGCGATTCGGTCGGAAAACTCCCGGGGCAATTTTTGCCAGTTTCCAAATGGGTACCATCACCGATTTCGGGCGATTTTTTGGAATGATCATTTTCCTTGGATTTAGAAGGCGATGGATCACGGATTCGGCCTTAGGGTACTCTCCACCAACGATGAAGTCTAGCAATGGCCGATTTGGGCGGAAATTTGGACGAATTTTTTCGTAGAGCATTTTCGTAATTTTTAGGCGATGTTTTCGGAAGGCCATTTTCCTTCGATTTTGGAGGGTGCAGATAACGGATTCGGCCTGGGGCTATTATTTAGAGATGAATAAGTCTATTAAACAGCGATTCGGCCGGAAAACTCCCCGGGCAATTTTTGCCAGTTTCCAAATGGGTACCATCACCGATTTTGGTCGATTTTTTGGAATGATCTTTTTTCTTGGATTTTGAAGGCGATGGATCACATATTTGGCCTTAGGGTACTCTACACCAAAGATGAAGTCTAGCAATGGCCGAATTGGGCTGAAATTTGGACGAATTTTTTCGGAGGGCATTTTCGTAATTTTTAGGCGATGTTTTCGGAAGGCCGTTTTCTTTCGATTTTGGAGGGTGCAGATAATGGATTCGGACTGGGGCTATTCTTTAGGGATGAATAAGTCTATTAAACAGTGATTCGGTCGGAAAACTCTCGGGGCAATTTTTGCCAGTTTCCAAAGGGGTATCATCACCGATTTCGGTAGATTTTTTTGAATGATCATTTTTCTTGGATTTTGAAGGCGATGGATCACATATTCAGCCTTAGGGTACTCTACACCAAAGATGAAGTCTAGCAATGGCCGAATTGGGCAGAAATTTGGACGAATTTTTCCGGAGGTCATTTTCGTAATTTTGGGCGATTTTTCGGAATGCCATTTTCCTTATATTTTGAAGGGTGCAGATCACGGGATCTGTCTGATGCTATTTTTTAGTGATGAATAAGTCTATTAAACAGCGATTCGGTCGGAAAACTCCTGGGGCAATTTTTGCCAGTTTCCAAAGGGGTATCATCACCGATTTCAGGCGATTTTTGGAATGGTCATTTCCTTGAATTTTGAAGGCGTTGGATCGCAGATTCGGCCTTAGGGTACTCTCAATAAGATGATTAAAATATAATCTTTACTAAAAGACAAATATGTATTCAAATTATTTCAGAAGTTCAAAACCAATCAAAGGGTGAAATCCCAACTTCTATATATTGAAATTAATAGGCAAAATTCATCAAATCTTTCAAAGATCTAAAAACTAATTTCGCTCCAATTCCGAAAAGCTCAATTATGTTTCATTTTATCTGCACGATACTACTACCGGAGGTTGGATAATCGTTTTTCCAAAAGCACCATGTATCCGCACTGGGCGACCATTATGTATTATGATGGTATTGGTATCAGTGTGTCATTGCTCAAATAATCAAATTAATCAAACCCTGAATCCAAATCAATCCCGACAAAGCACTGTACTCGCTACTAGCTTATAACCGGCCCCGTTGGCCGGAATGTTCATATTTTAATATTTATATTTTTATAATTAAGTCTATTAATTAGTTTAAGTTTATTGAAAATCATTCAATCGAGATGCTACATAAAGAATGAATATATAGGTCGAACGTTCTGGAAAATACCCTCATCATTTAAGAATATAAAACTGTATCATTAATCCCATTTTCATAATAATAATTGAGCCCCCATTAAAATGATATTGGTTAATAGATTGTCCAGAAATATATAATATAAAAGCTCATTGGAATTCCACACGATCCATATATAGTTTAAAACTGAAATGAAACCTCATAATACCACATAAATGGTTCAAAACTCTCCTCTATGAATAACATGCCACTAATAAAAGAGAAAAGGATATATAAAAAAAACAGAAATGAAGATTTATTGTTTCAATTAAATCATATGCTAACAACTCAACTAAAAGGAGACTATCAAAACTTGAGAGCAAATGACAAAATTAGAGTTACATCCAATCTATATCTATCTATCTATACTAGACTATATATTATGGCAATTCAAAAACAATCTCTTGTCACATAAGCACTTGAATGACCCACAAGTTGCCAAGTTGGGCACCTTTTTTATAAACAAAAAACTTAATTATTAATGTGTTTATTGAGCTATCTCTCTCTTCTTTAATATTTACATTTCTTTTAGGGTTAATATTTTCGTATGACCTGAACTTTGATCAAAATAAATATCCTGGTCAATCTTTTCGATCTATAACATCCTGGCCCGAACTATACACCAAAATAAACAATTTGGCCAAACCCGATATTTGACCGTTAACTTGGACGGTCAAACGCGTTGACTAACGGTCAACGCGCCACGTCACTGCCAAGATGTTATAAATCAATCAATGATTCCTCGTTTTAACATAAACATAGGTTGTGATAATTGCAATAACCATAACACCTAAAGATCCAATAGTTTCCACTCTCCGTTGTACAACCAACTTTTATCCCCTCCATCTTCAATCTCTCGACGTATGTGTTTTAAACAAAAATTCTATTTCTAATCCTCCTTCTGCAACTCCATTTATACTACTTTGATGGACCGTCTCTCCATGAACCTGAACTTCTCTTTCAATTGAGTTTCTTGTCAGCGTGATCTCCAACTTCTCAATCCTCTTTCTTGTATTAGGCCAACTCATCTTCCTCGGGACAGTTTTAATAATCTCGTAAAACCAACACTTATCTTCAAATCCATCAATATGCTCTTCTCCTCCTTCTCTGCCTTCAGCCCTTCACCTGATCCAGTTCACTTTCATACCCTTCAATACCCTCTCCATTTTCATTAATATCCTGATCATCTACCACTTCTCTCTCTTCAACTGCTCTGATTTTGCTTCTATGTCTTTCAACTCAAGACCCTCATTGGTTCAATCACTAGCCCGACCAACTGTCTCTTCACTGCCTTCACTTGTTGAAAACTACTTCCATGACTTTTTATACTCGTTCCTCAAAATCACAATCAACTAACCAATATCGATCCATGGCCTTGGATCAGTTTTAAACTCTCTATGAACATCTCAATACCACAAAGTCTAAATCTAAATATTCTTTCAGTTAATCATGAACTTGAGTTTATCAAAATCTAATCCACTCCTTCTAAGTTGGAATTCCCATCCCCCAAGCTCATTTTTGGTTCATTTGATCCCACATAACCATGATATTATACCTCTAACTAAAATAAATCAAAGCATTTTAAGAAAAGAAACCGAACCATGAACTTTACCTGCTACCAAATTCAAACACAATTTCTTCCTCTCACCACTTCCCTTCCCAAACCCAATATCAACTTTTACTCCAAGTTCACATCCCCCAACTCCCAATGTGTTGCGTGAAAGCTTAATTTTAGCAATCATTATGCTTGCAATTTATATGTCGCTTCACTTTGAGTTTTGTCATAAAACTGTTGGCTCGATATGTTTATCAGTTTGGAGGCCATATGATGAGCAATACCGAATCAGTTGCAGCGAAGTTATTGGTCACAGTAATGACAATGTGAAACATGGTTAACCAACGCGAATATGGGTTACTTTTATGTATTGACATTAGAATGATGGGATTGGACAATGAGATCGTCCTTAGTTAAGCGACATATAAATTGGTTCATTTGGTATGGAGGACACAAACCGTTAAAATTCTAAATTATTTGGGTGAGTTTGTATTTAATGTTTTCAAAATTGTGGTATACGAGTTAGGTGATTAAAATATCTAAACCCAAATGAACCGAACCACGTACACCCCTAAGAAGAGTTTCAAAACTTAGTATTTAACCAGACGAAAATGTTTAGAGAACCAGTACTCTATAGTTTGCACAAAGATATGATTGCTTCACTATAGTTCTGGAAATTAATGGTAATTTAAGAATTATATATCGCTTCTACATATTCAATACTATAATTCGATATGAAATATTCAAACCAACAATATTTTGGTTGCAAATTTATGATTATCGTCTATTTATAAGATAGATAAATTTTAAATTAAGTATTAAACTATAATTGAAATAAAAAATATCAAAATCGAAGTATCAAAACACCAAATAAGTACTTACAGAATATTTATTGGGCTAGCTAACTGTTGAAAAGTTATGTGATTTCATATTTTAGCTTCGTATATATTTTTAATTTAAAAAAATACAACAAATCTACATAGTCTGATTGATTTTAAACCTTCACTTTATTTGAAGTGACCATGGTTCAAATCTCAATATGTCTATCTTTTTCTGTAAATAAATAAAAAAATACAGATAATTGTGAAGACAAAAATGTCCTTCCTAATGTCCTCATTGCAGAAAATTTGAAAAGGGAGATTAAGTTTCAAATAAATAAATCATATACCCTAAATCTATAGAACTTAAACCCTAATATCACATATACTAATAACATAATCAATGATTCTGATTCTCCAAGATGTATACAACATATCATATGCACTATATTAGTATTTAGAGAATTATGATATAGGGTTTAGTTACATGATTAATCTATGGTCTAGATAATGCTATTTAACTAAGGATATGCAATAAGCCTAAATCCATCGAGCGTACCATAGAATTTCCAATGTATATACACATACCATTGTTTGTTAAATTTAGCCAATGATAATTGGCTCATTTGTCAATGGTATTTAGTCTTTCAATTCTATGCTTATAATTGTCAACCATTAGAGAAATTTTTGGCCAATGATTTTTGGTCATTCACTTATAGCATTGAAAATGTCTCGTTATAAAACCATAGATCACAAATGTCAAATTATATGTTTTGAAATAAAATTTTGTATAGCACTTTTGCAAACAATCCTTATATTCCTACAAACTATAAAGTCATGTAATCTAATAAATGTAAAAGTTGTAAGACATACATAAACTCAAAATGTACTATTTGATTCTTGGTGAAGAATTGTGTGATTAGAGTAACTCACTTAGTTGATACATAAAGCTAGGTATATCATGATAATTTTCTTTGTAAATAATTACAGTTATTAATTAATTTGATGATTGATTATTGCGGTGGATAGTCCTATGATTTTGAGATATTTCAATATTTTCTTTGTTTAATTCAAAAAATACATAACCATTGTTGTAGTCCAGTTAGTTAGGAATATTGACTATTAATCTGAATGACTCGAGTTCAAGTCTTCTGCGTTTCAGCGAGGATAAAGCTCGGTTATGGAAACGTCATTCCTCGACAAAGACAGCGCTTCAGCTGACGGAGAGGAACCAGTTCCCTCCCTGGAAGTGCTGCTGTATCCCCACGACGACGACACCCCATCGCCGGTGCCGGAGTGCATGAAGAAGGCCGGCTTGGAAGGTAGCGGCAGAGTCATCGACTGGCTCGTCAGCATCAGAGCAACGGTGGCCATGGTCGGCCTGTCGTTCACGTACTCCTGCACACACAGCAGCCCGATGTGAATGCACCTCGCGACCTCTGAGCCCGAGACATTGTTCCCCAGAGATGGATCTATGAGGCTCGTGTACGTCCCATTCCTCCAGTTCTTCCACGCCTACGATGAAAAACCAGCAACATTGATGACGGTTGTGCGGCAATGCAATTTTTGTTCTCGAAGGTATCGGACATCATCAGAAGGAAAGAAATGGCCAGACACTCATAATGACATTTGCAACAGACCTAGTCACTGAACTACCAAGTCTTAATGAAATGATGATTGAACTAACTAGTGATGCATGATTTAGTTAGCACCTTTGTCAAGATTTTTAGTTAGGTCACTGTTAATGCAAACCTATTGAGCAAGCACCTTTGTTAAGATCATACTCACATAGCTTAATAGGTCCTCCATGCTCGAGCCTCCGCGTGCACAATTGTTCCTTTGACCGCTCACAATCTCCAAAATAAGCACTCCAAAACTGAACACGTCAGACTTCACCGAGAACTGCCCGTGCATAACATATTCGGGAGCCATATAGCCACTGCAAAAACAAACCCCCACACCCCAAGTTATTTTCTTTCAGGTTCAAGAAGATTGCATTCATCAACGCTACTATTCGTAGCTCGTACTTACTAAGTTCCAACGATCCGGCTAGTATTCCCCTGAGTCTCATCTATATCGAACAACCTCGCCATTCCAAAATCCGAGATCTTTGCGTTCATCTCCGCATCCAACAAGATATTGCTGGCTTTTAGGTCACGGTGAATGATCCTCAACCTAGAATCCTCGTGAAGGTAAACCATCCCTCGCGCAATTCCTCCAATTATGTTGTATCTTCTCTCCCAATTCAAATGCACTCGTTTAAATTCGTCTGCATCACAAATACAAGCTTTTCAAAATTTTATCGAAGATTTAAACAAGCTGAATGTGTTTTCTTTCATCTTCACTCACCGAAGAGGAAATGATCGAGACTGGCATTGGGGATGAACTCATAGATGAGAAGCTTTTCTCTCCCTTCCAAGCAGAATCCCAAAAGTCTAGCTAGATTCCTGTGTTGAAGCCTAGCCACTAATTTGACTTCGTTCTTGAATTCTAAATCTCCTTGCCTTGAATCTATTCCCAATCTCTTCACCGCCACTTGTTCTCCGTTTGACAAAACTCCCTACACAAATTTTGTGAATTTCAGAACATGTAAATGTAAGAGATAACATTGATCAAACATGTTATGGATCCGAACCTTGTAAACAGCCCCGAATCCGCCTTCTCCGAGCTTGCTTTCATCGGCAAAATCGTTGGTCGCTGCTTGAATCGTTTCGAAATCGTATTGCAACCATCCTTCGTTGTTGATGATCTCGTCCACAGCTTCAGAATTCAGAAATGAAATGACTCATTTTAAGAATCCAGAGCTGATTCCATGGAGGATCCATAAAAAAATTACTAGTTTCGTTGTTTAGGGGAATGTCTTTGATTCTTTTTTGACCTTTTTGACGCTTATGTAATGTATTTTAATGGCTTTCTGCAAAACAAATGTATTATAATGGGCTTACTTGCATCTTCTTGCTGGCTTGACCTCTGATTAGGGATTGTTGACCTCTTCCGTTTCCGGCGGCTGCAGAAGAAGAAAATGAAAATGAAGCCGAGCACGGCGGTGCCGACGATAGGAACTACAATAGCTACAATTCTGCTCGAATTCTCGCTTCCTCTGCCTCCTGCACACACAAAAACAAAAAACAAAACAAAAAATCAATCCCGGAGCTCAATTCGGATTCTCCGATCCAGATGGAATCAAGCTCTAATGGATCTACATTCTACAGCCTCACCTTCTGTAGGCGGCGGCGGCGGCGGAGATAAAACCGGCGGTGGAGGCGGCGCTACGGTCGCCGCAGGGGGCGGCGCCGCCGTCTTAGAATAAAATCGAGAAGTCTCGAATCTCAAATTGCAAGTCCGTTGTATGACTCGTCCGCCGATTTTCCCGTCGCAGCAATCCGGAATCCGGCCGATGGCTCCGACGAGGCAGTCGTCGCATTGCTGCTCTGACAGATCCGGCGAGCACTGAACGAGAGCGAAGATCGTCACGAAACCTTGCCGCGCCGTTCCCGTGGCGAACTTCCTCACGGAGCTTCCGCCCGCCGCCTCGGCCCGCAGCCGGGCCAACAAGGAACCCAAGGCCGCGTCGAACTGGGCCGGGCCGGATGCGTTGTTGACGTTCCACATGAAGAACGTGACGGGCGGGCCCAAGTCGAGTGTCCCTTGGATGTACCAGTTCGAGTATCGGATCATACAGAACTCGTAGTACCCGAACGCCTGCTTCTGGGCCGGGCAGTCCATGAGGATCCGGCCCGTGGCGTTGGCGATGCATCCCCTGCAGTCGGGCGGCCCGACGTCGCCCCGGCAGAGCCCGATCGCGTTGACCCGGTCCGCGCCCCGACCCGAGGAGCGGTTGTAGAACCCGGTGGTGGTCTGGTTGTCGGCGGCGAGGGTGGAGAGGAGGGCGTTAAGGTTTCTCCCGTACGCGCTGCCGGCGGTGTAGTTGCCGACCTGATCGGCGCAGTTTGAGAGAGCGAATGGCGGCGGCTGGGCGATTGTGCAAGAGGGTAGGAACAGTAGTAGTAGCAGAACGACGAGGAGGTGAGGAAGGGGAGGATGGATTGAGGATGGAGAACTCATTGGTTGAGAAGAAGAAGAAGCCATGGAATTTGGAGTCTTTCTGTTCATTTTTTGTCTGCTCTGTTTCTGACAGAAGCAACTCTGCTTCCTAATATGGGATGGAATAAATGCCATTGCATTGACGACTCAGACCGCCAAAGTCTTCCCAAATTTCGAGAGCCATGAATTTGGGCAATAGCTGTACTAATCAACCTGCGTGGAATAGTATATTTGCTTGAATGCTATTAACCTGCGTGGAATAGTATATTTGCTTGAATGCTAGTTCGGACATATATACTCAGTGAGTCGTTCAAGATGTAACACTTGATCGTTGTAACATATATACTTTCTCCCCTCGAACTAGTTCGGACAGTTATTGAACTATAAATCGCCTTGTGATACTTTTCTCTCTCTCGAGTATTTGGCAATACAAGATCGATTTTTAGACGGGTTTACCATTGATGGTACTTTTTTCTATCATTTATTAGTATCGAAGATGATGTTTGGTATTTTGATACGAACTCATACGGTACTTTCTTGTTCCATCTTGCAGATTCTTCTGTTGTGTAATAGTCGAACAGAAAATCAAAGCGTAGGTTAGGAATTGTTTATAGAGAAAAAGAAAAGTGGGGATTGTGAATTTGTGATTGTTATGGATTATTGATTGGTGATAGTGACGTGAGTGGTGGAAGACCAACGACGACGCGGGGCGTAGCACTAGCAACGACTAACTTAGTAACTTGCTATTGTGCTAACATGTACAGATTGAGAACGTGCTCACAAGAGTTTAGTGTCCATGCATCGGATGTGAGAGATTGTCGATTGTTGGAACTGAACCAACAGTATCGAGTGTTTATAAGTACTTTTGCGCAAAGAGTATTTTTATTATGCTATAAAATATTAGTGCTTTAATGTACAATTTGAAATTGTACCATAACGTTAAATGTATAAGTTTAACTTGTACTGTAAATGAATTAGTACCCTTATGTTATTCAGTTATTGTACAACTTCAAGTTGTACCATCACATCACATTAAGGTACAAGTTCAAATTGTACCTTAAAAGAATTTGTACAGAAAAGTATATGTACAATTTGAAGTTGTACCATAACGTTAAGAGCACAACTTCATAAAGGCAAGAAATATACTGTAAGTACCATAGCGGGGTCGGACCGCTACACTTTTGTCGCCATCTACTTAGTATATGTTACCATGTTTGTAAGGATTACCTGCCTGTTTTCCTACATTTACCCCTTACTCTTTGTGATTAGCTAATTGGCACTATAAGTTTCCAAAATAACACTTGTTCATAGATTTGGATTAGTTTTTTTTTCTTTTTGAGTTGATATGAACGGGACGGGATACGGTGACAATTCCTAATGGGGTTGTCAGATTCACAACCAAAGGTATTTTGGGTATGAAAAAAGAATATAGTAATTACCTTTTTTGTATTGATATATTGGGAATTTAAAACTCATATTAAATACAATTTTTTTTAAATTTAAATTCTATACATTAATATCTCTATCTATCTATATCTCTCTCTTCCTTTCTCCAGCGGTCACTCCGCATCGATGAACAGACTTTTTATCCGGCGAATTCTCTCCGGCAACTTGAAAAAATGTACCAGTGCGTTAAAAAGTGTACCAATCCATTAGTATATAGGTAATTAATATACTAGTGCTAGTGCTACGCTACTAGTGCATTAAAAAATGTACCAGTACTAGTGGTACGCTATGAGTACAACGCTACCACTACCATATTGTATCGTGCCACTAGCACTGGTAGCGCTACCACTATCATTGGTAGCAGTACCAGTAGAGAATAACACAAAAAAGATGATGATAGTTGTACGCTACCACTACCAGCTACCTTATGGTAGTGGTAGGTACCACTATCACTGGTACGCTACCAGAAGAAAAATGGTACCACTAAAAAACCAGATCTAGAAAAGGGGAGTCGGTGACGGGAGAGAGAGGTAGGGGAAGAGGGTGACCTCGCGACGGCGGCAGTGGTGGGGGACGAAGGGCGGCGAGAGGGCTCTGACGGGGAGAGGATGATTGTGTCGCGGTGGTGGGAGGCGGACGTTGCGACGGGCCGGCGGGAGAAATTTGCAACAAGGTGTGGAGGGAGGCTGAGGATGGCGGAGCCGACGACGGTGGAAGGCTCGACAGGCGGCTGCAGGAGACAGGGGCGCCGGCGGTGGAGGGCTGTGGCGGCGGAGGGCTCTGCGAGAGAGAGGGAGGAGAGACGGTGATGGCTACGGGAGAGAGGGAGGATGGAGGAGTTAGAGTTTTTTTTCTTTTTATATGGTGGGGTAAATGATTGGGTGTGGTAAATTTTTACGCTTCCAAAAATACCCTTCTTTTAATATTAACCGTTAATTTTTTAAAAAAAAAGAGACAGGAAAGAGAGCGTATCCAAGGACTATGAAGTAGGTTGTGAATTTGACAACCCCTTAATGTAGGGGTGGGCATACGGTTCGGTAAAACCGAATCGAACCGAATATAAACCGAACCGAAACCGAATTAATGTTATTCGGTTCGGAATTCGGAAGAGAAAATGACATATTTCGGAAATCAGGGTCCTTTCGACCGAACCGAATTTCCGAATTCCGAACCGAAAAACCGAATTATTATAATTGCAAGCTCTAATTGGTGGATTTTTATGTTTCTACTTATTATGAGACTTAAATATTTGAATCATGTTAGTGTTTTATGACTTATGTGTTGAAATGTTTGATTTTATCATTGATGATGCATATTTATTGTTTACATTAGGGGTGAAAAATAATTTAAATAAGAGAAGATACAAGCTAACCTCACTATTTCGGTTTTGTATGAAAAACCGAACCGAATTATAATTCGGTTTGAACCGACCAAACCGAATTATAATTCGGTTCGAATTGGGTTTGAGGTTTGATAGAATTCGGGGACCCGGTATGCATAATTTCGGTTCGGTTTGAATCGAACCGACCGAATGTCCACCCCTACCTTAATGGGTTGTCACCGTATCCCGTCCCGATATGAACCAATAAACAAATTTAATGATAGAATTCAATGAATCCTGATTATTTATTTAAAACAAACGGCCCTTGCATCGGTAGCAACCCAGTTGGTTGACAACCGCCTTTATATTTCCACTGCATTGTAACACTCTATCTATTACAAACTATCTATGACAAAAAAAAAAATTGATCAAACGCCTTCTTATCAACAACAAAAAAAAAAATTAATCAACCCCCTAATCCTCAACTGATCCGCGAGTTAAGCACTATATAACATTTTACAAAAACAATAGCCAACAATATATCACACATTTTGATCTCAACGAGCATACGGCTCAGTTATGGAAGCGTCATTTCTCGACAAAGGAAGCGCTTCAACAGAAGGAGAAGAACCCATTGCCTCCCTGGAAGTGCTGCTGTATCCCCACGATGAAGAATCCCCGCCGGTGCCGGTGTTCATGAAGAACGCCGGCTTGGAAGGCAGCGGCAGAGTCATCGAATGGCTCGTCAGCATCAGAGCCACGGTGGCCATGGTCGGCCTGTCGTTCACGTTCTCCTGCACGCACAGCAGCCCGATGTGGATGCACCTCGCGATCTCTGTGCCCGAGACATTGTTCCCCAGAGACGGATCTACGAGGCTCGTGTATGTCCCGTTCCTCCAGTTCTTCCATGCCTACGATGAATAACCAGCAACATCAATGGTCTCAAGTCTCAACAGCGGTTCTCTGTTCACCAGAGCTGGCACTGGCTAGCGGCTACTAAGCCATCTAATCCAACAAGCACCAAACAAACAGTCAAAATGCCAAAGATACTCACATAACTCAAGAGATCCTCCATGCTCGAGCCACCTTGGAGGTAACTGTTCTTCTGCCCGCTCACAATCTCCAAAACAAGCACTCCAAAACTGAACACGTCCGACTTCATCGAGAATTGCCCATGCATTGCGTACTCCGGAGCCATGTATCCACTGCAAAAAGGAATTCCACGGACGAAAATTTTCATCAAATCATAGTGATCAACGACATATATAAAACCATGTGCGCACACTTCCATACTACATTACTTACTAGGTCCCGACAATTCTGTTGGTATTTGCCTGAGTCTCATCCATATCAAACAGCCTCGCCATTCCGAAATCTGCAATCTTCGGGTTCATCTCGGCATCCAACAAGATATTGCTGGCTTTCAAATCCCGATGGACAATTCTTAACCGAGAATCCTCGTGAAGGTAGACCATCCCTCGTGCTATGCCAGCAATGATCTTATATCGTCTCTCCCAGTTCAAAAGCGCTCGTTTATCCGGATCTGTATAAACAAAATGCAACCTTTTAATAGTCATAGAAAAATTCGGAATGAGCATGATACATATTTCCTTCTATTTTGAGATATACCAAAGAGGAATTGGTCGAGACTAGCATTGGGAACGAACTCGTAGACAAGAAGCCTCTCTCTCCCTTCCAAGCAGAATCCAAGAAGCCTGACGAGATTCCTGTGTTGAAGCTTTGCCACCAGCTTGACTTCATTCTTGAACTCTAAATCACCTTGTCCTGAATCTTTTCCCAGCCTCTTCACAGCTACTTCTTCACCACTCGACAACACCCCCTATGACAAAGAAATCATGTGGATTTCAAACTCATGAATTCAAGAGAAAACATTGTTCAACAATGCCATGAATTCGAACCTTGTAGACGACTCCGAATCCACCTTCTCCGAGCTTGTTTTGGTAGGCGAAATCGTTTGTCACGGCTTGAATCGTTTCGAAATCGTATTGCAACCATCCTTCACTGCTGATTTCGTCGGCAGCTACAGAATCCAAAAATTGATGTTTAAGTAGCGTAAAAAACAGAGCAAGATCCCATTCCCATGGAGGATGGATAAACAATTACTAGTGTCGTTGTTTGGGGAATATCTTTGACCTTTTTTTTGTCGCTAATGGAAGTAAATGTGTGGTTGAAATTATGTAATCGGGATTTCATGACTTACTTGCGTCGAGATGGCTTGACCTCTGGTTCGGGAGTCTCGACTTCTTCAGTCTCCGGCGGCAGCACAAGATGAAGATGAAGCCGATCACGGCGGCGCCAACGATCGGAATCACAATAGCTATAATCCTACCCCAATTCTTACTTCCTCCGCCTCCTTCACCAAAAAGAAAAAAATTCAATCTCAGATCTCAAGTCGAATTCTCAGATCTAGCTGGAAGTCAAGTTCTCGCTAGGGGGAAGGAACCGGAGGATTAAGGATCTTACCATCCGGAGGTGGCAGCGGGGAAGTAGCCGGTGGTCTCGGCGGTGGAGACAGAGACTGTGGCGGTGGCGGCGGTGGCGGTGGCGGTGGCGGCGGCGATTCGGTATAAAATCGAGAAGTCTCGAACCTCACCTGGCAATCAGGTTTCAAGATCTGTCCTCCGACTCTCCCGCCGCAGCAATTCGGGACCTGGCCGATGGCCTCGACGAGGCAGTCGTCGCAGAGAGTCCCCGATAAATCGGGGCTGCACTGCGCGAGCCCGTAGATGGTGACGAACCCCTCCCGCTCCGTCCCCGTGGCGAATTTCTTCACGGAGGTCCCCGCCGCCGCCTGGCCGCGGAGCCGCCTCAGCAGCCTCTCCAAGGCGGTGTTGAACTGGGCCGGGTCGGACGCGTTGTTGTTGTTGCTCAAGAAATAGGTAACCGCGTTCTGGGCCCGGACGCCGTAGATGGACCGGTTCGCGAACCGGAGTATGCAGAAGTCGTAGTACCCGACCGCCTCCTTTTGGGCCGGGCAGTCCAGGAGGATCCGGCCCGTGGCGTTGGCGATGCAGCTTCGGCAGTCGCCCAGCCCGACGTCGCCGCGGCAGAGCCCGATAGCGTCGGCCCGGTCCGGGGATTGGCCCGACGAGACGTTGTAGAACCCGGTGGTGGTTCGGTCGTCGGAGGCGAGCGAGGAGAGGACGGTGTTCAGGTTTCGCCGGTACGTGCTGCCGGCGGTGTAGTTCCCGGCGTCGGAGCAGACTTTGACGATGAACTCGGGCTGCTGAGCGGTGGCGAGTGGTGAAAGTATTACTGGTAGAAGCAGGAGGAAGAGAAGAGGAGGTGAGCAAGAATTCATGGCGGGAGACCAACGATTGAGTGTCCGTTTGCCACAAATCGACGACGACGAATTATTAATTGTCTTCTTGGGACGAACAATAAAGGTGTCATCGATGTCACAAAGTCTTCGGCAGAAAAATTGAATATGGGAATGGACCAACAGAGAGAGTCGCCGGGGCCAGCTGTGGCCCCGCTGTGGGCTGGAGTAGTTCTTGATAATCAACCAGCTACGTGTTCTTCACTGTTTCGCCATTTTTGGGTGAATTCATTTAGCTAAGTGTTTGACTGGTATAAAATTTATCAAGTGGAAAATTATGCAAGTATTCACATAATATTCTGCAGTTTTTCTTATGTTAAATGTTTGTGGAAAACTGAGAAAAATCAAACCGCGATAGTCAAATGATGAGTAGTGGTGTGGAAGAGATAAAAAAAAAATGAATAAAGAAAAGGTTGGGGATTATGATTGTCGCCGTCTAATTGAGAGTTAGAAATATAATTAGGTGGATAATGATGGGAGTGGTAGAGGACAGGCATAGTTAATAGTTTAATCAGACTTGGTCAAACGGCATGGGGGCCACGTTGTGGGGTTTCGTATCGCCAAAGAAATTCCTTCCACCTCCAAAAAAAAAAAAAAACATTCCTACCTAAGATTCGGGTTAGGCCCAAGTCCAGCACACCAATGTAAAATACTGAATATGTGGGTGGTTTGGATGAGAGATTGTAATAAGAGATTTTAATACACTTTGGTAGAATGTGGGGTTTTGATTAAATAATTGGTTTGGGAAGGTGATAAATTTTTATAGTTTCATCTACTGAAATTTATTTTTTTCAAATTTATGCAACTTTATAACGGTAACATGTTGAATTTTTTTAGATCAAGATATGTCTTTTTTGGGTTTATCTCTCCTGGTGGTTTTGCTTTCGTAGTGCTACGAACTAAACCTACTACCAAGATATTTGTATGTGTAGGGGTGGTGCACTTGAAGTGATGAATAAATAGAGAGCCTCACTTAAGCCGAATCTCACCATATTTCCGCTATGTCCAACCCAAAGTTGGGGATACAAATTTGAGCAAAGTTAAATGTTCTCACTCATGCACCCAACACGTACAGCTCACTCGTTTCACAGTAATGATACATCTCATCAAGCTTCTCGTGTTTCACTCACACCCAGAAGCCATCCCAATAATCAATCACTCTTGTTTTCAAAGGTTGCTATCTACCATATTATTATTGGACTGATACCTGCAGATAGCTAGCCACCAGGTAGCGTTGTCAACGAGGATAAAGCTCGGTCATAGAAGCGTCACTTCTCGAGAAAGGAAGAGCTTCAACAGAAAGGGAAGAGCCACTATTAGTAATTCCATCCCTCGAAGTGCTGTTGCTGTAACTCCATGAACTAGAACCCGCTCCGGCGGTGGGGATGAAGAAGGCCGGCTTGGAAGGCAGCGGCAGAGTCACGGCGTGGCTGCTGAGCATCAGAGCAACGGAGGCCATGGTCGGCCGGTCGTTGACGTTCTCCTGCACGCACAACAACCCGATGTGGATGCATCTCGCGATCTCGGCGCCTGAAACGTCGTCGTTCGTCCCCAGGGACGAATCCACGAGGTTGGTGCAAGTCTCGTTCCTCCAATTCTTCCATGCCTATGAAAAGACCAACATGATCAATAGGGATGACAATTTTGTCCATACCCATGGGTATTTTACTATCCAACTAATTGGGTTGGGTATGGATTCCAAATAAATGGTAGATGGGTAGAGTTTGATGGATTTGTACACATACCCATTTACTTGGGTTGGGTTGGGTTTTTAACACATGGATTTGTACCCATGCCCAAAGGCAAATTACAATTTGGTACCTAAACTTAATAGATATGCAGATTTAGTACCTAAATTTAATTTTTTTTTGCATATAAGTCCTCAAAATATCGATGGAAAATTATGTTTTGGTACTAAAATTTTTTGATCTTACATTTTGGTACCTAAACTTTTCAAGTTTTACAAATAGGTCCAATTTTTGTGTGTGTAGTTAAAACACCCTCAAGTAAATGGATATCCATATCCAACCCATACCCATTTACATTATGAAAGCAATATCCATACCTAACCTAAACCCATCTACAAACCCCCAAACCCATATACACTTTATCCAAACCCTACCCATACTAAATGGATTTATTTGGATTTGGGTAAAATTACCCATGGGTGGGTAATTGCCATCCCTAATGATCGATGATAACCAAATTGAGTGGAATAGTCTGATCTGATTGATTGACTGCCAAATTATACTGAAAAAGTACACAACTTATTTTGTGACTAATACGAGCAACAAAATAAATGTTACACAGAGAATCTGGACACTCACATAACTTAAAAGGTTCTCCATGGAGTCGCGATGGACATAACTGCTTTTATGGCCACTCACAATCTCCAAAACGAGCACTCCGAAACTGAACACGTCCGACTTCACAGAAAACTGTCCGTGCATTGCATATTCCGGAGCCATATATCCGCTGCAAAAACAAATAAAAAGAAACACAACCCGATATTTATTAATCGCATTGATATGGCATATAAAATCCTTTCGTGAATATATACTTCCACACTTCATACTCACTAAGTCCCAACGATTCTGCTAGTATTTCCCTCGGTCTCATCCATATCAAACAACCGAGCCATCCCAAAATCTGAAATCTTGGGGTCCATCTCAGTGTCTAACAAAATGTTGCTGGCTTTCAGATCGCGATGGATGATCCTTAGTCGAGAGTCCTCGTGGAGATAAAGCATCCCTCGTGTGATGCCTCTAATAATCTTGTACCGTCTTTCCCAGGTCAAATCCTTCCGTTTTTCCACGTCTGTATTTCAATTCGTAATGAAGTGGTGACATAAGGAAAAAAAGCCCTATGTCAAATTATAAATGAGCTAAATGAATACTATATCATCTTATATACCAAAGAGGAAATGGTCGAGGCTGGCATTCGGGATGAACTCGTAGATGAGAAGCCTCTCTCCGCCTTCTAAGCAAAAGCCCAAAAGTCTAACCAAATTCCTATGTTGGAGTTTGGCCACTAGATTTGCTTCATTTTTGAATTCTATGTCCCCTTGTCTTGAATTTCTTCCCAATCTCTTCACAGCTACTTCTTGCTCATTTGGCAGAATTCCCTAAAAAAAAAAAAAGTGGATTTCAAAATATGCAAATTCAAGATAAAAAACTTCATAAAATTTTATGGTGGATTTGAACCTTGTAAACAACTCCAAATCCGCCTTCTCCAAGCTTGCTATCATGACCAAAATCATTTGTGGCGGCTCTGATCGTTTCGAAATCGAATTGCAGGAATCCCTCATTGTTGATTTCATCGGCAGCTTCAGAATTCATAATTGATCAGTATACAGAATATGTTTTTCCCTTCTTGTTTCTTGAAAGTTAGGATTTTGCTAAAACAAAACATATTTTTCTCATATTTAGGTCAAATTTAAGTCATAACTTCTATTAACTCTAAAATCCACAAGCAGGGATGGCAATTACCCACCCATGGGTAATTTTATCCAAATCCAAATAGATCCATTTAGTATGGGTAGGATTTGGATGAAGTGTATATGGGTTTGGGGGTTTGTAAATGGGTTTGGGTTAGGTATGGATATTGCTTTCATAATGTAAATGGGTATGGGTTGGATATGGATATCCATTTACTTGAGGGTGTTTTAACTACACACACAAAAATTGGACCTATTTGTAAAACTTGAAAAGTTTAGGTACCAAAATGTAAGACCAAAAAATTTTAGGTACCAAAACGTATTTTTCCATCGATATTTTGAGGACTTATATGCAAAAAAAATTAAATTTAGGTACTAAATCTTCATATCTATTTAGTTTAGGTACCAAACTGTAATTTTCCTTTGGGCATGGGTACAAATCCAAATCCATGTGTTAAAAACCCAACCCAACCCATGTAAATGGGTATGGGTACAAATCCATCAAACTCTACCCATCTACCATTTATTTGGAATCCATACCCAACCCAATTGGGTTGGATAGTAAAATACCCATGGGTATGGGCAAAATTGCCATCCCGACCACAAGTTATTTTAATCTGAAATTTATTTCACTAAAAGAACTTCATTTACTATTATGCATTTAAAAAAAACAAATAAATTTATAAAGTTATACTTATAATAGTCATTCTGCAATATTCCCAAATGACTTTATTGTTTAATGCACTATTCACAATCTTATCAACTACGTACCCTTATATAAATTTAAAAGTAAATTACATTCATCAACTTTAATTTTAATTTCAAACATACTTTTCTCCAAATTTCAGGAAAAATTAGGGATGGCAATTTCGACCTGACCCGATTTACCCGACCTGTTTGACCTGTTTTGGGGCGGGGCGAGCATGGGTACCTCTCAATGACCCGACCTGCCCTGACCCACCCCATTCTCGACCCGTTCTTGCCTAAATTACATATAATCTTAGTCAAATTACTTAAGATTTTCCTCTTATTACATTATATTTTAGCTATAATAAAATTGTAAATAAGTGAAAACCTCAATTTCTTCAATAATTTAACTACATTTATCATATTATGGTTTCTTTCTTGGTCTTTCAATGAGAAGAACGAATATTTCTAATGTTTTTCACCTAAATTACATACCCAATGGGTCGACCTGCCCCGACCCACGCCCCGTGATAAATTACCCGACCTGGACCCGACCTGCCATGGGCGGGTATGGGTATCGAGATACCCGCCCCGGACCTGCCCATTACCATTCCTAGGAAAAATCGAAACAAATACACCCATAGTACTTACATTGGATGCATAAACAAGTAAAGAATCACTAGTGTATGTTTGTTAACGCTGCTGGCTTTTCAGCCTCCTTCAAATAAAAAAAAAAATTGAGAATAGATAATCTTTTTTTTTTGCAAAAGATAATCATATATTGATCAAGACAAAAGAAGTTACATCCTGGAATTCAGCCAGGTCTGATAATCAAAGGAACGATATCTTGTCGGATACAAAGACAGGGCCTTTCGAGCCACCAAATGGGCTACCCTATTGCACTCACGACCTACAAACCGAACACTAAAACCAGGAAGGGAACCAAAATAAGAAATAACTTCCTGAAGCACTGCACCCATCCGGCTATCCCCCGCGTCCGCAAGATTAATTTTATCAATAATAACTTTAGCGTCGCCTTCAAAGGTGATCTCTGAAAATCCCAAATGCAGACACCATAGAACCGCCTCTCGGAGGACCAACAACTCCACAATCATAGGATCATCAATACCCTGAAACTGGACCCCTTTAGCCAAGAGGACCTCCCTACCAGGGGTTAGAATAACCAGACCACCTGCCGAATGGGACCCTCTCCTGGTGGCACCATCCCACATACATCTCATACCCGCCGCATCCCCCGCATCCATCAGCCCCCTAGTCCTCCCCAACCCCTGTGGACCTGGATCAGGAGGCAACCCAACCCACTCCTCAACCTGCTGGCTAAGCTGTCTCATCAACGCAAGGAAACTGAACTGCTTACCCTCAAAAACCACCCAGTTACGAGATCGCCAAATCCTCCAAAGGACGGCCACAACTGCCATGAACAACCTCGGCTGATCAATCAGAGCCAGCACCTTCTTAAGGAAGAGCGGAAAATGATCCCGGGGTAACCCCTCCCCAATATACTCCAAACCCGCATAATCCCAAAGAGCTCGAGCCACCGGGCAATAAAGGAACAGATGCTCCAAGGATTCCTTAGCACCCCAACAAACCGGGCACCGGGGCTGAACCTGAACTTTTTTCTCAATCAGTGCTTCCATCGTGGGAAGGGCTCGATTAAGGATTTGCCAAACAAACACCTTAAGTTTAGGAGGAATATTCGCTTCCCAAAGCCGAATCCAGCTAGCCTTATCCATCCAGCACACCGTTGGTTTCCAACCACCTTTTCTCCTATCCAAAGTCACCGCCAAGTGGTAAGCCGACTTAACCGAAAAAACTCCATCCACAGTTTCATGCCAGATCAGCTTATCCTCCATCACTTGGCGAGGTAGTGGGATTTTCCTGATGGCTTGACATGTAACCGGGTCAAACCATTGGCTAAGTTTCCGATCACACCACCTCCCCTCTCCTTGAATAATGAGCTCAGCCACCAGAGGATCACCCCCTTCTGGTAAGATCAGAGGATTCCAGCGAGGGGGATCCAACTGGCATTGCGGTATCCAGGGTGAATGAAGCATGGACGCAGCGCGACCGTCACCAATTTGCCAACGCAACCCCATTTCCAACAGCTGTCGCCCAAACAAAATACTCTGCCAACCCCAGGAAGGACGAGAGCGAGCCTTGGCTTGGATGAAGGAACCCGAAGGAAAATATTTAGCCTTATACACCTGGGCCAGGAGGGATTGAGGTTCCATCAAGATTCGCCACCCAATCTTCGCCAGGAGGGCTTGATTAAAATGTTCGAATCTCCGAAACCCCATCCCCCCCTCGTGCTTACTTCGACACATATTACGCCAGGACATCCATCGTATCTTAGAATGGTTATCATCCGCCCCCCACCAGAACCGGGCTACAAGCTTGTCCAACAGACGACAGAGGGACAAGGGAAGTTTGAAACAGGACATCACATGCAAAGGCAGGGCCAAGGCCACCGACTTGATCAATGTTTCTTTAGCAGCCCATGAGAGAGTCCTTTGCTTCCATCCCTGCAGTCGTTCTCTCAGCTTTTCCTCCAAATAACGAAAGGTAGCCATCTTGGAGCGGGCAATCAATGTAGGTAGTCCCAGATATTTATCATGGACCCCCACCGCACCCACCCCTAGAATGGCCGCCAGAAACTCTTGATCTGGCACCTCAACGTTCTTGCTGAAGCAAACCGCTGATTTGGCCAAGTTGACCCGCTGGCCACTGAGTTCCTCATACTCGTTCAAAACCACGATCAGGTTTTCACATTCCCTTAGAGTTCCTCGGAGGAATAAATAGGAATCATCAGCAAAGAAAAGATGAGAAATTCTAGGTGCACGGGGTGCTACTTTAACCCCCTCAAGCTTCTTCTCCGAAATTGCTTTGCGCAGGAGAGCCGCAAACCCCTCAGTGCAGAGCACAAACAAAAGAGGGGACAGTGGATCACCCTGTCGCAGCCCACGGGACGAAGTGAAGTACCCTGCCGGAGTACCATTCATGAGGACAGAGAAAGACGACGATCGCAGACATTCATGGATCCACCCTCTCCAGACAGAATTAAACCCCATCTTCTTCATCACAGCAAGAAGAAAAGACCATTCGACTCTATCATAGGCCTTTTCCATGTCAACCTTCAGAGCCATGTATCCTTTCTTGCCTTGCTTTTTGAGTTTGAGATAGTGCATTAACTCATGCCCGAGGAGGACATTATCAATTATTTGCCTTTCCCTGATGAACGCATTTTGTCCCTCCGAGATGATCCGGGGAAGGAAGCCAGCCAGCCTTTCCGTCATGACTTTAGTTATGACCTTATACACAAACTGGCAAAGGCTAATAGGCCGTAATTGCTTCATATTCTCCACCGAGTCAACCTTAGGAATCAAAGTTAACCAAGTATGGTTAAAACTCCGTAGCATCCGACTGGTCGAGAAGAAAGAACAAACCGCCTCACAAACCGACTCCCCCACAATATCCCAGAAGGATTTAAAAAATTTCCCCGTGAATCCATCCGAACCCGGAGCCTGTTTCGAACCCATTGAGAAAACCGTTCTCCGAACTTCCTCAGGGAGGACCTCAGCCGTTAAACTTGCGTTCATCTCATCAGTGACCTTCCGCTCAATAGGTAGAGAGGACACTCTATCCAGCATATTAGGGACGTGGGATTCAGAGGTAAAAAGGTTTGTGTAAAACTCTGTAGCAATATCCGCTTTCCCCTTCTCCTCAGTAACCCAATCCCCATTGTCATTATGAAGCCCGGCCACAAAATTGCGCTTCCGACGAGCGCGCGTCACCGTGTGAAAATACGAACTGTTTTTATCACCTTTCTTAAGCCAATGGACTCGAGATTTCTGCTGCCAGTAAATCTCCTCCGCCTCCCACTGGCGAGACAGCTCAGCCTCCAAATCTCTAATCGTATCCCAATTAATGGGATGACTACGTTTCACTTGATCAATCTCAGCTTGGAGAGTATTAATGTTCCGGAGAGAGTTCGTAGTCCCTGCCCGGCTCCAATCATAAAGGAGATGCCGAAGCTTCTTAAGCCGTTCCCAAAGTCGAAACATAGGGGACCCATGAATCTCTTCTGCCCAAACATAACGGACCATCGCCCTGACCTCCGGGTTATCAGCCCATCGAGCATCAAACCGGAAAAGGGGTCTACCATTCCGAGCATAAGCTTTATCAGAGAGGAGAATGGCTCGGTGATCTGAACCCTGATCCGTAAAGTGTTTCACCAGAGTTTCAGGAAACTGGTCCATCCAGGCCTGAGAGCAAAGGGCTCTATCAAGGCGTTCGCGAATACAGGCAGCGCCCATCCGCTTATTCGTCCACGTAAATTGGTCACCCTGAAATCCTGGATCATGAAGACCCAACTCTTGAACAAACCCACAAAGACTCGCTGACTGAGCAGCATTCCAAACACGACCACCATCCTTTTCGCCCGCATGAAGGGTCGAATTAAAATCCCCAATAACCGTGAA